GGCCTTACGCACCTTATATACTAATATATAAAACTAATGTATAGTATAATACTAGTAAGTATAGTCTTTAACTAAAGAAGTATATTTACTAGTGAATTTTAAAGTAAATATTACTATTAAACTAGAATCTATAGGCAACTATTAATTGTATTTTACCTTTAGATAGATAAGCAAATAAAGAGATTTAACTAGACGTTAAAGTAGTATTTATGCTACTTTATAATAAAAAGCAATTAAATTAGCTCTCTTTATTATTTTTAGCGTAGTACGCCTATAATAACGCTATTAACGTAATAACTAAAATTAGCTTATTTAAAGCGCCTATATAAGTTAGAAACTAGACTTGCAAACTTGCCTTAAAGGTAGCGTAACTGTAAAAGAGAAGTAGAATACGCGTAACATAGTCTTAGTAGTATACAACTATTTAAAAAAACTAGAAGCTATATAAAAAAGGTTAGTAGTAAATTAAAAGCATATAATAAAGCGTTAAAAGCATTACTATAATACACGCTACTAGCTTATAAGCTTTATAGTAAAAGAGCTAGTAAGCCTTTCTATAAAAAACCTTTACTTAAAAAATAAGAAGTTAGCACTAAGATGTATTAAGCCTTTTAAAATCCTTAAGACTATAAGTAGATAGGCATATTAACTAGCATTACTAAAATAATATAGCTAACTATATAACGTTTTTTTAGTCTTACTATTAAAGCACTAAAAAAGCAAGGCAAGCGTAAAATAAGCGCCTTTAACAATGCTAGTATTAAAAGACCTAAATAATAAATAAAAAAGTAAAAGTAGTCTTAAACAAAAGACGTAAGGCTAGCTAAAACTAAAATACTTAGTATATTAGATAGGCTAGCTAACTAAATACAACTAGTAAGTACTAGAAGAAGATATAAAAAATACATACGTAGTAATTAAGTAGTATGCGTATAGTAAGCGTATAAAGATAAAAACATATAAGTAAAAGCTTAAATTAATTTAACTAGCTAAAAAAGCTTTATAAAAGACTATGCAAAACTATCTAAGAAGCTTTTAAAGCAACGCTACGCTAGCCGCTACCTTAATATAAGCTTTATTTATAACATACACCTTTACTACTATCTTAAGAAAGGCATTAAAGGCTATAGTAAAGGTAGTATAACTAGTGTTACTAGGCATTAAGCGTAACAGCTAAGAAAGCTACTAAAAAGTTAAAGTAGTAAGCTTAGGCAGTAAAGATAAAAAGGGCGTATATAGTAATAATAAGTGCATTTAGGCTAATAAAGCCTACTAAGCCTTTACCTAGCAGGCTACCTCTTAAGCCTTTTTTTAAGCCTTAATACCCTAGTAAAGATTAAGCTTTACCTATATAACATTAGCAGCTAATAACACCCCTAGCAACGTAGGCTGCTACTACTTATTTACTTATAACAAGGTAGTAATAAAAAGACACCTATAGCACGCGCAAGTACCGCGCGCATTATAGGCAAACCCTAGCTATAAAGCTTCTTATTAAGGCCGCGCAGCACTATCTTAAAGTTAGCCTAGTTGCTAACTATTAGCAGGAAAACCTGCATCCTATTAGCCACTAAAGCAGCCTATAGCTACTAAAGAGGACTTACCCTGCAACACTCGTGCTTACTAGCACAGCAGCCGTCGTAACGCCTAGCGCCAGCAACGCTATAAATACATAGCACGGCCGCAAACCTAGGCAACTCCGCAAAGAGAGTCGTTAAAAAGCGGTGCAAGCACTGCACGCATAACAAGCTATCTAAGGCAACCTAAGGGTAAGCTAGTAGCGCAGCCGCCACTAACCCTAGGAGCGCTAGACTAGCAAAGGCAGCTCCCGCACCTTAACAGGCTACTAAAGGCCTAACTAAGGGCACGGCGCGCGCCGCAGTCCGCGCCGAACAACAAACTATGCTAGCGTAAGCCCTGCGCGCACGTCGCGCGCGGCCGGAACCAGCACCTTAGCTAGAGGGCAGAGGGTGTCGGGGAGTAAGGGCTAGGGCCGTAGCGGGTACTAGAGCGCTAAAGGCGCTTACTATAGGCATAGAAACGTTAGTATTAAGAGCAGCTATATTGCTGCTAGAAGATAAATTTATTGTTTTTAGAAGAAATAACTAGATACTAAACCTTATAATAATCTAATTTAACTATAGGACTAACCTCCTAAATAAAGGGAACTAAAGACGCCTTAAGTCGCCTTTAATAGCAATCTTAGCAAGCATAAAGGGGCCGCCGCAAACGGACAAGCACCACTACTACTAGGAACAAAGGTTGCAAGCCTTTCGTTAAGACCTGCCTTAAGGGAGTTAGGCATAGAAGGGGAGCAATTATAACGCCGCCCTAGGAAGAGGACCGACGTAGGCTACGCGCAAGCCGTACGCAGTATGCGCACAGCGTATTGGATGCACATTGTAAACTAGGAAGCGGTGCTGGTGGCGTAGGCTGCGTGGCGCAGTCTGCGCACAGGCCACAGCATGTGCTAGCGCACGGGCCAAGTAGAAACGGGGTCGCGCCTGTCCTGCGCACTTGGTGCGCTAGAGGTGCGCCTACGATAAAGAGCGCCTCCCGCACTCCCTTAGAGTGTAGAAGGCAAGAATTAGCTATTGAATATACGGCTGCTTTCTCTTGTTAAGAAGATACCTTCTTGCTTGCCTAACTTACTTAGCCTACCTAAGTATACCTTTAACAATAAGATAACGCGCTAAGGCACGCTATAGCATTAACTATAGCATTAACTATATAAGAGCTTAAGGATAGAGTCACTTCTATACTTTTATAGCATTCTTTTAGCTTTAATTTTAATTCTATTAAAAAGTGCTAGAATTAAATAAAGGACTACCCTAGTATAAAATACAGTAATAAAAGAAAGCCTTTATACGCTATATTACACGCACGCGTTTAAGAGGCTTAAGAGGAGATGCCTAATAAATTATAGCAGGCTAAATTAGTACTAATGCCTAAAAGGATGCAGGCTGTAATCGCTGCAGAAGGAGGGCATACGAAATTTTAAGGAGACATCGTGTACCGTATAAATTTACTAGTATTGTTATAGATTAGTGGAATATTTTTAGCTAGCGCGATATAAAATCGTACCTTAGTAACTTACCTTTATAACCTCTATAAAAGCCGAAAACCTAGCGTAGCCGATAGGCATTACTAATAGTAGTGTCTCCTACAAAAACAGACTAATAATAACGCAGTAACTCTAAACTATATACAGTACGACGGTTATAGAGGTCGCTACCAAAAGTCCTTTCTAACCGCCTTTAGTCCCACTATTCGCACTAAGCTTAATTAGGAAATCTATTTTTAAAATTACATTCCGTCTCCTTTTTAGTGCATCCTTTCGTCCCTCCCTATATTTATTACTACCACCTAAAGCGATTAATTACCTGCTAAATATGCCACGGTATCCTCTTAATCCACTCTCGAATACAGTCTTGTTTTAAGTCTGCCCACGCACGCTGCCAGTCTGCCTCTGCTTGTGCCTTTAATAAAGGCGCGCTAAACTTAGTAGTCTGCCTTTTTAAGTGCATCTAGCATGGCTCGATTATATTCAAATCTAGTGAATTCGGGCACCAAATCAGCCTTTAAACGTCTGCACGGTTGTATACAACTGCTTGCAAAGTATGTGCATAGGCTGGAGCTCGGTCTTCTTAAACTAAGAAGTCTGCACTGCACTTGCGGGCAAAAGGTATTAGCTTTAAGATAATAATATGCTTTTGGTAGCGGTACTAGTCAATACCATTACCGCTCTCACGAGTAGCTTTGCCTGTTTGCTTTGTAAACTTCTATTGCGGCTTTCGTCCTGGTAGATTTCGTAGCCTAACACGACGAACACTAGTCTTAAGCTCCTATGCTTTACGAAGTTATGGTTCCATTTGCTAATTCTATAACGCTAACTCTTTTTCTGACTCTGCACGCTCTTTTGCAGTCTTAAGATGCTAAATATAGAACGGTCCTTTGTTATCGTATGCAAAGCATCCCTAGAACATAAATTCAGAGTATCCCTTCCACCTTTCTTGGATATAAGATCGTAAGAACCTTTCGTCTGGAGCTCTCCAAACTTTGTAGCTCCCCCGTTGATGGCAAAGAAGAACAGACGTTTCATTAGACCAGATTACTTTTTTCCAATCATCCAATGTCCAGTGTTTATGGCGCAAGCACCAAGCTAACCGCTCTTGTTTCATTAACTCTGTTAATCCAGGCTTTCGTGTTGGTTTTGTCTTCTTCATCCCAGCGTTTCGGAGAGTGCGCCAAACTGTCATTGCTGAAACGCTACCAATTTCATGTGCTAAATAAGCAGTTGTTTTTTCTCGTCCGTAGCGGTCGGTGCAAACCTTTATAAGAACCTCTTCTTTAACTAGTTCTTGCTTTCGAGGGCGGCCGGTTCGGTTACCGTCTGCAACGTGGATATCGAGTATAACCGGCGGGCGTGCATTAATATTAAAGCCACGGCTAATAGCTTTATCAAGAAGTAGATGTACCTGCCGTGCAGAAATACCAGTAAAGGCTTCGATTTGATTATTCGTAGCACCGAATAGCTTTAAGCTAAGGGCCTGCGCCCGGGTAGCAATATCGTATGAAGGCATAATGAATTAGATGTAAGAAAAAACAAAAGGCGCGACGGCAGCAACGGCAGCAGCGGCACGGAAAAGTAAACAAATAATTCTGCCGGCATTATTTAGATTTGTGGGTCTAAGGCGGTCAGAAAGGACTTTTGGTAGCGACCTCTGTACAGGCGAAAGAAACTAGGGTAGGTTCAAGTATTACTCCGTACTGACCAGGGTCCGACCAGGGGCTTATGGCAGGCTAGTGACTTTTTTGACAGTGCGCGGTACAAATTCGTACCCTAGTAACTTACCCTTGTAACCTCCGTAAAGAGTCCAACTCCTCCTGCCTTGGCTCCAACTCGACAACTCCACGTTCAACGTCATCCCACAAGGCCATGTTCTCAAAGATAGCCATTCCAATGCGGCGATAGCCTCTTCGATCGAATTGACGAACAACTAAGGCGATGCCCTGTCCCTCCCTGTTCTGGTCACCATCGTTTTCAGGTTCTGTGCCCAACAGAAGAAATGAATCCGGTCTTCCAGGCCAGGACTCTCGTCCATGTCGACCATTTTGCTCGGCGGACGAAGTTTTTAGGTCTAGCAGCTTGCTTATCGAGGCTCGCTTGTCCACATTGATGGAATCTTCACAGAGGATGCGACATTGCAGTACGACCTTAGATTCAGTAACCATTTGTGCCATTGCGTCCGGCGCACTGAAAGACGCATAACAAATACGCCCGTCAAGGGATGCCCATGACCAGCTGGGAGCGCGTCTCAGAACTCGGTACGGCTTCCGGTCGGCCTCTTCCTTATACCAGGCCAGGAGGACAATGAAACCTTTTTTCCAGTGTCCGAAGAGGTTCATGTCGGGCCACTGAGTCTGCAGCTTAGATGTGATACCGGCAAGGGCCCGCAGACGATCGTCTGATCTCGTTAGCTGTCGCTCGGTATAAAGCATCACGATGGTCTTCCAAGTACTGAGCCTCACGTCTTCGGCGACATCGTCGCCGTCGCCAAAGTCTATTTCCAGCGGCTGTCGATAGTCGAGTCCATAGCCAGTGACACCGCGGGTACCCATCTCCTTGCACTGCCACAGCACCTCGTAGTGGGAGAAGATGAGTTTTCGCGAAGACAGCATATATTCCTGCAGTCCCCAGGCACGGGTTTCAAGATGATGGATCGGCTCGTACGGCTTGAACGAGAGATACACAGTGCCTATACCGCCGTCCATGGGAACGTGAAGTTCGTGCTCTGGCTGGTAGGATGGGGGTTGCCTTTTAGGGGAAAGGAAGCCTTCGGCCGCGCTGGTCGAGGTCGCGGCCATGATCGTAACAGCCGCGTTCTGGAAACAGAGTCCCATCTGATCAATCTCGCGGCTATTGCCCGTAGCACAGTCCTGTATAATGCATAATGCGTCCACCCAGAGATATCGGAAGCCGAGTGCGCGCGTGACCGTCACGGCATCCTGAATTGTCGGCGGCAGCTCGTCCAGGTAAATGCCGGCAGCCAGTTTTTGGTAGGTGTCATTGCGCAGTGTCAACGGTCGGTCCGCCATCGATTTCCCCCCCCAACAGTAGCTCAGAGCTAGGTACGGTTGCTTCAATTCAGGTTCACTGATGAGCCGTATTCCCGGCCCCTCTTCGTTGAAGACGTCAAGTATGCGGGTTGGGAGCCTTGCGTCTGGTGTATATTGACATTTTTTGTGCGCCTGCGGGCGACTGTCGTTGCATTCTTGGATGAGCGATCGCGCGGCCGTAAAAACTTTGTCGTCTATTGTGCTGCAATGAGGGAGTCGTCGGTGTACAATATTCCCCATGACATTGTCTGGGGCCGTCTGTCAGATATCACTCGTCGCCTTCTGGTCTTTAGCCAGACCACCGCGGTTGCACTAACCAAAGTTCGCAAACAGACGGGTCCTCATTACGTCTTGGTCGATGTTCGACTCGAGGCGACCTCGCAGTCCGTAGATGCCGTCCAAGGGTGCTTCGGGGGCCGGGCCCTCTATATTTGCATTGTGGAAATTCCAGAGTATAAGGTGATCATTCTCTGCCTGTTTCTCTCCGCGGTCCTTCCACACATCACAAAACAAAAGCTCACATAAATGGCATCTGTTTTTACTTGAAGCCTTGCACTCGTCACGCGTATAGTGCTGAAGCCCTGTCGATTTGTTGAGGTCCTGCAGGCCTCTTTGGGAGAAGACGTATAAACATTTTCCACACAACTCCGGGTCAGGGTCCATGTTCTAGTTCAAATGTTCAAACAGGTGTAACGTTGCGCCGACGACGGAAATCTTGACTTCACCATTAGGTTGGCATTTCCGACCGACTCGAAAATCGAGTAGGATCCGCAGGTGAACGTGCATCGCTGTATGTCCTCCAATTGGCCATCCTTCAGGTGTAGACTGAACGTGGCGCAGTACCTTCATCTGACTGACGCTGTAGACAGTACTTCGAAGGGCGTTGCCTTTCAAACGAGAGCTCTTTTGGATCCTACAATATCGTATGTTAGAACAGTTGCAAGCTGCTTCAAATAAGCCTCTATTTGTACGAGTCCGTACAGCAAATACAACACATACGGAGGTCCTTACCAAAAGTTCGTTCTCACCGCTTCAGCAAAATAGAAAGGTGGGTATAGTGCTAGTAATTTATTGCTAGGGTATGTACATATCTTAGCCGCCCTTGGGGCTTTAATTTCTCTGGTTTTTTACACGCGGCGGTGGCATAGGCAATAGACGTGTTAAGAATGGCTTAATATTCAAAGGTCAGACTCTACTGTCCAATGTCTAATGTAGAGGGGTAAAAGCCCCTCCATCTGACTAACCATTAGATACTCCGTACGTGACCACAGATCATGGCAATGTGGCTTCTACTCCGTGCACCATTACTCCGTAGTCTGTACGCATAAGTCTGCGCAAATACATAGTACCAGGGTAAGACCAGTACGGTAATCCTTGTGAGACATACGTCCGGACCAGTTGCACGTATCGTAGTAAGCTCCAAGGCCTTCAGAAGATGATATTTCGTAGGGTGGTTGACTGAAGACCAGACTGTACACAGTGTGTGCGCTCAGATCAGGAGCACCATGTAGACGGTGTTAAACGGACGAGACCAAAATGACCGTGATATGAGGACATGTACTCCGTAGCGCAGAATGGAAAGATACGGAGTACTTGTACTCCGTATCCTGTAGCGTATAGTGCATAAGCTCACTTATTTCGTAGTGAGTTTCATGCACGTCGGCATAGTTCGACAATAACACATAGCAATAACCGTGCCACGCACACTCACTAGGCGCCTATAATTTGACAGACTTAACAGTATACGGAGTAAATAGCAACTTTTTTAAAAAAAAAAAATATAATGTAAACAGAGTACTAATATGCGGCGTTCTCCTTACCATAACCTGTATCTAAACAGCGCTTGCTACGCCCTATTTTGTTTCGTAGAGGATCACGTATTAGGACTTAAAAAGCAACATCGTGTTCATTCTACTCCGTATAGTCTAGGGAGTTACGTGAGGTATAACTTACAACTTACGGAGTACACTCCATTCAATCAATATTCATACATTAGCAACAAGACCTTTGCTTTCGTTCCTGCCCTGCAAATGCCGTACTCGCTATTGTGGATGACCCTTTCAGCCAAATAGGGCTGATGCACGACGTGGAATAACACCAGATATTGGCTTCTATCTCGCAGAAAATCGCTGTCAAGGAGAATCTGACTAAAGATAATATGGACACGGCGCACCCAAGGCACGTAAGCAACACTTTCGTGTCCGTAACACGCTCTAAAAAAACAAAAAGTCAGGACCTGAACGTTACTTGTAGAATGGTAAGGCATTCATTACTCCGTACTCCGTACATGGTCAAATATGCTGTGTTTCGTTCTTACTGTAAAGCGCATAAAGTGGCTTTTGCCGACCAATTAAAGGTCACCTACTTTCACAGCATTTTTTTGTCCACCCGAGTCCTTGCTCTACCCGAAGGTAGCCTTGCCGAACTAAGCCGATGCTAAGCGGACACACCTTCTCCGCATCTTCAACGACAAACCAATGAAGCAAGCCATAAAACGACAGCCACCATAACTTCACGGCCAACTTCGATGGCGTCCCGCCGACTAACACGCCTTACTGCAATGCTACGGCCGGTAGCTGTAGCCACACAGCCGTGGCATCGCAGCAGCTACTCGACCCAGGCGCTGGTGGGCGCGCGGCTGAACGTGCCGATCGACTACGCGACGACACCGCTGCTGGCACACACAGCGCAGGCAGCGCTGGGCCAAGCAGAGCTGCCGGCAGCGGTGCGCAGCGGGACGACGAAGCGGATGAACCTGTTCCAGGCGGTCAACGACGCTATGGCGACGGCGCTGGGCGAGGACGAGTCGGTGCTGTTGTTTGGCGAGGACATTGCCTTTGGCGGTGTCTTCCGCTGCTCGATGGGCCTGCGGGACACATTTGGCGACGAGCGAGTGTTCAACACGCCGCTGAGCGAGCAGGGCATCCTGGGCTTTGGAATCGGACTGGCAGCTGAGGGCATGCGGCCGATCGCAGAGATCCAGTTTGCCGACTACGTCTTCCCGGCCTTTGACCAGCTCGTCAACGAGGCAGCCAAGTTTCGGTATCGCGACGGGACCAACGGCCGCCACGTCGGCGGACTCACAGTGCGCATGCCCTGTGGCGGCGTCGGCCATGGCGCGCTCTACCACTCGCAGTCGCCCGAGAGCCTGTTCGCCCACATCCCTGGCCTGCGCGTCGTCATGCCGCGCTCACCCCTGCAGGCCAAGGGCCTCCTGCTGGCTGCCATCCGCTGCAATGACCCGGTCGTCTTCTTCGAGCCCAAGATCCTCTACCGCGCCGCCGTCGAGCAGGTCCCCACTGCCCCCTACACCCTGCCGCTCTCCAAGGCTGAGGTGCTCAAGCAGGGCGCCCACCTGACGATCGTCTCCTACGGCCAGCCTCTCTACACCTGTCTCAGTGCCATCCGCCGCGCCGAGGAGGACCTAGGCGCCGGCCTCTCCATCGAGCTCATCGACCTCCGCACTATCTACCCCTGGGATAAGGAATGTGTCCTACAGAGCGTCCGCAAGACCGGCCGCTGCATCGTCGTCCACGAGTCTATGATCAACCAGGGCGTCGGCGCCGAGGTCGCCGCCAGCATTCAGGAGGACCCAGACACCTTTGTGCGTCTAGAGGCCCCTGTCATGCGCGTCGCCGGCTGGAGCACGCCCAACGGCTTGCTGTACGAGAGGTTCAACATTCCTGACGTTGCCAGTGAGTTGTTACTTTCCCCTGCTTCTCCGCTCTCCATTACTGACATCACAGGGATTTACGACGCTATCAAAACGTCGATTTCGTACTAATCCTTCGAGGAATGGAATTAGTCGAGTGAAACAGTGCGGGAGGAAGCTTGAGCAAATGGGCGTCAGAAGAACTCGGTACAGCTTGCATTATTATAGCGTTGATGCTCTAATTGTACTGCTCTCTAGCTCTGACACCGATCCTGCCAGCCGTTGCCAACTGCTGACTAGTCCCGCTCCCGCTGCCCCTCCGGCGCCCCCCCTGATTTGAGCCCCGCTTCTCTCAAGCTCCAAAAGTGTCTTGCCTCGCGACCTCGGTTTGAGGAGCGTCTGCAGACCACGTGGAGGTCCGATCTGTCGAACTTCCAGTCCTTATACCGCCCCAACTCCCAATCCAAAGTACGCGTGCGCGACCAGTCTCGCCATGCCTAGCGCCCAGGAAATCGACATTGTGTCGTCCTTTGTGGCGGGCGCGCCTCCGGGCGAGGTGAGTCTATTGGGCTTGGCTGAGGCAGATCTTGGGCGAGCCGGATAGAGACGTGAGACTGCAGCAAGAGCTGACACGTTCGCAGCTCGCCAGTGTCATTGCAGGTGATTGCCGCACTCCTCACCTCCTATCCTTTCGAACGTCACCCTAACAGAATATAGACATTGAGAACCTGACGCTGGATCGACCCAACCTCACCGCCGAGCTGGCCCCGGCGTACGAGAGATACAACGAGGAGCAGTTCACGACGGCGCTACTTCCCGGCAGCAGCCAGCCGGTTATCGTGAGCGCCGACAACTCCCTGGGTGAAGGCCGCTACTTCGACCCCGAAAATGCCACGAGCTTCGCCTTCGACCATAAGACACAAAAGGCTAGCGCCGCGCAGAGCTACGTGCTGGAGGGAGCACAGGCTGATCTGGTGTATGGCCGTCCCTTTTTTCCGGACTGCAGGAGAATCCTGCCTGTCCGAACGAACTTGTTGCCGCTAAGCTAACGCCCGCCAGGAAATCCACTCTCAAGAGCCTGTCGGCCTACGTCAAGGAGCACTACGAGCGCCCGGCCTACGGCGTGTACCCGGTGGAGGAGGACAGCAAGGTCTCCGTCCTGATTGTCAGCAACAAATACAGCCCACAGAACTTTTGGTGAGTCTGGAGAGGGCGAACAGAGTGCCAACATGCCACCCTTCAGCCCCTCTAACTTTCGGTCAGGAACGGTCGGTGGCGGTCGCGCTACGTGTTCGACCCGAGCTCGGGAAGCCTCGAGGGTTTCATCCGCGTGGACGTGCACTACTACGAAGACGGAAACGTGCGCCTGCTGACGGACAAGACGCTCTCGACGTCTGTGCCGTCGGGCACCGGCGCCGGCATCGCCAAGGAGATCGCCGCCCTGGAGAAGCGGTACCAGGACGACCTCAACAAGAGCTTCCTCAGCCTCAGCGAGGGCGCCTTCAAGGGCCTGCGCCGGCAGTTGCCCGTCACCCGGCAAAAGATCGAGTGGGACAAGGTCGCGAGCTACCGGCTGGGCCAGGACATTGGCGGCAACGGCAGCAGGCGGTAAAGGTAGAGATGGCACAGAGGAGGATGCGAGAAAGGCGGAAGACCGTCGGCGCATAGTTTCATATGGGATAAATACGGAGACAGACGCATTTTGCCAAGAGACTCTTTGCCAATCTGTCATTCCGATCGTCAGGCCCTCACCTTTAAGAAGTGACAGACGATTACATAAGCGGGAAGTGCATGGGTGATAGCGAGATGACGCGATAAGGCCGAATAGAAGCTGGCACGGAAGCAAGCATTGCCGGGTGGGCTGATGTGCTGTATACAGCTTGCCTTCCGACTTCCCGTGGTGAACTCGGATGGCCGAATACGCACCTTAACTAATACCAAGCCGAGAGGGGAAACTAGGCAGAGATGAGCGTGCCAGGCGCTTTCTGGTTAGACTTGATTTGGCAATAAAAGACGGTGCAACGAATCTCCCACTTCCGACAGGCGCTACATACGAATACGACGGCTGTCGGAAAGTGGGAGCCCATTGAGCTTACATGCAGAGCTGTAGAAAAACTGGAAATATTATCCGGACACATGCTACAGATGTACATACGAGCAGGTGCTAGAGAGATAACAGTCCTTGCCATTTGTCGTATTCCATTCTCTCCATTTCCACCGGTTTCCCCGGCTGTCTTGGAAAGAGAGGAAGAAAAAAGAACGAGAGGCAGAAACGGGAGCGACGTACTCCGTACGTTGTACTGTATCTTACATAGTAATTGGATGCAGGCCTGATCAGAAATGTGGTCCGTGCTTTCCCGAATTGCCGCCTCTGCTTTCCGCCGCGATTCTTCAGTTTGGTAGTGGCGGACGCTCCGCTGCACAGAATGGTACCATACGCCTTCCCAACAGCCAATCCCAGCTCTTCCATTTCTGTTTCTCCCCTTTCCCTGCCCTTGGTTTTTTTTCTGTTGACCTGTCTCCCAACGCCTTCTCCCGTCGCTGCCTGCCTCTCCACACTCCCGTGCCTGTGGCCCATGCTTTGTCCCCTCTTTTTCTGACCACTTCGATTATCGGTCCGTCCTAATCTTGCGCTTTTCTTCTTTTCTGTCCTGCCCTCCCCCTCCAATATCACATCGTCGCTGTTTTCAGTGCTACATAGTGTCAATTGTCGGCCTGTCCTCTTCCTCCATTCGCCTTCAGCCAGCTGTATTCCTTGCCTTCTCGTCACTTCTCGCCCGCCTTCCTTCATCGTCTCCGCACAGATTCGCAATAATGGCCACCAAGGAACTCACCTACCAGGATGTTGCCGAGCACAACACCAAGAACGACCTGTACATGGTCATCCACAGCAAGGTCTACAACGTGACCAAGTTTGTCGATGAGCACCCGTATGTTGCACCCATGCCATCCCCATTGACCCAATCGATCTGGCCTATTATCGTCGTGCGCACGTGTCCTACTTGACTTCATACTGACTGCTGTGCCTTCCAGAGGTGGTGAGGAGGTTCTGCTGGACGTCGGTGGCCAGGACGCCACCGAGGCCTTTGAGGATGTCGGCCACAGCGACGAGGCCCGGGAGACCCTGGCGCAGCTTCTGGTTGGCCCATTGAAGAGACAGGTAAGGGTCTTGTCCTCTTTGCAGGCTTCCTTCGAGTGCTCTCCTTCTTACTTTGCCTTTGCTGACCGACTTGCTCCAGCCCGGCGACCCCAACCCGTCTGTGGCTTCTAAGACCGGCGCCGTTGCGCCGCAGGCACAGACGGCCGCCTCTGCTGGCCTCGGCATTGGTGTCTACGCTGTCCTCCTCATCGGCGGCGCCCTCGGCTACGCTGCCTACCAATACCTGCAGCAGCAGCAGCAGCAGCAGCAGGTGGCCGCTTGAACGGACACGTCACCCCGATACCAACCAACTATCGCCGGCACCTCGGGATGTCTATAGCAACCTCTTACTGCAGGTGGATCCCAGAGGCTGGCCAAGAACCGAACAGAAAAAAAATCTACCATTTCATTGCCAAAACAGTGTGTCTACTAGTGTTATCTCCTTGGACGCCGCTTGATTGATATCTTCACCATTCACCATTTCCTTTGCCTCCCATGCCCTTCTTGCTCTTCGGCGATTCCCGGTGGCTGTCACATGATATGGTTGGACCCAGAGTTAACTGCGTGGTGATGTGCTTGTGAGCTTCTTGGCTCTCGGAACGGACCCGCACTTTGTGTTGGCCGGATGGAACCTAGCCGAGGCTACGCAGCATTTTTATGATAGAGACGTGGAAATAGACCGCTTCGGGAGAATGTAGATCTATCTACTCCGTAGTTCTCTGGACCTGCGAATTCCTGGCTGCAAAGCCTCGTCCGTTGCATGCTTCCTTTACCGTTGTTTTCCGCTTTCTGTAGCCGATCGGGTTGAGGCCAATTGAATTCGCGTTTGTCCACTGTTCACTCTGCTATTTAAGCGTAAAGCACGTCGTGCGTCTGGCCATCTTTATCGGCTCTATGAATCCGGCTACCATTGCCTCTTCGGAACTTCACGTGTAAAATATTTGTGCATTGGCACGTGACTAACTCACCGCCCTCAAGAATTTGGCATTATGCCGTTCCAATATGTGAAACTTCGCTTTCTCCTCAGACGGCGTCTCTTACGGAGAAGCAACTGTCAGCGCATCGCAGCATCAACCTCGCCTCCTGGCATACGACCTACGTTTGACGGATTCTGTTTCATGCGTCTACTGCTTCAGAATCCCCGAAGACAGGCTTGCGGCTAGAGCCTGCCCTTGTTTTTTTTTAAATTCTCACCCCTTGCTCCATTCAAGCGTCAGTTTCGCCGCTTCCGACTTTGCCAGCTGCCGGCCTCGTCCTCGCCATCTCGAGCCTGCCTCCTGTTGCCTCTCGATCTTCGAAAATGGCCTACTTCGACAAGCAGCGCGAGAACTTTGCCAGCTCGCTGGTCTCGGCGGCGGCCAAGATCAATGTGAGGCGGCCGGTAGCGACGCCGGCGTCACCGTCGCCGTCGGTGGCATCGACGACGTCGGTGACGACGCCATCGAAGAAAGCCAAGCGAGAGAGCGACGGGTCGGTGCGGATGGTGCTGTCGCAGAACGGCTCGGGCAACAACAACCCGACGATCTTCTCGCAGCCGGAGAACACGGGCGTGGGCTCGGCGATTGGGACCAACATTGTGTACGCGCTCGACTATCTGAAGCAGCAGGGTGGCAAGCCGGTCTCGCTGTCGACGGTGCTGGGCCACCTCAGCCTCGACCGGGAGCCGGAGGCGTTCCGGCGGCAGGTCGTCGAGCGCATGCGCCACCACCCACGTATCACTTGGCGGCCGGATGCCGGCGCTGCTGCCTCAAACGCCAGCGCCACGGACGACGACTGGCGGACGGGCACCTACGAGCACCTGCCGGTCATCCCCAATGTCAAGGACCGCACGTCGCTGCTGCAGCACCTGCAGCGCCGCACCGACGCGCAGGGCGTCAACGTCAAGGACCTCAAGGACGGCTGGCCTGACTGCGAGGCTACGCTGACGGCGCTCGAAAAGGAGCACCGCATCCTGGTCGTACGCACGAAAAAAGACAACCACCCGCGCATGGTCTGGCTCGACGATCCGTCGCTCTGTCACGAGGTCGAACCCGATTTCCAGGCCTTGTGGCACCGCGCTGAGGTGCCGTCTATCGACGACATTGTGCGCAAGCTGGCTGCCGCTGGCCAGAAGCCGACCAGCGAGGATCCTCGACTGCGCGACATTGCGGCTCCCAAGGAGAAGAAGCAGAAGAAGCGGGCGCAGCGCCGCACTGGCAAGTCGACAAACACCCATATGGAGCACCTGCTCAAGGACTACAGTCACATGAAGCGGTGAGGAAGCAGGGCTGCCAGGTGGACAGGGGCGGGCTCGGCGAAGAGCATGGCTGCTCGCCTGTGTCTGTCTCTTTTCGCTTTATAATCTTAAATTGCAACGAAATGGGTTTGGCTAAACAAAAAGGGCTGGCGTTTTGCTTGTGTCGAATTGGCGTTGGAGCTTTTTTCTTGAACATATTTCTGTATATGGGCGCTTGTGAAGACACTGCATTGGGAACAGATCACAATCGTCGTGGAGTCGTAGCATAGATAGCAGGTAAGGTAAATTGAAATACAAAAGATACCCCCCAGCATGCCACCACTACGAGTCCTCTATCCGGTTCCAATCGTCACAAGTCTAGATGGGTCGTCAAAGAATGGTATTTTGGTCGTGCACAGAGATAGTACAGAACGGAAGCAAAACAGCAGAAAACAAGGGCATACCCCTCAAAGCACAATAAGAAAATCTATAAATAACGCAAAATGACAAGACAGGCAAACCAAGACAAATCGCGGCCAGACAAAAAGGGAAATAATCCACCAAGGGTATAGCTGTAAAGCGCATCCTTCTTGGATGTCTGCTTTCCTTCTTTCTGTGAGTGGGCAGGTGATAGGAGGTGGGTATGTATGTGTGTGTGTATTACATATAGGAGATATAGAAACAAGGGTGTGAGGGTCGTTTCGGTACTGCATTATTCGGTAATAAAAGGAATATGGATCAAGAGGGTGGCGGAAGGGAAGTATTAGGCAAGGGCGTGGTGAGGAGAAGGAGGGGGTGAGATAAAGCAAAACAAATGGCAGGTGTTCTTCCAGAGATCCGGCTCGGCGTGAACAACTGACAGGGCTGACTCCCTATTGAGCCAAGCCTGTGGCTGTTCTCCCCTCTCCTGAAACCAACGGTGCCCTCTTGTTGATTAATACAGTCCTCGTGTATCGGTATGTTGAAAACGGGACTCTCTCTCTCTCCATGTGTGTGCGTGTGTGTGTCTGCGTGCGTGTGTGCATTTGTGTCTGTATGATAATCATAGTCGCCCTGAAAACCAAAGGGTATACCTTTTTCTCTTTTCGCCCCTGGGTCCATTAAACTCTTCAGACAGTTCTCCCGAATTTAGAAAAGCAGACGACAGAAAGACCCAGAAGTAAAACAGCAGAAATCAAAACCAAACAAAAGGGGAATGAGCAGCTATAAGGAGACGTGTGCTATAACGGACGACAAAGGAAACGATGATAAGATAGGGTGGTGGAGGAACATGGTGAAGGAAAAAGGAGGCCTCTCCGGGCCGTCCTCGACCAATCTCCATGCACTGGCACACGCACAGCCACAGCCAATGCCACTGCCGATTATTGGGCAGCAGCCCAAAGCTCGCTCTGACGCGGCTGCTTGACATCAAACGCGCCTGATGCAGGCTCGGCACTGCCAGGACGGCGGCTGGAGCCGGTCGAAGTACCGTAGAACAGCTGTCCGAGCGAGGCCGCATTGTACGTCGAGTCTGGGTCGGGATAGACATAGCTGCCGCTGTGTGAGGGCGAGGCCATGTGCGAGGGCGACTGCCAGCCGATGCTGCTCATGTGTGGACTGCCACCAGCGCTGCCGGGACCTTGCTGCTGCGGCTCGATGCTCGGCTCCAGCGTCGACGGCGGCCCGTAGCCGGTCGGATGGGACGTAGGCCGGATGTTGGTGTAGCCAGACGAGGCCGTAGACGTCGGGCTGCCGCCGACGTGCAGATCGTTGCGCAGATGAACAGGCAAAGAGCTGTTGGTCAGAAACTGGTGCTGCATCTGGCCAATCGACACCAGGTCGTTTGCCGGTGACATGGACATGGTCCGCTGACCCGGCGACGGCGTCGACAACGGTGAGCCCTGGTTCGAGCCCTGGTTGTCACCGTTCTCCGATCGTGGCCCGTGGCTGGTCAGCCGGCTCATCGTGTTGGAGGCGCCACGAGCCAGCGCGGCCGCTGTTGCGCGCGCAGCGTCCTCGATCGTACCCGTGTGATGGTTCTGGTGCCGCGTCAATGTCGTCCGGCGCGTGAATGTCTTCTGGCAGTCGGCATAGGGGCACTTATACGGCCGCGTGCCCGAATGGATGCGGCGGTGCCGTGCCAGTGAGCTCGAGTCACTAAAGGGCTGTGAAGTTCAATGCTGAGTCAGCATGCAGTCTTGCCACCGCCAATCCCTTCCCGGAAGCTGCAGCGGCTTACCTTGCCACAACGCTCGCATTGATGCGGCTTCTCTCCCGTGTGCACGCGGCGATGGACGGTCAGTGCGGATCGCTGGATAAACTGCTTTCCGCAACCGGGATAGTCGCACACGTGTGGACGAACGCCAGTATGAATCCGCTCTGTGGTAGAATGCAGTTAGTTTCCTGTTCTGTTTCCCTTCACTTCGGAGAGGCACAACCAACCATGGCGGGCCAAGTCGCTCCGTCTGGCAAAGCCCTTGCCACAGGTCGAGCAGGGGTATGCCTTTGGCGGCTGTCCGCTCGCCATCGGAATTTTGGTGTACTGGATGCCCGGAGGAATGGTCATGCTCGGAGCCAGGTTTGCTGGCAGGCTCGGGAGGATCATGCCGCCGTTGGGCGTGCTTGGGTCTTGTATTTGCAGCGACGAATGCATGGCCGACGGCGATCCAAACGACTTGCTGACATCATAGCCATTCAGAGATGACGGCGGTGCAGAGAATCGGGAGTGTTCGGAGCCGTGCGGTGAGCCTGTCCGGTCGACCACATGCTGTTGTAATGGCTGCAGAGACTGATGCATGCCTGGCAGGGAAACCGGGGGGAGGTAGTGTTGTTGTTGCTGCTGGTGTTGCTGGTGCTGCTGGTGCTGCTGATGGCTCTGTTGTTGTTGGTGATGGTGGTGTGCGTCGAACTTGCCGTCGTCAGAAGGATGGCTGATGGAGTTGCCTCTCTGATTGAGCATATTATCGATCCCCATGATCTCTCCAGGTGCTGGGGATTTCATAGTGAGACACGACAGTGTGTGGGACGACGTTTTCAGTCTGCTGGGCGCAAGCACTTGTATGTGTTGAGCACGCTGTGAAGCCAAATGTCAGCATTGTGCTCCCTCGAGCGAAGCCGCGAGAAAGTATATGGAGAAAGACGCTTACCAAGAGACGGGTGCTAGCAGTTTCTTGGGTTGTTCACGTATTCTAGGTCGATGCGTAAGGAGGAGTTTCGCAGTGTCCCAGTCAGATTGTGAGGTGAGGCAGCTTTCCAGAGCCGCTGTAGGTGCAGATGATGGCAAGAGGCCGCCCAAAGTTCCTAGGTTGGACGTCTGGTGGAGTTCGTGTCTAATGCGCGTCGAGTTAGCCCTGCTATCACGCGATGTTGTCTGTCCGCAACGTCGAGGATTAGGAGAAGAGGCGGTCCCTGGAGCCAGAGGACAGGCCGAGGCAGGAAAGAGGCAAGAGGGGGGGGGTCAAGAATGAAGCTTTTCGCACAGGTGGAGATGTACCGTGGCAAAGAGGAGCGGCTGTTGCAGACGGCAGAGGGCGACGTAGTCTGCGATCGAGGAGGTCGTGGCAAGATAGAGCGGCGGCGGAGGGAAGCACAGAAGAGAGAGAGGTGTTGTCTATTGTGCGAGTGGTCGTCAGGGGGGGAGGGGAGAAAGAAAGTAAAATGATTTTGTTTGCGCGCGGCGTGGGCGACGTATGGGGCTTATAGGGATTTTCTGGGGGTTGAAGTCGTGCTAAGAAAAAAAGTTATGAGCGACATAATTAAATCAAATGCAAAAGGCAAAGGGAATAAAATAAGGCCAAAAACAGAAAGCGCTGCTGGCTCAGGCTGCACTGCTACTATGTAAGTACAGGCGGTCGGTAGGCCGGAGGGCGCTAAAGGAAAAAGCAGGAAAAGGGGAGGGGAATGCTAAAAACGATAAAATAGGTAAAATGAAATCCCCGTAGACACAGCCCGGCAATTTGGAATTCGCTGTGGAAATTCCCACTGCAAATCCGTACCTTGCGTTCAGACCAGTGGCCTGTCTTGTCTGTCAGTAGCCCCTCTCCACCACAGCGACACAGGGGGAGAAAGCGAGAAGCGAGTGACGGCGGTGAGCCAGGACGACGACGGCGGCGGATGGAGCAGGCGGACGAGGGGGAAAAAGGAAACGAGAAAGGAAAACGAGGAAGGCAAGACGAGTCAGACAGGTAAGACTTTGCAGACAATGTTTCTGTACGGTCGAGAAGGAAGAAACAAATGAGCGCCACGCGAAACGAGACGCTGGCTGGAAGGTCCGCAGAATAAATAATACTACATAGCATAATAAAATTGTCAGATCGTTGGGAGTCTACCACTGCCTTTTGCTCCCCTGCAAGGCGGCCGATCCGTTTATCAGGGGGTCGCTCTGCCATTCACGCTTATTCTTCAATCCTTTAGCCTGCCAGGATGGCGGACGCACACAGTTCTATTCCTGACTGCCAGGGTCGTTTGAAACAAGAGCTAATGCGCCTTCTGCGTGGCCGAGCTGGGACGCTGGCAGTACGAGGACCGAAGAGGCAAGACGGACGAGACAGCAGAAGGGTCGTAAGGCGATTGCGTAGGCCCACTCGCCTGTGTGCCTGTGCCGGTATGCCTTCCCATCTGACAACGGCGCCCATCAGCAGTCATTCCAGCAGTCTCGGCTTTCCTCTGGGGGCCGTTGCTGCAGCCTTCGTCACAGCTTCCTGTCCCCTTTCCCTTGAGCATTAGTATGCCTGCCCCGATCGAGCTTAGACCCCATGTTTGCAGGCGGCCTTCCTACGAGTACTTGTACATAGCAGTACCCGTGTGCTCCAAACTGGGCCAGCACCAGCTCAAAGCCGGAAGCACGGAATACGGGGGGGTTTCTGGCCGTGGCACCACTCTCCGGCCATCGCATACTATCTTACATAGTACTATGTAGAATACTATGTAGAACACAGTCCTGTATCTTACCCAAAGCCCTGGGTTCTTTGCAAGTGCATGCCCGCTTCTCTACACTCGTTGTACACAGCGATACCCGCTTGCATGTGGCTGAGGGAACGCCCTGGCAAGGAGGTTAAATTGAGTTGGGATAGTCAACTAGTACAAAGCTATGTAAGATAGCAAATGCTGTATGGACGTAGTCGTCGGCGGTTACAGGAAGAGAGGCCAGGTCCAAAGTAGACAAGGTCTCAAAATGGCCGTTCCCTTTATTTCGCTCGGGCACATCGAGCGGAGGGGCAGTTTGGGGAGAATCCTCACGCTCATTCCAAGTCTCGGTCCATCTCGTCGTACAAAGTAGTAATCCTGTCGATCGTGGATGTAGAGTGGCCACTATTTTAGTCCTCTCGAGGATCATCGGGGGGGGGAGGGGCAGGTGACCTCCAATTACACCGTTTACGGAGTATGTCCGTCTTCTTGGCAGATTTGTGCCAGGAACTGGACTATAATACGGTCCATGCGCAAAGCCGCCGCCTGGCTCGCTCAGCGCTTCCGAGACTGGCGCCAGACATAGGCAACCACGAGCACGACAATGGACACGAACGCTGGATGATATGTTGGGGTAGCCGATTAAGGGAAAGAAAATAAAGCAGAAGCTCGGACAAGTTAGACCCAATAGACGAAACGAACAGGGGTGGAGGGCGCAGGGGCAGGGATCAGAGCACCAGCAGGTAATTGCCCCTGTACTAGCGCGAGGCAATGCTCCGTACGATACATGTACCCATACCCACCCGGATCTCTTCTGTGACGGACGACGGAGAATGGGAGCGGAGCGCGGGCTGCTGAAGCGTAAAAAGGGCCAAAAAAAGAACAGCAGACAGGCCATCCTCCCGAAGGGAAGATGGAGATACGAGCGGCATGAAACAGGGAAGATAAATACAAATGCAAGCTAGGCAAACCCCTACCAGGCCGTCCGGACAAGTGCCAGAACGACTATTCCCGCATACCGAACAGCTGCCGATGGAATCAGGACAGCAGGACAGCAGAGCAGCGGCATCTGCTGGATCGGTGAGTAACGGAAGCACGACGCAACGAAGGCAACCGCGACAACTGCCTCGCTTGGAGGCCTACAGCACAGTTGCAGCGCTGTATCTTATCTTACTGTTCGCGCTTGTACGGAATACGTATCTTACGAGAAGCACGCTTTGCCGGTGAGCTGTTGACGGCCTTCCAGAACAACGTTCCGGCTATTATTTTTATCGTTCGTGCAAGGCGAAATGCAATGTCCCGTGCTCAGAACCGGGGTCGAGAGGTGCGGACGGGCTGGTTGGGCTGGACAAGGGGGAGGGAGGGCAGAAGGAACAAGGGGAGGGTGGTATCGGAAGACAGAGCAACTTCCATAGATCTTCTCGAAGGAAATAAAAATGGAGAGCCAGAGGGGGCGTTTCATTGCACACCCTTGCTGGCCCCTGGGCCGTTTGGGAGTCTGGTGGGCCACACGCAGGCACTGAACAGGCAGAAGGAAAGTCTTTACGTACAAGCTGTTACATACCAGTACGGAGTACGTATTTCGTACTCTGCCAAAGCGCTCTGTATTCACGCAAGAGGCTAGGCTAGTCTGTCGTAAATTTATGGAAGACGTGCGGTGACCCAAGTGCATCTATTCGCCGGGACCGTCAACGTGCGGTGAACCAGACTGTTCGTCCTGTGCCCCCCCTCCCAAGGATCGACCCTGTCGCCCGCCGAAACCAAAACCTGGTGATGGGAAGGAAGAGGGGGGGGCTGAGCAAAGACGCCGCACGGAGGCGCAGGCAACATTCGTGATATGCAATGCGACACATACAGGGGTGGCTGGCGACACGAAGAGAGGGGGCTGATGTGTAAGATACGTCGTACTCCTGCCTTCCAGAAAGCTTCTAGAAGGCTTCTAGAAGGGAGCCTTGACCATCTGGGAAGGCGCGCCGGGGTGCACCGGGCACTCCTATGCTCCTTCCCCTCTGTCTCGCGAACCCCTTACACGAGCCCCATCTCGGCGGCATATAAGTGGGCTGCACGCGCATATACGCCATGGCAGCCCGAACAGGCAGAGAGAAATGAGCACAGAGGCTCGGTGAGAACAAAGCAGCAAGAACGGCAGCAGGCAACCCCGGGCAATGCCGTCAACCGACAACGTCCCAGCCGAAGAGGAATAGCTCCATGCAGACGGGTTGGCCGCATTTCCTTTTCGCTGTCCTTTCGTGTCTTTTCGTATTAGCTGTCGATCGAGGCTACGGAGTACGTCGTACGCACGAAGAGGAGCGCGTTGGGCCCCCATGACCCCGTCTGGGCTCTTTGGGCTCTGTCTTTGGTGTGGGCTGGAGAGCGGCGGAGAGTTCGCTCCTATACAAGCCTAACTAGTGTGCCCAAAAGCCGCATAAGAGGCTATTTTTTATGAAGCAAGGAGCAGGTGGGCGGATGTGCTCTTGCGTGCGTCTTGAGCAGGCTGACCACCCGCGCCGACGGGCGAAAGAAAGAAGGAAAGAAAGAACAGGAGGGAGGTGTGGTCCCGCTTTTTCCTTCTTCTGTGTCATCTTCCGTCTTCAGCTGCAGCGGGCTAAAGCAAGCACTGTCTGGAAGAGGGCAAAGAGTAAGGACGGCCGTTTACTCCGTAAAACAGCGCAGCCGCGTTTCCCATCTGCGAAAGACACAGTACAGGTATCACATGCAGCCCCTGGCACACCAGTTTGATCTCTTATCTCAGAGAACCCAAGCAGTCAAGTCCCGCGGCTGGCTCGCACGACACGAACGTAGCTCTGTGCGCGCTGTGCGCGCTGTGCTTAGGATGCCCAAAGCAGCTACCACGTCGTATGTATGATGAACCCACCCGCTAGCGCAGTAATCTTGAGACGGCAGAGGTGACGAAGGCGGCTACGGAGGAGGCGGTTCCCCGTTTTACCTATTTGGACTTGCTATTTCGGTGCAAGCCGAAAAGCCATTGCTTGAGCAGATTGGCATTCGGCAGGGGCGTGTGGGGGTGGAAGAGGGGCGTGTGCGCCGCCATGGTCGCTGTTCGTCGGGGGCCGAAGAGGGAGGCGGACGAGAAGAGGAAAGAGGGAAGAGAAAAGGAAAAAGCGGAAGGAAGAAAGAGGAAAGGAGAGACAGGGAAGCCGACACGCATGCCTCCTCACCTGCCGGTGCAGTTGGAGCAGATGGGAAGGGAAATTAACGCGTCTCCTATCACGCTACCACCTTTGCTCTGCTGTCGTACTCCGTCGTCGTATTTGACATGTGCTGAACGGCTGAGCAGGGGTCTGCGACGACCGGTGGATTCGCACAGGGGACAGTCGGGACGGACGGGGAGAACAGACGGCCAGAGAGCACAGCAAAAAGTCCGCAAACCGGTCTGTCCACCGTCGATCTGTGGGCAGGTAGGGTGAGGAAAAAATAAGGGCAGGGGTTGCCAGGGAGGGTCACAGGCCCCCCCTCTCTTCTAGTCGTATTCTAGTCGCCTTCTAGAAGGAGCAGCGCCGGTTTCTCTTAGCGGGTACAGGGCTCCTTAGTGCCGCGCCCAGCCGTCATTTCTTCTAGAAATAATTTAACACCGCAGCGCCCTAGTGTGTCTGGGCTCTTTGTCCCGTCGTATCATTCCAATTATCGCCAGTTTCACCAACTGACCGACAGATCCACCATCAGCACATGGGCGGACAATCCAACGCGAATTGCACATTTTCGGCTTCCGTCTGCCCTTCCTTGTCTGATCGGCGACGGCGTGATTGCCGTAGTCGTAGCTGAAATACAGAAGAGGCCGTGCCCAACAGGGCTAGCCTCGTCCGCCTGTTCTATTTCCTGACTGAGATAGACGCCGGCCCCCACCCCTGGAATGTTCGGCATCGCCGCGCAACCGGCAGAAAGTAAGGCGAGAAAGGCAGAGGCACGAGTTGTCTCAGACGAACTAGTCTGCCTGGGAGAGACACGTGGTCGTTGTCGGCCGAAGTTGGCTGATAAGAACGTCGTTTCGGTAGGATATGTTTGTCCGTACGGAGCAGGCTAGGGAACAGACCTCTTCAGCCTCGGTGCCAATACTACTGGGCCGTGGGCGGGCTCCACGATGGGGTCTGGCAACGTCACGTTCAGCTTCCAGCAGGGGCACGGTTCTGGTTCTGGTTTTTAGCCAAGGGAATAAGCGAACAGAAACGTTGCATTGGAAAAGGGTGTTGTGAAGACAGCGAAATTGTCCTAAAATCTGCTCTAGACGCCATCCGGACGCCGTCCGTAACCCAGCATGAAAGAAGTCAACGAAGCACGGGAAAGCAGACGCAAAGCAAAAGCAAAAGCCAGCCATCTGACGCCTACTTCCGATTGCGCGTCTTCTTGTGAGGCTGTTGCAAGTCTTCCTCCTCCTCGTCGTAGCCCTTCTTCAGGTCCTCTGTGAGCCCCCAGGTGTCCCAGTCGTAGTAGTCCTCGCCGTCCGACAGGTCGCGGTTTGCCTCGGCCTTGGACCACAGCAGCACCGTCTTGCGCAGCCGGTCTGCCCGCAGTAGGCCTTCGTGCAGCTTGTTGGCCCCCCGCGCCACCTCCTCCTGCTTCTGCACCCACAGCTGCAGCAGCCGCCGGACGTCCTCGGCCTCGTGCTCGGGCAGTCCTCCGTTCGGCTCTGGGTGGGCTGTCCGCGGCGCCAGGAATAGCGGGTGGATATAACCACCCTCGCCGTCGTCGTCGCCCTCGCCCTCACCCTCTGCCTCGACATCGTCCTCCGACAGCGACGTGGGCAAGGGAGCCAGCGCGCCGTTCGGCCGATCGGTCCCGTCGTGCATATTTGTGTCTTCGTCGTTGCCATCGTCCATCGCTGTCGGCCGGCTCTTGGCGCCGTTCGTCTTCCGGGATGAGGCCATGCGCGCCATGAGGTCGTCGTCAAACAGGTCGCTGTCGTCAGGGGTCAACATCAGTCTGCAATCGACCCAGTTATGGTCGCCACAGAACTTGGTCAACAGTGGCTTGACTTTCCACAACGCGCGATTTTCCTTCTGCGTCCAGTTTCGGCCCTGGACAACAAGCTCGCTGATCGCTTTGGAGTAAAAGGGACGCGAGAGCGACGGGTGGCTTGGCAGGTCGGTCACGGTAGTCAAGGGGGCGAGGAGTTCTAAAAAGCCAAGAAAAAATTAGCTCTGGCAACTACACGCGTGCACAACACACAGAAATGGTGTTTCTCACGCTCCAAATGGATGCTGGAGTACGGATTCTCTTCTGCAGCCGCAGCGACGGCCTCCTGGACGACCTCTGCATCCTCGTCGCTCTCGACAGAGTAGCCGTCATCGTCGATGAGCGGAGGATTGCGACTGATAATCTCGCGTCGATAGCCAGCGTGGTCGACAACCTGGTTCGGTGGGCTGTCAGAATACCGGTCGCTTTACTACGCCGACCAAACGCACCTCTGTGAGCATAGACGAGCCATCAGCGCCGGCCAATTGGCCTTGGTGCACGAAGCGGGCTCGCTTCTTCAACTTGTTGCCGCGGTTTGTGGTCTGGTCGATCTCAGAGTCGGAATCGGAGTCTGTCACGAGAAAAGCCTGATCAGCTTCTGAAGACCAAAACAATTCGCCAGACCTGGACGAGCGTCTGCTAGAGGGGATGAAGTAGGGGCGACGCAGCAAGCATACCGTAAGATTTTCGTTTCAAGGCTCTCTTAAGGCCGAGGTACATCTCCAGAAACAGGGCTTGGTCTCTTGTGGCCATGGTGACGAAGGGTGTCCGAAGCCGGACGTGGAGGCGGAAGAAGGAGAGAGAAAAGGCGAGAGGAAAAATCGCAAGACGCTCTGAGCAGGGCGACAAGCGACGGGCGAGCAGGCGAGCAGACGAGAAAGCAAAAAGTCGAACAAAATAAGATAGCGTCTGAGAAGCCGGGGAGCCTGTGCAGCTTCTGCCGACAGAGGGCAATGTTCCTGTGCAGGGCGTGCTCGCGATGGATGAAGGCTGGTCTGCTTTTCGGGACGCCAGTGTCGGAAATTCAGCACGCGAAGAGCCCCCGCGCTGCGACGAGTTCTGATTGGCTGGGAGGCGGCAGAAGCAGAGGTACATGGCGATAGGGAACAATGGGTGCGATAAGGCGGCAGTCGGGGTACTCTGGCAGCCCCGCCAATCAGATCAACAGCTCACAATTCCCACCACGGCTACAGTGGCGTCTTGACGACGATGCAGACGGACCTCAACACAACTCACAGACACGACACGAACACGGGTGCTTTCGATAGCACCGCCCAGTGCCGAGATGGACGAATATCCTGCGTACAGTCTGGACCGCAACGTGCCGCTGCTGGTGACGATCGGACTGCCGGCAGGCGACGAGGAAGAGGAAGACGAGCGATGGCTCGTGGGCGAGGATATGAGGGAGCAGGCGACGGTGCTGCGGTCGACGATGCCCATACTGGATGGTGAACTGGCGACGAAACTCCGACGGTATCTGACGGTGCAAGACCCGGCCGTGGCGCCATGGAGGGGGCGGGCCCATCCTCCACGATACCAGTTTCGCGTGCGGACAGCAGGAAGAGTAGGGACGCCCACTCTTGTCGGCATCGTCAGTCTGTGCTAATTCGGGGGTGATCAACAGAAATACATGCTGCCACCACGACGGTCGGAGCTGCCAGAAAACTTTGAGCCCGGGCCGGGACAGGTGGTGCTGCACTCGCCGTTTTCGCCGCTGAGCCCATCATGTCGGCTGTACGCAGACGGAATCATGAACGTGGCGTGGATACAAAAGCACCAAGCACTGGTTCCGAGTGCGTTTCTGCTCTGCTATACACTGTCGTCAGCCGAGGCAGGGACGACCGTGCAGCACCAGCACGACGGACAGATCCAGGCGGACATCACGGCGTTCAAGGCAGCGGTGACGCAGTCGGGATACCGCAGCCGGGTGGCAGTAGTGGTGCTTGCAGACGAGCAGAGCACAGGGCCAGGGTTTGGCTCAGCAGGTGCAGCAGCAGACGGAGCAGCGCTAGTGCAGGAGCGCCTAGAACACATCCGAAGAGGCAGCGGCGTGGACGCGAAGCTGTTCTTTGCGCTGTCGGCCGAGGCATCGGGCGAAGAGCTAGGACGGGTGGCAGAGAACATGCTGACGACGATGGGACTGCAGGCACTGGAGTACTACCGGGAGCTGAGCCGACACGTGCGCAAGAAGCGAGGCCGCGGGTCGGCACCACAGCCATCAGTGCCGCCGACAAACGGAACATCGCAGACGCTGTCGCTGCCAGGATGGCATATCCGGTACGACTTTAAAGCGGCCGTGCTTGCCGAGTTCCGACAGGAGCTGGACGGAGCAGTGCGGGCGCTAGATGCAGCATACGCGACGCTTTTGGGACCGGACGTGCTCGACGCGATTCCGAGTTGGAGCCGGCGCTGGAACGAGGCACGATGGCTGGCCGACACGATAGCGGTACGCAGCCTGCGCTGTTTGCTGGTAATGGGCCAGCACAGCACGGCAGTCAGTCGGTGGGGGGTGCACCGTGACCGGATGTGTGATCTGGTAGAGACTCGGGGCCGTGGAACGGCCAACTACGGGTTCGCAGCCTGGGAGGCGCGATGGGCATTGGTGATGGCCGGGCTGGTGGAGAGCACGGTGCCGATGCTGTCGGTAATGGGGTCGCCGGGCAGCGGGCTGCCATTGGTGCGGCTGCCACCGGAGAAGGGCATGGGAGCAACGGCCGTCGAGCGGCTGCCACCGTGGCAACGGCTGCACCACAGTGGATATTGGCACCGGATAGCGGCCGGACACCTGTACCGACGGCGGGCGCTGGCGCGGGCGATCCCCAAGGACGATAGGAGACCTCCCGGGATGTCGCCGGCGTCCAAGGTGGCACGACTGGCGTTTGCGTACGACGACTACATGTGTCCGCCGCCGCACGACGAGTTTGCAGCGACGGATCACGGAGCGATGGTGGTCACGTGTCTGGAGGCGTCACGTGCCGCGTTTGTGCAGCACAAGCAGATGCGCATGGCGGCTGAGGTGGCGCTAGAGTGTGGCCGCGAGCTGGTGACAGCCGGCAGATGGGCAGAAGCGGTGGCACTGCTAGGGCCTCTGTGGACGGCGGCACAGTACCGCAACGAGGGCTGGCTCGGGGCCGGCGAGGAGCTGGCATGGCTGCTGCGGGTGGCGGCAGCGGCGCTGGGCCGCGCAGACCTGCTGGTGTCGATCCACTGGGAGCTGCTGGACCGGAGCTACGGACAGCGGCCACAGAGTCAACGGCAGGACGGCCAGGACGGCCAGGACGAACCGTACGACGTGGCGCGGACAATGGACGACGTGGAGCTGGTCCAAAAGGTCCAGACGGTGGCTGCAGTTCGCTTGGGCCAGCCATCACCGTCTTTTTTGTCGGCCACGTTTGCTTTTCAGACGGGTGAAGGCAAGGCTGGCCACACGATGACGGCACAGCTAGCACTGCACTCGAACGCGCAGCCAGGATCGGTGGCTGTAGTGCTGGACGCAGTGCGGGTGCGGTTTGAAGGGGCGGGTGGCGACGGCACGACGATCAAGCCGTTGCTGCTGCGACACGACGGCAAAGCGAGGCCCCCAGCAGGTTCGGGGACGGTCTTTTTGACAGTTGTTCCGTTGGAAGAGGAAGCGGTGGAGGGTGGCGGTGAGGACGAGGAGAGCGACGACAGCGAAGACGACGAAGACAAGATGCAGCTCTGCGGCTTGGCCGACCTGACTCTCCGGCCACAGTCGACGGTGGTCTTTCAGGTGGCCATTCCACTGCGCGAAGCCGGCGATGCAAGAGCCGTGTCGGCTGAACTGCACTATAGCTGCGCGCGTTACTCTCTGCGACAGGCCGTGCCGTTCTCGACTGGGCTGGCCGGTCGACTCAAGGCTGCCTGGCTGCTGTCACCGGAAGCGAGCGTCTTGGTGCCGCGGCCCGACTGTCAGGCCGTCCATGTGCTGCCGCGACCACCGAAGCTGGCCATCGAATTGGTGCAGGCAGGTGGCCGAGCCGTGTCGCAGGTGGCTCTGGCACAGGTGACGCCGTCAACAGCAGCAGCAACAGCAGCATCAACAGTAACAGCAACGACAACAACAGCTACAACTGCCTCTGCTGTGGTGCCATTTTACACCAACGAGCCAGTCGAGGTAGTGTTTGATCTGGTCAACGGCGAGGAGACGGGTGCGGACGTGCACCTGGACGCAGTGCTGTACGGCGGCTCGGCGCTGGCAGGGTTCACGCTGCGTGTCGATGGCGACGAGATCGACACGGCGCTACCGCATGGGGGCAACGGCAATGGCGACGGTGAGGCGGCGCTGCGCTCGGTGCCGCTGGGAGTGGTGGCAGCAGGCCGGCGAGTGCACGTGAGTGTGCACGTGACGCCGATAGTGTTGGCGGCATCGGTAGACGTTGCCCTGCGCGCCGTGTACCACCTGGTCGATGACCCGGCCACGCCCATCACGCAGGCGCTTTCGGTGCGGCTGGCCGTGACGAACCCGTTTGAGGCCAACTACGATCTGGTGCCGCGTCGCCACCCGGCCGCGTGGCCGAGTCTGTTCGACCACGAGGGCATTGTTGGCGGCGACGACGAGACGAGCGAAAAGGACGAACGGGACGGAGAAGACGAAAAGGCGCAGCTTCTGCCGCCACACGGGCTCGCGCAAGCCTGGACGCTGGTGACGCGCTACGCCTCGTTTGCGACGGACGAGCTGCGCATCGTGGGCCTCGACATGACGGTGCAACCGGTGGCCGGAGTGACGTGTCGGAGCACGCGACGAGAACAGCTCAGGACGGATGCCAGCAGCGATAGCACGCAGACATGTATGCACGTGATGCAGCCGCAGGAGGCAGCCGAGGCGCAGTTCGACCTGGATGTGCGGCGAGCCAGCCTGGAGCAGCGCGACCCGGTCAGCTTGGACGTGTCGCTGGCGATCCGTTGGCAGCGGGTAGGTGGTGAAGACGATACGGCTGTGTCGCCCGTCAATGTCACCACGCTGCCGGTGCCACGTCTGGGCATCTTCGGCACGGAGCCGCGAGTCCTGGCTTCGGTGTCGTATGGGAGCAGCAGCAACAACAGCGAAAACAACAAGAAAAACAGCCTCGCCAGCCTGATCACGCTGACCATCACAATCGAGAACGCGTCGGGCCACTTTCTGACGTTTGGCCTGACGATGGAGCCGTCGGACGAGTTTGCGTTTGCCGGAGCCAAGCTGACGACAGTCCACGTGCTGCCCGTGTCGCGGCGCACGGCAACATACCGACTGCTGCCACTGGTGCACGGCGCGTGGATCCGGCCGACGCTGGTGGTGCGCGACAAGTACTTCCAGAAGGTGTTGCGGATCCTGCCGACGGAGGGTCTCAAGGCCGATAAGGAGGGCATCCTGGTGTGGGTGCCGGGGGAGGAGTGAGAGAGGAGGACAAGTTAGAAGCATCAATGTACAGCGTAAATTGAGTGACCTGTAGAGTAATGACGACGTATGACTAAGCTGGAGTTGTCTTGTCTTTGGTTGTGTTCTGTTCTGTTCTGTTCTGTTCCTGCACATCTCCTACAACTTCCCCTTGTCCCTCGTCGGTATCGGCTCAATGAAACTGCGCCACTCGTCGTCCAAAACCTGCTTGTCTGCGTCTTTGCGCCGCCACCAGAGAGCCAGGTCCGCCTCCTCCTCACGCCACAACACCAGTTCCGCCGCGATCGTCTCGGCCGCCGCCCGCGCGCACGCCGTCGGCTGTTCCATCGCCACCAGGTGGCCGGTTGTCGGCAGCACCACCTGGCGCACGCGCCCAGCAGCCACGCCGCCGCTGCCGCCCACCTGCACGCCCGTGAGCTCCATCTTCTCACGCCGGACGTCCGGCGTCGACATCGGGCTGATGCCGCCAAATACGTAGCACACGCCCGGTCGCAAATGGCCGAGCTGCTCGGTCGTATTGGGCACCTCGGGTCGGAACAGCCGGTTCGTCGCCCCAAGCCGCTCTAGGCTCTTATCGCTCACGTCCGGCAGCCGGTCGCGTCGGAAAACCCGCCGTCCGGTCGTCCCGTCGATTCCCTGCATCAGCGGCCGCAGAAACGTAAAGACCTCCTGGTGTTTGGTTGTGGCCAGTGTCACCGGCCGGGCCTCACCCGTTGCTGGCGTTGTCGGCAGCTCGCGCAACCCATACGCCAGCCAGGCGTCTAGCACGCGTTGATCCCATGCCGCATAGAACTTGGACTGCCGGAAGGCCGCTGCGGCTGCCTCGCGCGACGGCCATTGATCCCGCCGCACCGCCGACAGCGCCAGTGGATTGAAGCCCGACACCGGTGTCGTCGGGTAGAAATGCAGCACCGGGTCCAGCAGCACCAGCGATGACAGCAACCGCGGGTGCATCAGCGACAAGTACGTCACGATCGTGCCGCCAAATGAGTGGCCAATGCCCACCAGCGGCCGTGGCATCTCGGCCCGGAATGTGTTCACCATCTGCAGCAGGTCACGCGCGTGATCATACCAGGAGGCTGCGATGGACGAGGCCTGTTAGTGTGCGTTTGTGCATCAGATACCAGACTAAAGCCAGATCCAAACCCACGGTCGTTCCCGAGAATAGCCTCGTTGCGATGGCTACTTTGACCTTCCCAGGCCACATCGGCAATCCATATGCTGCGGATCCGGAAGCCGTGCTTTTCTGTCTCGGCCAAGAGGTCGTCCCAGAGAGCCTCGTAGAGCTCCTTCGGAAAGCCGTTTGCGTGCGCCCCAATAATCGTGACGTCGCCTGGCTGCGGCTGCCGGTTGCTCTTTGGGATGTACTGTTTCGCCACGAGCTGCAGCACTTCTTCCTGGTTGTGGGCTGTGGCTTGGGGATACTCGCGGATGTGTTGGCCATTGAACACATGCTCTCGCACGTCGAAGAATTGCTGAGACATGATGGCAGTAGACAAAGATGAACAGAGAGGACAAAGGGAAAGACAGATGAGGCTCAGAGTTGCAATAAATGTCTCCAAGATGCGACTTCCACTTTTGGCGAATTCTACAGCCTGGTACGAACGAAGACCAGGTATGATTGCCCAGAAGGGATGACTTTAATGCCTGTACTTTATCTGATGCCGAGGTATTATAGCATGGCGTTGCTACCATTAATTATGTTGGGGAAATAGTGGAGGTGCATTTCCCCATACTTGCCAACTTGGTTAGCTGGTTCTGCTTCTGAACCTGCCCCAGTTTTGCACTCAGTACGAAGTGCTGGCGTTGTAGCGATACTACTCTATAAAACAGCGTCTGCCGATGCTCTTGTGTGTCACATCGTATCACAGTCCTCGATTGTGCAGTTTCTTGGTGCAGATGTGCAGCTCGCCTCGGTGTCTAAGACTATGCGAGATTGTCATGCATATACTTTGGCCATTAGGGCTCCCGTACTCCGTACTCCGTACCTAGTACTGGATCTCACATAGTCACTCAAAGGTCACGTGATCGCCGCGGGGCTTTCGCGCGTTTTAGTAGTGCGCTATACGCGTTCGCGTACTTTAGCGTGTCGACGCGATTTGAAGGATCCATCGTCTAGACAGATTCACAGAATCACAAATCACAAGGCACCAACTTCAAACCCCGACATTTCCTGCATGTTGCCTCCCGCAGGCTCATAGCTTCTGCTACACTTCCCACACCATCTCCCAACATCCGCACACACAATGGCCGACAAGGACGGGTCGAAGAGCGTCTTCGCTTCGTGTCAGTTTGCCTTTGTCCCCAGTCGGTCTCTGCTTCCAAAGACCATCGCCGAGGTGCGTCATATTTCGTTGCTTGCCCGTCACCCACCATCCGTTTCCCCCTACTAAACCGATCAGCTTTCACGGACAGTAGAAAAGTATGGCGGCGTGGCGCTCGACCCCGAATCCGACGGCCGACTACCCCTTGACAAGGCGACGCACATTGTGGCCAACTCAATCGACTTCGAACAGTACAGCCAGGCAATCGAGATGATGCTGCCGGTCGTGACGGTAGCATGGATCACACACTCTCTCAGCCGTGGCAAGCTGGCCCAAATACGCCCATTCTCGCCGGACCCGCGGATGATCTTCTCCAGCGTCAACCTGACATGTGCCGACATCCCGCAATGCGACAAGGAAGCCATCACGGGGGCGACGATGGCCTTGGGCGGCATGGAGTCGAAAGACCTCACGCGGCTGACGACGCACATCTGCGCGCTGTCGATGGACCACCCCAAGTGCAAGGAGGCCGAGGCTAAGAACCTCCGGTGCAAGATTGTGCTGCCTCACTGGTTCGACGATTGCTTCAAGCTGGGCAAGAAGATTGACGAGGGCCCATATCTGCTCCCGGACCCTCCGATCCTGCGAGGGAGACGTGTCGGCGGCGGAGACGGCGGAGATGGCGGAGACGACACCGACAGCATCCCCATCCCCGACAACCAGGACTTGGACGGGGCAGTGTCAGCGGTGCCAGAATCGATCCCGACATTGGAGCGGCAGGGGTGGCGCAGCAACCTGACGGTGTTCCAGAACAAGAAGGTGATGCTGTCGACAGATCTGAACGTCGGACGCCGGTTTCGGGCAATAGTCGTGGACCTGATTCGGCGTGGAGGCGGGCGGGTGGTGGAGGAGGACGACAGCGACGGCGTGGAGGCATGTGACATGTTCATCTGCCAGTACCGGGACGGTGAGGAGTACGTGCGGGCGGCACAGGCAGGCAAGGATGTTGGCAACCTGGCGTGGCTGTTCCACATCATCACGAACAACGAGTGGTGCTCGCCTCTGCGACGGCTGCTGCACTACCCGGTGCCGAGGCACGGAATCCCGGGATTTGAGGACTACGTGATCACGCTGTCCAACTACGGCGGGGAGGCGCGGATCTACTTGGAGAACCTAGTGGTGGCAGCAGGGGCGCGGTTCACCAAGACGATGCGAATGGACAACACGCACCTGATCACGGCGCGCGACAACAGCGAGAAGTGCGAAGCGGCGCGTGACTGGAGCATTCAGATGGTAAATCACCTTTGGATCGAGGAGAGCTACGCGCGGTGTGAGGTGCAAAGCGTGACGAGTCCACGGTACACGACCTTTCCGGCGCGGACGAACCTCGGCGAGGTCATCGGACAGACGTTCCTGGACGCTTCGCGGCTGCGAGCGCAATTCTACCCGGGAGGGGCAGATGCAGAGCAAAAAGACGGCTCGTCGCAGGTTCCTGCGGCGGCGGCAGCGAACAGCAAGGGTGGGAGTAATAGGAACAAAAGCGGAAATGAAACCGGAGACGAAAACGAAAACGACGAGGAGACAGCATCAGAGGCCTCGGGTGCGGAAGAGGAGACAACAGCGACCGCAGCGACAACAGCGAAAACAGTGACGATGCCACGACGGCCAGCACGACAAGCAGCAACGCCGAAGCGAGCAAGCCGCAAGGCCGGACGGCAAGACAAGGAGACCGAGGGCACACCGCTGGTGATGTCGAGTGCGTCGCGCAGCGCCAAGGACAAGGCGCTGTCGAAGCTGCACGGGCTGGCGTCGGACATTGCGCTGTACGAGAAGGAGAAGAAGCGAGGCGGTCGCGACGGACACGGGCCGTGGGGAGGGAAGCGGGCGGCCGACCAGGTGGACAAGGACCGGCTGCAGGCGCCGCAGGGCAGCAAACCAAAGAAGCGGACCAGCGCGGACGTCGAGGACGAGATGGGCAGCGACTCATCGTCGCGAGGATCGGAGGCAGAGCGTCCGACTAAGAAGAGCAGGCCATCGCTGCCACCGGTGACAATGCGGGTGGTTCTGACGGGTTACCAGCGCTGGGTGCACAGCAGCAGCAAAGAGGAGGCAGACCGGCGGAAGTTGCGTGGCCTGGGAATTCAGATCGTGCAGGACAGCCAACCGTGCGACTATCTGGCAGCGCCGTGTCTGGTGCGGACGATGAAGTTTCTCAAGACGCTGGCGCGGGGACCGACGGTGATCAACTCGCAGTACATCACGGACGTGCTGGAGAGCGGGCGGCTGTTGGCGGCAGACAAGTACGCGCTCGAGGACGTCGAGGGCGAGGAGCGGTTCCAGGTGACGCTGAGCCGGGCGTTGGGACGGGCTCGAGCAAACCGGGGACGACTACTCTGGAACGTGGTGGTGTACTGCATGGCGGACATCAAGAACGGCAGCACGAGCTACCGGGAGATTGCCGAGGCCAACGGGGCCATCTTCAAGACGTACCGGGCGCACAGCGGGACGACGATCCGGCCGGTAGACCCCAAGACGACCGGCGGTGAGGCAGACGATGGGCCGACCGAGCCGGTATACTTGCTGACGAGTGCGGCGCCGACAGAACGGGCGTTGTGGCCCAAGTTTGAGCAGATGGCGCGCGACGGTCGCATGGAGCCGCGTGTGGTGGCGCCGGACTGGCTGCTGGACGTGGCCATGCGGCAGGAAGTCGTCTTTGACGAGCACTATCTGGCGCGGCGGTTTTTCGTGTAGGGTGGGCGACGGAGATGAGTGGTGGTGGTGATTATACGGTGACGACTGCTCGGACAAGAAGCAGGGCGAAACGATGCTGACCTAAAGAATTGGGCAGAAAACGGAAAACATTAGGAGCATAAGGCGTTTGGTAATATTAGCATGCTATAGGGAGTCGTTTGGTTCGCTAGACCTGATAGCCCACTAAAACTTGGCGCTATAGCCAGCCTGTACGCTATAACAGACCTGACTTTCTTATAGCATATACGTTACGCCCTAAAAAAACTTCACTCCCAGCGAGCCAGCAGCCCCAAAGACCTGTGCGCGGCCGCGCTTGACGAGAACGGCGAGGGCGCGCTGCAGGACGACAGGGTCGAGTCCGTGCAGCTCGGAGCCGCGCGTGGCGTCGCCAGCCGTGAGTTCGTAGAGCGTGAGCACGCTGCCGCGCTGTGCGGTGTCGTCGATCCAGGCGTCCACGAGCGCAGCCCATTCCTCGGCCGTCTTCCAGTAGATGTAGGCAGCAGCAGCGGTCGCGGCAGCATCGGCTGCCAAAGGTCCCGGGCTGCTGCCATTCTCGCCGGCACCCACCCACTCGGCACGGCCTTCCTGGCGCATGGCCTCGAGGACTTCGCGTGTGGCCGCCATCGTGAGCGCCCGGTCGATCTGCCGATTGCGGAACAGGTCGGGCGCGTAGTACGGCACGCTGCGGGGGGTGTCGTCGTCGTCGTCCATGCCGCCCGTGTCGATGCGGACAGGCCCTCTGCTCGTCTCTCTTGTCTTGGTCTCTGCACCGGGCGGCTCGCCTAGTACCAGCCGGAAGATGCGGTAGTGCCGGCAGTAGGCCAGCACGAGGGCCGTCCACTTGTCCATCTGGGCGCGACGCGTCGCCAGGTTCGGCTGCAGCGTGAACATGGGCGGAAAGTAGTAATAGTGCGGAAAGGCAAAGCTGGCCGGCGTCGCAGGATCTGCTACTGCTGTTGATGACTCGCCGGTGCCGGATGCCTGCTGGCCCGCCTGTGCCATGGCGCCGTCGTCCTGCCGGAGTGTCGGTTCGTCAGGTGCCCGTGCGGGCGTCTGTTCATGCGTGCAACCGATGGCGATGTTGGCGAGCTTCTTGTGAGGGGCAATGCTGGACGTCGTGACGGTGTGTACTGTGTAAAAATACTGTGTGGGGCTTCGGCTATAAGCATGTACTCCGTAGTGCATGCGACATTGACCCAGTTCACTGGCTCCTTCTGCGTATTACTCCGTACAGAGTACAAGTACATCCTTTCGGCCTCAATACAATTCGCCCTGAGGATCCCAGACATGCAGACAGCCGCTACGACGTACATCTGCCAACGTGATCAGATCCTCGTTCTCATTTCAAAGATGCTTGCTAGCTCATTGTCTCCCTTTTCCGATTCCATTGTCCTTTCTGCTCGCATCCCACACACTTTCATCTTTCCCTCTCCTCTATCCCCTCCTTCCATCACCGCTTCGCCTGCAAATCCTCCCATTGCACGCCCACCCACTCCTCCAGATATGTCGCCTCTTTGTCGGCCACTCTGCCGCGCCCCTGGCAGTCCTGCTCGCACACAGCCACCATCACCGTGCCCCAGTCCATGCCCTCCAGTCCCATCTCGTCCGCCTCCAGCAGCGCGATGGCATGAGGCATCAGCTGCACCTCAAACACCCGCCGCCCTCCGCATGCTGTGCACCGCGGCGGGCCGGCCGCCATCGTCGTCACACCGACGCCTGCCTGCTGCTGTGTCTGCCACAGCCCGGCCACCGTGTCGTCCTTGCTGTACAGCAACGGCTGGCCCGCAAACTCGTACCGAATCACCTGCTCCGGGTTCTGGCTGACCCGGTCGGCAAACCGCTGGAAGGCCGCGTCCATGCTCGACTCAAACACATACTTGTCCTCCTTTCCGCTGCTGCCTCCCCCGCCGCTGCCGTCATCCACCTCCATCTGCACCGCCTGCTCCGGCATTGCCGGCGTCGGATCCAGCGTCTCATATTCGGCCTCCGCAATCCAGCTGACCGGGTATGTCACCGGCCATGTCTCGACAGCCGGCCACGGCTCGATCACCGGTGCTGCTGTCGGCGCTGCAGCCTCCTTGTTGTTCAGCGACAGCGTCTCTGCAAACGTCCGTGGCAGGTCCTTGACCTCTTTGGCCTCTTCTGTCTCCTTCGCTTCCTTCGCTTCCGCTGCTGCCTCTTTCGCCACCGCCGGACTGCCCATGCTGAAGGGGTTCTTGCTGCCGTTTGCCGAAGCTCCGCCCAGCGAGAACGGATTGCCGCCAAATGGATTGCTGCCACCACCACCAAGATTGCTGCCTCCAGCTGCAAACGGGTTCTTCACTCCAAAGAGCGCCTCGCCCAACACCGGTGCCGTCTGCTTGGCCTCCTTTGCCTCTCGTGCCTCCCTCTCCTCCTTCTCCTTCTTCTTTCGTGCTGCTGCCGCTGCCTCTGCCACCGCTGCTGCCACATCCATCCGCACGCCCCGTATCGCCCGGATGCTCCCAGCCTTGCGTCGGCAGCCTTTGTTCCGGCATGCAAATACGTACAACCGTCGCTCGTGGCCTGGGAACCGGTCCGGCAGCTCACCGTTCAGCTGTAGCAGCAGCACCATCAACGCCTTGCACACGCCGCACCGTGCTAGCGCCGCCGACGGCGCCTGTTCTGCCACCAGCCAGTTCGGTCGTCCCCCCAGTCGGCTCACTGTCTCGTTGCCATCCGCAGCTTCGCCCTTGTCTGGCTCTCCATAGCCGAGAAGCACTTCCGTTTCTGTGTAGCTCAGCTGCGTCTCGTTCTCCTCATCGTCCGAATCGCTGTCGTAGGGTGCCATCGTGAACTCGTGCGTGACTGCCACGAAATTTCCTGCCCGGTCTTCTTGTTGTCTGCTGTAATAAACCTCCCCCCTCTGAACTTCATGTACATACCCCACTAACAGTTTTTTTTTTTGCGATAAGATAAGAAATATATCGCATGTATCACGTGTCAGTCGTCGTTCTCACTGCTTCAACATTTGCCTGTATATTATTGCCCCGACTTGTCTACAAAGGAACGCCCTCTGGTGGTGCAGGTTTTTATACAGAAGCTTGCAGTTCGGCAGTCGTGCTCACTGCTCCGGGCCGTCCATGCCAGGGCCCGGACCACCTTGCCGGCTCATCTGGCGAGCCTTCAGGAGCTCGTCGCACAGAAGCAGGTTCGACGCAATGCTGGAGCTCGACGCAATGCTGTTCCGCAGCACACGGAATGAATCAAAGATCCCCTCCAGCTCAGGGTCCATCGGCTCGCCCGTCGCCAGATCCAGACCCACGACGTTGCCCTCGGCCAGCTGGTCCTGAAGAGCAGCAACTATTCTTTGTCAGTACGGATGCAGGAGAGGAGCTCATAAAAAGGGGGAAGCCATAAAAACGTACGGGCATCCTGGACGTCCAGACCTGCGTTTGCCGCCAGCGTCTTGGGAATCACCAGCAGCGCATCCGCAAACGCCTCCACACCCCACTTCGCCTTGCCCTTGACCGTCTTCGCGAAAGCGTCCGACTTAAGGTGTGCAGCGCACGCTACCTGGAAAGCTCCCGCTCCAGGCACCACGCTCTTGTCCACAATCATGTTGTACACGCTGCGCAGACCGTCGCGCACCGCATCCGTGATCTGCGTGATCGTGTGCTGGTTGGGGCCCTTGATCAGTAGTGTCACCGACTTCGGGTCCTTGACGTCCTCCACAAACGTGAACTTCTCCTCGCCCAGCTGCTGCTCGTACACCAGCCCAGCCCATCCCAGCACCTCCGGCGACAGGTCGTCCAGGCTGTTCTGCGCTGTTCCGCCGCATACCAGCTGCAGCCGCTCCATGTTGCGGCGCTTTGCCCGTCGCAGCGCCAGGATCCCGTTCTTGGCCAGCACGTCCAGCGACAGCGGGTCGATACCCTTCTGGTTGATGATCACAAAGCTCTTCTTCGGGTCGTTGCCGCACACCTGCTTCTTGAGCTCCAGGATCTTCTTGAGCTTCGCGTCAACGAACCGCCGCTCGCTGTCCACCAGCTTGTCGCGCTGCTCCGCGCTCGAGTAGAAGAAGCTCGAGTTGATCTCCGTCTTCTCGTACTCCAGGCTGACGTTCATAATCAGAATGTGTGCGTTCTCCACCCGCTTCGGCATGTCCGGGTGGCGTACTCCGTGGTCCAGTGCCAGTCCACGGATCAGCTGCGTCTCAGACGCCGTCCGGTGCTGCATCTTCATAATCTCCACCATATGCAGGTCCGGCTTGGCCGGCGCCTGGTAGATCGCCAGAACCGCATCCACAATGTCCGGCGTCAGTCTGTTTGCGAGCGTGGCGTTCAGCTTCGTCGCAAGCGATGTCCGCGCCACGTTCAGGAGCAGCTCGCGGTCGACCTCCTTTGGCAGCTTGAACTCGTCAAGGAACTAAAGCGTAAGCCCAGACGTCAGCGATCACTTCAAGATACCTTCTTCTTCTATCCACACCCTCCACCTCCTTACCTTTAACGCCTCATTCTTGGCAATCTCAAAGCCGTCTGTGATGATCCGCGGGTGCAGCCCCTCCGAGATGTGCCGATCTGCCTGCTTCAGCAGCTCGCCCACCAGAAGCACCACCGACGTCGTGCCGTCGCCGCAGATGTCGTCCTGTGCCGTTGCCGCTCGTGCGATCATCACTGCCGTCGGGTTCTGTATTTGCATCTCGCGCAGAAGCACGTTGCCGTCCTTGGTCAACTTGATCTGACCAGCACCATCCACAAGCCTGTACAGATCATCCCCATCGGTCAGCAAACATCCCAACGGTTTTCGTGAGGGGCAACCGTAGCCCAGCGAAGACACATACATCTTTATGGTGCCCAGTGGGCCCAGGTTGGACTTTAGGACATCCTGCAGACCCTCGCCGGCGCTGATGTTCACGCGCAGAGCCTCACCCCGCCTCTGTCATTCGAATCAGCCAGCTGTCTTGACACGTCGTCCAAAAGCACAATCGTGCTTCCCGTAGCTTGATATAGGGGTGGAAACGGTTAGGAGGGGCGACGTACCCTCGACTCGGCCTTCGGATTGAGAAGCTGTGCTGCAGACATTTTCTCCGTTAGTGTCGCTTCGTATGCGAGAGAAGCGTATCAAAAGGGAAGAGAGTCTGGGCCGAGATATGTCGACTTGGCGCTGCTGTACTGATTTTCACCAAATTTGACCTTGGTGGGGAGCAGATTGGTGCCAGCATTTTCTAACCTTGTTTTATTAAAAATAATCAAGGCTAATCGTAGTTGCCTGGGCTGTTAGGTTGGGAAGAGCTACCCTTCCTGTTTGGGCTAGTGTATATCTACATGATAAAAGGTACCTATCACGTATGCCATTTATTCGAATGGGCAATGTACTTTGTATCATTTACCCTACAACACGCGTACCTGATGACCTAATCCTGCCGAGCATCTCACACTGACGAAACATCAGCTCACATAGCTCTCCAAGAGCTCTGTCTTTCTCAAACCTGCAGATACAGTTTTCTAACCCCTCCATACTCGCTCTATCTCTGCAATAAAGGAAAATGAGACTGCCAGGAGTGCTATACACAGCCAAGTTGCTAGCGATTGTCGCTGCATCTGCTAAGTCTGCCGATCATGTCCGACAGGTAGCTATCATCGGTAAGTTGTGCAAAAACCCAACAGACACCCAGCAGTAGAGAAAACTAAGCGTTATTTAGGGGCTGGAGCGGCCGGCTCCTCCACGGCCTACTATCTTCGCCAGTTTGCCGAGGAAGATGGCGTCGCCGTCAACATCACCTTGTTTGAGAAGACCGGCCGCATCGGTGGGCGCGCGCTAACGGTCAACGCCTATGACGACCCTGACCAACGAGTCGAGCTCGGCGCCTCGATCTTCGTCGAGATCAACCAGATCCTTTGGAATGCCACAGAAAAGTTTGGTCTCTCGCTTGATCCGCCTGTCGGCGAGATTGACGGAGTGCTAGGCATCTGGGATGGCGACAGGTTTGTCTACACACAGGACGAAACGTCATCCAACTGGTGGAACCTCGCGAAGTTGTTTTGGAAGTATGGTCTGGCACCGTATCGGGCAAACAACCTGATGCAGGCCACCGTGAGCAAGTTCCTCTCCCTTTACACGGCACCATACTTTCCCTTCCGTTCACTGTCGGCACGGGCGTTTGAGTTGGAACTCGCTCAGGTCACCAGCCAGACAGGTGCGCAGTTTTTGGAGCAAAACAAGGTATGCAAAGCTGCCTACAGCAGAAACATACGTGGCCGTATCACTAACCTTGACCGCCAGATCGCGTTCCCGTTCTCGCATGACATCATCCAGGCTAGCACGCGTGTAAACTATGCATCTAACCTGGACACAATCCATGGACTCGATACAATGGTAAACATACCTTACTTTCCATTGCCAGACCATCTCCGTACTCACCAAGATGACAGGTTGCATTGGCTCCGCAGGGTGCGTCACAGGTGGCAGGCGGCAACTGGAAGATCTTTGCCAACTTTGTGCGGGACAGCAATGCCGATTTCCGGGACAATACATTGGTCAAGAGCATTTCCTTCGCCTCTGACTCCACTAACAAGGCACCGAAGTACAACTTGAAGACAAAGTCTAGCAAGACGGCAGAGACGGCACAGTTCGAGTTCGACAACGTCGTCATTGCTGCGCCTTACCAGTTTAGCGGCATCAAGTCTGCTGACAGCGTACTGACGCTGGCCATCGACGAAATCCCGTATGTCACGCTGTATGTGACCCTGTTCACCTCGCCCTTGTTGCTCAGCCCGGAGTTTTTCAACCTCGAGCCGGGCACGAAAGCGCCGTCGACAGTGCTCACGACACTAGGCGCTGACGAGTCTTCCTTGTCGGATGCAGGGAAGGCTGGCTTCTTCTCTATCAGCACACTGCGCACAATCACCAACCCGAGAACTGAACGGTCCGAGTACCTGTACAAGATCTTTTCACCCAAGAAGGTGACAGCCAGCTTCTTATCCGAGCTGCTCGGCGCCGAAGTGCCGGAAACGTTCACGGCGCCTGCGGAAACTGCCAGCGTGATTTCGTGGTACTACCCGTATATCTTCCATGCATACCCGAAGGCGTTGCCCCGTGTCACCTTCCAAGACCCAATCGTGGGTAATGGCGTTTATTACACGTCCGGCATCGAGAGCTTCATCTCGACCATGGAGACGAGCGCGCTCAGTGGGATGAACGTGGCGCGGTTGATTGTGGACGACATTCAGGGCCTGGCTACCGGCGAGGCCGTGGATCCTGCGGCATCGGCTGCAAAGGCTCAAGGCCAGCAGACAGAGGACCTGTAGTGCTTGGCGATCTATCTTGCCAGTCCCTTGCTTTGTCTGTTATCAGGACTTGGTGGGGGGAGTGGTGGACACTATTGGAGAACAGTCGTTAGCCGTATGTCTTAGTTCATTTAGCGCGCGCCACTCCGTTCTACACCAGCGTCAGTTCAGCGCGTCTGTCCGTTGCTACCTGAAATTTACCTGAAATTGCCACCAGGGATTGTCATGTGGCGGTGGGCTACCTCAGCCACAAGAAGTACAAACCCCATTGGTCAACACATGGTTTTCGCTATGACGCAGACCCCATTTTCACAGACGAGGAGGGGCAGCCGCCAAAGGCAGCCACCACTGAGCAAAACCCCACAGCAACCATTCGGCAGAAAAAAAGGAAGAGGAATAAAGAAAATAAAGAGAAAGGAATACAAACATCAGGCAGGGGACGCCGACGGCTACTCTGTCCTCTCTGCTTGCTTTACTGTTGCCGTTCCTTTATATTTCGCGCCCCCCTGGCATACCTCCGCACTCCATCTACTCTTCCTCTTGCTCCACGGCCTTTTGTTTATTCCAACATTGGCCCTTCCTACCGGCTGCAAATTCGCACCGCTGGTAGCAACCCTCCTCTCGAGAATGTTTGTCCTCCGGAACGGTGAGCTGCCCCTTTTTCTCGTTTACCATTACTGTTTTTCTAGTTTTGATGGTTTCGATCCCTGGCTACAGATCCTACTTTGGATTGGTCAAACAGAAAGCCCCTTGTCCGAGACGCCATCGCCCCTTGATCTTTTCTCAATTTTCATGAAAATGACTTGAGTTCCAACTAATTCTCCGTGTGTGGAACAGCTGCAAAGCTTCTATTTGGCTCCAGCAGTCAGGAGTCTATGATCGAACTGCCCCAGGGTCAACTGTATCTCGTTCGCCCCCTCTCTCCGAAAGGTTATTCCGAACTTCTCTTCAAGGACGCATCTACTCGTATCCGACGCACCGCGCAAGAATACCAGTATCAGCTTGTCGTGCAGCGTGTCTACGAAGAGGGCGAAGCCGAGCTACTAGCCGACGAAGAAGGCGAAGATACCGAGACCGATCCGCTTGCCGCCGAGCACGACGAAAAGACTTTTTTGCTAGACGAGGCTCTCGAGTTTCGCGTCGAGAAACGCGACGAAGACGGTGCCGAATACGTTCTTTGCTGGCGTGATCTTACTGGCGACGCCGGCGACGTGTACGAGTTTGTCTGCGACCGCACCTCTACTCCGGACAGCTTGGTGCACCAGTTTGAGCTGGCAGCAAAGCATTGTCAGTACGAGCGCAAGTACCGCAAGCCGCATTCGACCGCATCCGAGAAAGATCTGCTCCAGTTCGAGTTTACCAGCCAGCCCATCCCGCCCGCGAGTCCAATTCACGGCCCGGATCTTAGCCGCTCCATCGCCTCGACCGAATCGATCCTGTCTTCTATGGGCACTGCCCACACGGGCGTGAATCAAAGTCATCATATCAACGAGGTTGCTACAACGGTCTTACTCAAGACCCCGACCAAAATGGCAAAGGGCAAGGCGAATGAGGTGGCCGCTGTCGAGTCACCCGTCGCGGCCGAGAGCCCGGCAGCGACAACCCCCTCTCCTACAGCAGTCCCGGCGGCTGCTGAGCAACCGGAGGCTCGGGAAATTTTGGCAGGTGAGGTTGCAGAGCTTCACTTTTACGACTTCCCTTCAGGCTCTTTCGTGCTGCAAGATGCGTCTGTCACCGCTGTCGTCAGCGAGGTCGGCAACTGGCAGTACTGGCTCCAGGTTGCCAGCAAGGAACGCGACTGGCTCGGAGTGCCCATCGTGGCAGACATCAACCCCGTGTTCAACTTCGAGTTCCTCTCGTTCATCTTCAACCAACTCACCAGCGACGGTACCGCCTATTCTTGGCTGCTCCGCTTCAAGGACCAGGCCACGCTCGAGCGCTTTCAGGAGGGACTTTTGCGCGCCCTGTGGGAGCAGCTGAATGAGATCAAGTGGACGAAGATCAAGGACAAAGAACGCGACTATGTAGCCGATGCTTTTGCAGACTTAGCTATGGAAGATGTGCCGGAGGAGGAGGAGGAAGAGGAAGAAGAGGAAGAAGAGGAAGAAGAGGAAGAAGAGGAGCGGCCGAGCAGCGAGCACTACGACAGCGACGAAGACGAGGACGATGTCGAGCACCAGCCGAAGGACAATGTGGTCAACAAGTCGCTGGCCGTTGGCTACAAGCACGATCGGTCGTTTGTGGTTCGTGGGACGCAGATCGGCGTCTTCAAGCACACAAACGACAAACAGCTGGAGTTCTCGACCAACATCTCCAGGATCGAGACGCCGGGAGGCAAACTCTTTAGTCCCAAGAAGGTCATGCTGCATAACGAAGACCGGAATATGATCCTGCAGAACGAGGACGACCCGAACAAGCTCTTCCGTATGGACCTCGAGTATGGAAAGGTGGTCGACGAGTGGAAGGTGCATGACGACATCCCGGTGGTTACCTTTGCTCCCGAAAACAAGTTTGCGCAGATGACAAGCGAGCAGACGTTCCTGGGCGTATCGCACAACGCCCTGTATCGGGTAGACCCGCGTCTGGCGGGCTCAAAGCTGGTGGACTCGGAGCTGAAGCAGTACGTTTCCAAGAACGACTTCTCGGCGCTGGCCACGACAGGCAGCGGACACATTGCGGTGGCGTCCAACAAGGGCGACATCCGGCTGTTTGACCGGCTGGGCATCAACGCCAAGACACACATTCCGGCACTGGGCGAGCCGATTCTGGGCATGGACGTGTCGGCGGATGGCCGGTGGATCTTGGGCACATGCCGGACGTATCTGCTGCTCATTGATGCGCTGCAGTCCAAGGGCAAGAATGCGGGCAGGCTCGGATTTGAGAAGCCATTTGCGGCGGACAGCAAGCCGCAGCCGCGCCGGTTGGCGCTGACGCCAGAGCACGTGGCGCAGTTTGCGCACGAGACAGGTAAAGGCGTGGCCTTTACGCCGGCCAAGTTCAACACGGGCGAGGGTGCCGAAGAGACGAGCATCATTACGGCCACGGGGCCATATGTGATTGAGTGGAGCCTGAAGAAGGTGCTCAAGGGCAGCCGGACATCGTACATGATCAAGCGGTATCGGGACGACGTGAAGGCGGACGACTTCCAGTTTGGCACGGACAAGAACATCATCATGGCGCTGCCGCACGAAGTCAACATGCTGGGCAACAAGGCGCTGAAGCGGCCGACGCGGGAGAGCATCGTGGGGACGGCGGGAGCCGGTGGCCGGCGCAGTGGGCGTGCCAGCAGCGGCCGGATCGGAGGTCCAAACAGCGGTCGCTACAAGTTGGGCAAGGACGATATCGTGGACTCGCCGTATTAGCAGGCTGAGGTGGGAAAGGCTGGAGTCTGGTGTTTGCTTGTATTAGCTCTTGTTTTAGTTTCCGTGTCCCCACACTCCTCTTAACGTGTGCTCGTCCATGTTGTGGTTTTTGGATGGGGACCGACTCTGCTGCTCTGATTTTCGTCAAGTGCGGTTGTTATCACCCTGACTCATGTCCTCCAGTCTTTTCTAGACGGCTCGACCTCCCATTTTGTCTGTGACAGGAGTCAAGTGATACGTTCTCTCCAACAATGGTTATGTCGCTATTCGCCTTTGGTTTGATAATGCAGCTCCTTTCTAGGTAGTAAAATGGATATCTTCATATTTATAGGGTGTATCTGTGACAAAAACAAGCAAAGGTTAGCTTCGCGTAAGCGTCCAGACTGCACTAACCTGGGATCACTTGTAGGAGCGACCCGCTAATTGCCGTAGCTAGACTGGATCTGGCGGTCTTTCCGCAGCTTCTTACACAGACCAAATGCCTCTGTATATTATGTACGAAAGCAAACAGATGAGAGCTAGATGCATCCATGTGTGATGGCCAGAGAAATGCTCTTCCATCCTGACGCCGTCGACGCCATACCCTCGTGTTTTCCGACCCAGATGTAAGAAATAATGAAATAAAACAAGTATGAAGCGTAAGCATGGGCACAAGGCACGTTCCCAAAATGTGAACTACTGCGACTTGGTGCCCTGCAGCTCGGACACAAAGCTCTTTCCCCACCACTGGCTGGTGTACTGGTAGACGTAGCGACGCAGCTTCTGGAAGTTTCCATCGCGCAGCTCAGCGGGCATGGTGACGGCAGTGTGGATAGCCTTGGCGACGTCCTCGGTGTTCCAGGGGTTGATGATAAGGGCACCATTGAGGCTCTGGGCGGCGCCGGCGAACTCGGACAGAATGAGGACGCCGTGGCGGGCGTTCTGAGCGGCAACATACTCGTACGAGACGAGGTTCATGCCGTCACGGGTGGAGGTGACGAGACAGACGTCGGAGACGGCATAGAGGGCGGTCATCTCCTCAAAGCTGACGGAGTGGTAGAGCCAGTGGATGGGCATGTACTCAACGGTGCCAAACTTTCCGTTGATGCGGCCGACAAGCTCGTTGGTCTCCTTCCAGAGATCACGGTACTCGTCAACCTCCTGGCGTGACGGCACGGCGACCTGGACGAGGACGATCTTGCCGACCCACTCGGGATGCTCGGTCAGGAAGAGCTCAAACGAGTGCAGCTTCTGCGGCATGCCTTTGATGTAATCGAGGCGGTCGACGCCGACGATGACCTTGACGCCAGCAAACTTCTTCTCCAGCTGGCCGATGCGGTCGAGCACCTTTTGGTTGCGGAAAGCCTCGTCGAACTTGGTGACGTCAATGCCGATGGGAAAGGCGCCAACGGTGACGAAGCGGCCGTCCAGCTCGGCGCCGTTGGGCAGCGTGTTGACGCCGAGGATGCGCGAGCAGCTGCTGAGAAAGTGCCGGGCGTAGTCGTACGTGTGGAAGCCGACAAGGTCACATGACAGCAGGCTGCGCAGGATGCCCTCGCGCACTGGCACCGGCAGGATGCGGAACATCTCCGACGACGGGAAGGGCGTATGCAGGAAGAAGCCGATCTTGACATTGCGTCGCGCACTGCCGAGCTCCTCGCGCAGCATCTGCGGCAGGATGAAGTGGTGGTAGTCGTGCACCCAGACGACGTCGCCGTCCTGCACCTTTTCGGCCATCGTCTGGGCAAAGGCCCGGTTGACCTTGTTGTACGCCACCCAGGAGAGCTCGTCAAACGTGACGTCCGACGGGTGATAGTGCAACAGCGGCCACAGGATCGAGTTGGAGAAGCCGTTGTAGTGCCGGTCCATCTCGTCCTTGGACAGGAACACCGGCACGGCCGAGAAGTCACGCGCCAGCGTCTCCGTCATCCGTGCTCGCTGCATCTCCGGCACCTCCAGCCCCGGCCAGCCGTACCACATAAAGTTGACCTGCTTGGCCATGCCCATGATGCCGGTCACCAGCCCGCCCGAGCTCATCGAGAAGCTGTAGTTGCCGTCGGCCTGCTGCTTGACCGTCACTGGCAGCCGGTTCGACACCATGATCAGGTTGGCCTTGGGGCCACTGGCCCCGCTATCTGCCTTGTCGGCTGTCATACTTTCGAGGCTGCTTCTCTGTCGAGTCTGGGACTGCACACGATCTCCGCTGGAGTAGACAAAAAACTGGTCGTCTGTCGCTGCTGCTCTCACGTTGGGGACCTATGATGTCAGGGCTGAAGAAATTTGAGTCTGGGTGGGATCGGGGGGCGTCCTATATAGCGTAAAAAATGCCGGAGGGGAAAATAACGGAGTGGATAGGATCGCAAGTATATAGAATGGTGTAGCGGTTTCTCTATACCAATGTGGCAAAGCACACTTGGGTCGGGATCGGTCCCGGATAGCACTCCGCTGCCTGAAATAGAATGGAAATAGAATGGCAAGAGAACAGCAGAAAATTGTCAAATAACCTGGATAAAGCCTCTCTCGCAAGGTTCGTCGCGCGATTGGGTGACCGTTGTAGTCTCGGCGGCCCGTTCAAGCAAATCACAGGCGCCGTTCTCCACCTTTCAGCATAAGTGTCTCCGGCTGACTACGGAGGTCGTTGTTTGTCGGCCCTGTGTGTCGTTTTCAGAGGCCAGCGATATTATCTCGTCCATTGGTGGGAATCGATTCGGACCGGCCTCTTAGCCATTTTCAGAGCCTGAACTGCTTTTCTTCTTCCTCGCCGTAGAACAGCCGCGGCAAACGATCCACGAACAGTAGGAAACAACGTGTATTGCGCCCTGCGGGAACAACGAGCGGGGCAGCAAGCCTCTGTAATACCTGCCCCACTATCGACGTAATGGCTCCTGCTTCCTCTACCTCTTCACTGCTGCTCGCTGTTGATATAATCCGGAACCTGTGCGAGCAGCACCTGATGCCTGTCTTTGCGGTGTCCTCGCCCTTTGTCTCGGACAGCTCTCGGTCCACAATAAAGTGAAGATGGTGAGAATTCGAGAGTTCAAATCGGCCGAAAGCAGCAGCTATCAGCACAGCCACCGGAATCGTCACCCATCACCTCTTCATCTAACCAAAGATGCATATGTAAGAACAGCCCCTCTTCCACCTTAGCTCTCCTGTTCTCGCGGTAATTCTCGGACCCCCTCTCTCTTCCTTCTCGCTCTCGCCTGTTTTTACCCTTGGCAAATTCCCGCTGCCCCTTGTCTGGCCTGCTGCTTTCATCCAGGTCACCCGTCCTTTGAAGCGGCCAGCTTCGCAAACAGGAAGGAACTGCCTTTTCCGCCACACCAACCGCGTAGAAACCGCACGCCCCATAAAAATGGACATATGTCACTTCAATCAGTCCAACTCCATCCGACCGGCATTGTCCCGGGCCGCTTCGACGGAGCTCTCGATGAAAGCCACTCCCAGCTGCTCCTGGCCAATCCGCCAGGCACATGGCATCTCGCGAGCAAGTAGATGCACCTCGCCATCGTCATCCCGAAGCGTGCGGGAAATTGTCAAAACGTAGGAGAGAAGTTGCCCCGAACCAGCAGAACGGCATGTCACGTGACTAAAACGGAATGTATTGTCACGTGCGTAGGTCGCGTAAACGCGGTGCTTTTTTTATGGAAAAAAACTGGCGGGCAAACAAACAAGCTCAAGCTACGAAGCTCTGACATCACACATACAGCATACATTGGCATCATGCCATAGAATATTTACCATTCAGTAATGCGGAAAACGACCCGGTCTTGGTACCCCTGAGTTTCTTCCTATCCAAGACCCTATCCGTCTTTTGCCTCTCTCGTCTCTCCTACCCTCCTATCACTGGCAAACATGGGGACCCTCGATCCTCGCGTTCGGCGCACAACACAAAACATTCAGTGCCTGTAAGTCATTGCCACTGCTTGCAGGGATCAGAGCTCCCATCCGGCTAACCTGCATTATTCATTAGATACAACCTTGATCGCCGCATCCATGCCATCAAAGCTTACCCGACATTGTCTCCCCAAGGAGCAAGCATATTTCTCTACGGCCACGAGAATGGCATCACTATCGTCTGGCGCGGAGGACGGCGACTTAAAAGAGCCCCCAAGGCCCAGTCGAAGCCGACCCCAAAGAGCGACTCGGTCATGATACTCGACTCGGACTCGGACGAAGGCGCCGCTTCCGGACCTTCAGCCTCAGCTGCCTATGTTGACAATCCCGAGTTCGAAGACGCACCCGCGGAGACATCAGAGGATGGCTTTCCCGAAGTACAGCAGACTCTGGACTTGGCCTTGGGAACTGCAGTACTCCACGTGGCCGTGCTACCGCTGGCGCCTTCTTCCGCCAAGGACGCCGAGCCGGCCTTCCTCCGAGAGCAGATGGTGTTTGCCGTTACCTGTGCCACGGCCGACGTCTACGTCGTCACCCTGCCCCTGACACCCCCGTCCAACGAGAGCAAGGAGCGGCCGCAGCTACAGTCGACCCTCCTGGCCGGCAATGCCGGCCGTGGCGCGTTTGGCGAAGAGCTTATTTCTCTTGGTGGCCAAGCGAAGCCCTCTAACGGCGTGGCTCTGACCTTGGCAAAGCAGAAGGCGACACCTGCCACGTCTGCTGCGACAACGCGCACTGGTGCTGCTGTGGCTAGCTCACCCACGCGAGTCATTGTCGCTGCCCATTCTCGCGAGGCCTCTGGCACCCTTCGGTTGTGGGACGTCACTGTCGGTGCCAAGCGCTCCGTCTCCGTCTCTGCTCTGCAGTCGCTAGACCGCCCTCTGGAGCCGTTCCAGACCGAGCTCCTGCAAAAGCCCCTGGCTAACGTGGCATTCAACCCTACACACCCTACACAGCTTCTTGCTACGTCCCCGCAAGATGCGGTTCGCATCTACGACTACGCAATGCCAGCCATACCGTCGGACTATGTATCCGATGGGCCCTTCCCAACGCAAGGCTCCTGGCTCCTCTCGCTCTACCCACCGTTTGCCCGCAGCCAGACCGCATCTGCAGTTAGGAAGCCCATTGTGTCTGCAGCTTGGGTGGCCCATGGCCATGCCATCTTAGTCCTTTTGGCCGACGGCCAATGGGGCATCTGGGACATTGATCGTGCCGGAAGTGCCACCGGCGAGCCAAGTAGCCGGTCGGCCACGTCGGGTGTTCGTGGAGCCGCATTGACGGCGTTCAGCATATCTGGCCAGATTGAGGGAACAAGCCCACTTCGGAACCCGGTCGCTTCAACGCGAAAGTCTGCGGAGGGTGAGTTTGTGCCTATGACGCCTCACACGAGACGAGACGCTCTCGCTTCTACGTTTTCTGGCAAGATAGAGGGTCTTGTAGCCCTCCGTGGTGGCGTCGAGGTCGTGCAGCAGTGCTCTGTACGCGGCAACAACGCCTCTAGCGAGGGTGCGGTGCTCTGGTTGGGCGGTGCTGACTACATCGTTGCTGTCATACCCGATTTGGCCCGCTTCTGGGACGCACAACTCCGTGGGTCCCACGGCGGCGGTGTAAATCTGTTCAGTGGATCGCGACCAGCCAGAATGACTCGCCTCACGGAGCTGAATACCAGCCTGATGGGAGAAAGATGCTGCGGCGTCAGCGCAGTTCCACGGCTGCCTCTCTCACAGTTCAACAGCACGGGTGAAGAGGAGGATGTATCTTCGAGTACCGGAAAGCCGCCGATCGAAATTCTGATACAAGGCGAGAGTCGGCTGGTGGTGGTTCGCGAAAACAACGATGACGTATTCACAAGCGATCTGAGTTTACGCCTATTGGCAACTTCTAGAAAGAGAAAGGCCGGGAACACGGCCAACACCGCCATTGTGGTTGAGCCGCCATCGCGGCCATCGGGCACGGTCTCATTCGAACTGGGCCTGAACAACCAGGGAAGTGTTCGTGGCGCCCCGCGTGGACCTTCAGTGCCACGGTTCGAGCCCCGTCCGGGCGGGAAGTCCCTGTTCCAGACACTTTCACGACCAGCGTTGTCGGCCGGGTCCGCGGCCACCCCCCCGAATGGGTCGCAACAGACTTCGTTCAGTGAATACGATAACGGTATCTCGTTCACCCAAAGCATGATGGTACCACAGAAACCTAAGGTGGAGAGCGGCCTGGCTTTCGCGGGCAACCTGGACGATGCTGCAAATGCGACAGACGATGAAGAGGCTGCGAATGAGCGCAATGTTGAGGAGGAAATGCTCAATCTTATGGAGATCGACCAGGCCCTCGGGGCTATGGATGAGCATCATGGCACAGACAAGCAAAATGTCTTCTTTGAAGGTGAATAGGACAGTCACTTGGAAGAGGACTACAAACTCGAAGGTATTGCACCAGGGAGTCAGCAATCTCCGGAAGCGGCGCCTGGCAAGAAGTGTCATTCCACAAAGCTACAAAAAAGCCATACAAACCAGCAGCAGGACTCGGAAAGGCTGCGCCAGTTACAGTTGCAGACGGACCGCAAACTCGACAAAGTGCGAACGCTGCGCACGAAGAGCCTGGAGAGGAAGCTAAACAATGAAATGGCGGATGCAGTGATGGCATGCGTAATTCGGATCTGGAGAGAAATTCGGACATGGCAGCAGTACGGCGAAGAGCAGCGTCAGCGTCGGACGCAATCCGACCCCTGAAAAAGTTCTTTATCCGAACGGTGCAGGTTGAGCTGAGAAAAGTGTATAGGTATAGGTATATGGAGGGCATCATAAGGGAGACATATCGATTGAACGGAGGACCTCGGCCTCGTTTAGAACAGAGGCTCAGAAGCCGAGGCTGCGATTCAAGCGACGATCGAGCGATGCTAATACATAACAAGCGAAATACTTGCCTTTATTTTTTATAGCGCAGCCACCACAAGGCGGCATTTGCCGGTCGTCCAAGGCGGTGTCGATACAAAATCCAAAAGCGATTTGACTTCAGGGGCGGAGAAGCATGGCAAAGTGTTTTCCCCGGCCCATATGCGTATTTTATTCTACCCGTGTCTATTTCTGTCTTTCTTTCCTCTGTCTTGTCCTCATTTCTTTTCCTATGAACTTCCGCACGGCAGGTGGAGCACAAGGCGAGTCCCATCCTTGATCCAGCTCTGTATTCCGAGCGGTATATCAACAACGGGCAGAATGGCTGGGGCAGATGTCGAGATTTTGGCATCCATGGCACGAAGCAAAAGCTTCGTGACCGGTGAACAAGAACAAGACGGAGGCCTTGGCCGCACGAATTCTGCTCGGCGACGCGCATCGAAAGCCCGAGCTTCCAAAGCTCGGGCTGCTCAATTTGACCAAATTGCCGTCTTCGTCTCCAAAAGGACCGAGCCGAAGATGCGGGCGCGTCGGTACATTTTGTGGCCCACTCACGTAACATGCCCATGCATAGCACGTGAGCTTGATCTTACGAGCATAAGAACCAATTTTTCTACGATTTCAAGATGAGACCCCCCATATATGAGAACCTCGTATTGCTGAAAATGTTTTTTTTTCTCGGTCTGAGTGCTTTATAATCGCTCATACGAGTACTGTGCAAAGCTTGCACAGTGCCAATAGCTGACTCATAAAGACGAGTACGAGTACGTGAAGCCCAACATTCCAACAGACGAAGAAGTGGCCTCCGTACTAGGTCCTAGTTTCCGTGCCAGCCGGTCGTTTAGTCCTCTTAGTTTTACTCCGTACTCCGTACGTATACAGCAAATAACGACGACGCGTTAATGGAAGCCCAAATTTCTAAACGCGCCGATGCCGACCCCTTGACGCGTAACATTGACACGTACGGGGCAAGATGCATTGCGTACTCCTTGCCTGACAAAAATCGTATCTAACGAGTTGTGCTTGTACGTACGGAGTACAAGTACACGCTTCCTGTTATTGTAGCTCTGCACGAATATTATGTACGGAGTACTCGTACTCACATTAGCACGGATCTCACACTAAATACGGAGTATCTTGCGAGCATATTCTCCGTACATGGGATGAAGAATAAGACTATTTGAGAACATCTCGCCACCTACGTGCATTGTAGAAATCTTACTTGAAAGCTTGGTTCGAACATCCCGTTTCCACGGGGTACAAATTTTGGGGTCTTTCACCCGACCTTATCAGTAAGATACGGACTGAACATAAGAGTGGCCCAACGTCGCCAGTTACCCAGACAGCCCCAATGCCTTATATACCTCTTCTCCATTGACTAAGTTTTGCTGTGTCCAACGAGTATAGATACAAACACTGGACAGATAACAGGACTGGTATTTCTCGCGCTACTCAACCAGTTTTTTCTTTAGTTTCCCACACCTGCAGTGTGGTCCCGTGTTGCAAAGTTCCTAATGCCTTAAGTTGCCACCTTAAACGTATATACACGCTTTGGCCTAGAGGGGGCTTACGACGGCCGCTCGAACATGTCTGTTTCAGTGCGCCTTTGGGCTGGATATACCCATCTGCCGTGCCCGTTTCAGGGAGTGTTCTTTCGGCATAAACTCAACGGCTTGATGCCCAAGGGAAAGGTTATGGCAAACATTTTGTGAACATGCTGGAAACCTGAACGGTCCCTAGACCTGGAACATCACCCGACACAGAAGATGACGTGATGTCTGAGCCGAACAGCGGGTCAGAAAATGCTTGCGACTGGGAAAAACTGTCCTGATCACCTGTACATATGTAGGAGCACATGCTGCGCTATCGAGTCAGCTGCATAAATGGCTATGTATCTTACTTTGTACGGAGTACAAGGCACGGAATTGCCAAGGCTAGACACACCTCGAGGTCTGAACAAGTCAGTACTGCTCTGCCGGTTTTCTTCTTTTGCAATATTGTATCTTACGGAGTACTCGTACGGAGTAGTACTCCGTATGCTTGTTCGCTAGGTCTTCTTCACGTCGTAGGCCTTTCCTTCAGCTTCAGCCCACGATGGGGCATATGGTCCACTCCGGTAGCATTTAAGACACATGGACTATTGGGGCTTCTAAAAAAAGGTTGTCTCCCTATTACGTATCCACGAACCGATAATGAGCCAATCATCAAGGGTAGGATAAAATGGCCCCTGCTTCTCACGCACAGAGCATTGAGGAACCCAGGAGATACATACCTACGGTACCCCGTACGTCGTAACTCGTCAACACCATGTACGGAGTACAGGTAAGATAGTTCTTCCCTGCCATATACGGAGTAAGTGGATGCAATGCAGGGTTGACGAAATACTATGTGCTATGTGTTTGGAGCCGTCCATTTCGGAGTGTCTGCTCCTTAACGAGCTTGAGAGCCATGGCGCTCTCCGCCATTCGGTCTGACAAGACTTGTGCACTTACTCCGTACAGGTCAGAATGCGAAGTTACAGGCCCTCGCAGATCAGCCATCATGGTTGGTGACGAGCACATTCTGTGATACGAACTGCTCGACGTTGTACGGAGTACAGGCAAAGTATCTCACGTGTACAAAGTGCAAAAGCGGTCTTTGCTATTGGAACCCAACTGCTACATATCACCCCCGCAAACAGGATTTTGGTGTCTGGGCGCGTTCTCATAGACTTTCATTTGGCGAATTTAGGCTTGGCAGATTACTCGGGACAGGTACTATGTAATCTGCGTGCTTGGACTACAACATTCGCAACAATATACGGAGTGCTCCGTACGACGTATGCAATTCGTTTTGCTGTTGCATGGAGGTGAAATGTGCAGGATGCGCAGATGCGAGACGGTCCCGGGTATACATAGCAGAGGCTGTGTCGCGAAGCGGCGTCTCGGCATTGTACGGAGTACGGCTTATTATGAGGCGATTAATTAGCTTACTGTATCTTATCTTACAGGAGCATAATGCCTGACGCCCCTTGTCCAGCCGATCCGGTGCCCCCCTAGGGGGCTGAAATAAACGAAAAGGGATAGGAAGCTTCACACTACGAGTACTCGTACATACGGATACAGACAAATGGTGGTAAGGGTACGTTCTATCGGAGGGTGATGGTGTGTTCTGGCACACTGCTCGTCTGCCCCGGTACGACATTAAGCAGTATTGCGCTGTACGAGTACAAGCAAGACACGTATTATTTTACGACGTACAGCGGTCTGGCCAGATAGGGAGGGAACGCTTCCGCCAACATCCCTCATAAAACGGCGCCAGAGAGGCTAGTCTCCACTGCAATTACAGGGGCAGACCACCTCTCTCAACGTGTTGGTGCCTCTCTTCTCAACGAGTATCTCTCGCATGTCCCGAGCAGTATTTGCGCTTCTTCAGAGGTCTTGATTACCATCTTCTACTCGGACAGCCCTGCATCGTATTTGTTTCACGTCAAAACTCCGTCTTTCCCATAGGAGATCGTTCGCCGCTTGGCTAGCCAGTGCTCCCGGGGGGTGACGAATGCTCTGGAACGGGACAGCGACTTGCAATCTCGGTTCTTGTCTATTTTCAACGCCGCGTGGCACAGCGGGAAGGCATGCCGGTGCATCCTGTCTCGCACACACGCCTGCATTGACGAGAGCGTCTACGGAGTACTATGTACGGCTATCTCGGCCAGTCACAAGCACGGCGTAATGAACAGTGCACATGGTGCAGATATGTGCACTACGAGTATATGGCACGTCCTTGTGCAAGCTTGCCGATTGGCGTTGCCCCTTGAGGCGCGACATGTGCACCGGCGGTTTCCCATTGTTGTTCTGGTTGCCAGAGTATTCGTGCTGTTCGCGCTGCTCCTTGTTGCAGACCAACCATAATGCTTGATGTAGACAAATCCACCGGTCTAGACACACCATTGGCTGCAGCCCCTGCAGGCCTTGCACTCTACTAGACCATTATTGGTTATGGGCAGCCCCTTACCCACTGGAACTTGGGACAGCTCAGGGCATGGTACTGCTAAAGTACCTCTGTGCCTTCCGCGGCACTTAATCACCTTCAGGGTACCTCGGCCGCACTAATTCGACATGGTACTAGGTACTCCTCAATATCGTATCGCTACTTGCTTTGCCTCTCTCCCATGAAATTCCCCACTTCCGGTGCAATTTCCCAAGTCATCCCCCTTTCTCCGCCCTGCCTCGTTCCTGTACCTGTTCGATCCCTCTCGTGGCTTATGTGTGTAGTAGTGGCCCCACCCATCTGGACGCTGGTGAAAGGCCCGGCCACTGCCTAGCGGAAAACTTCTCACCTTCCAAGTTCCCTCCCGTCCCTTCTCTCTCTCTCCCCACCTGTCCTTTCTTTACTCCCCTTTTCCCATCGCTCACGCAACAAAAACAGTCACTCGTTTCAACCTATCTTCGACGCTCTTTTTCCTTTGGCTTCTCGATACTCTGTTCCTTTTTTCTGTTCTATCGGCCACGATCCAAGGTCTCTCGGTCTTAGACTTCAAAAAGGAGCGCCTCTTGTTTCCATCGGCCCGACAAAGGCGCACGGAGAGGGGAAACTGAGCAGCTCGATGTCTCGTCACCTGTGAACTCACCCATTCGAGGGAATAGCCCAAAAATACACTCACGAGGACACCGCTCTCCTTTCAACTCGGCTCTGCTTTACCTTGCCGCTCCGTAGGCTATCAGGATTCTTTCACGCAATCCAATATCCAGACAAAGGAGTCGTCACCCCGTCCCATTCTGCGCTTCCTTTTTGGCAGGACCAACAATACACACCAACAAGCAAGCCATATTTCTTTTTATTATTTTCCGACTTTTGAGGGCCTTACTTATTCTTCCGGTCTGCTTCTCGCCGCATAACCTGGCATCAACCGTCGAGATATACGAACGGAGAATCGCCTTCAACCACAATCCCAGCCACCTCGTTCAATCGGCCTACATTAACACACATCGACAATGAAGTGCACTACATTACTCGCCTTCTCGGCCGCATATCTGGCCGGCGCTGCGGCTGCCGCGTCTTCCGCAGCAGCAGCAACTACGAAGATGGGTGTGGAGCAGCCATCATCGGCCCCCATTATCGATCAGCCTGTCGTCCAGGGCTGCTTCTCATCTGCAGGCAGTCTCAACAAAACCTCCAAAGAGCAGTACAACTCGCGGGGCCAGTGCGGTCAGACGGTTTGTCAAGCCCAGGGTAAATGGGTGGCTGCTACGACTGAGGGCACTTGGTGCTACTGTGGCGACAGCTATCCTCCAAACAGCACGCTTGTGGACGACAGCAAATGCAACACACCCTGCACAGGATACGGCGTGGACGCATGTGGTGGTGTGGGCTACTGGACTGTCTATAACACAGGTATCGAACTCTACGAGGTGACCTACGATGAATCGTCATCGTCATCTTCCTCCTCCTCTTCCAGTGCGACATCCACGTCATCAGCTACGACCAAAGCCACACAGTCTATGACCACCACTACTGGAGGCCATACCGTCTTCGTCACGCAGACGAACAGCGCGTCTTCTTCTGCCGAGGCTAAAAAGAGCCACTCAAGCACGGCTGGCATCGCCGCGGGAGTCGTTGTGGGTGTTGTAGTCGCCGCTGCCGTTGCAGGTGGCGCGATCTTTTACATTCGCCGCCGCCGCAACCAAGAGATCGAGGATGAGCACCGGCGCAACGCGGCCGTGAACTCGTTCTTTGGCAAACCGCCCGGCAGCAGCGGTGGCTTCTCCGGGACAGACACCCGTCTGGACCCTGTGATGGCCCAGCGCCGCCTAAGCGACGGCAGCATCGCTGACAACCAGGACTACTCGCGGAAGATTCTAAGGGTCAGTAGCTAGCTTTCGTCGTATCAGGACCACTTGCGTTCCGCCTGCTAACCAGACACAGGTCACCAATGCTTGAACGCTTCCCCTCGTCACGACGCACGAACCTGTTTATACTTTACTTCTTGTCCATCGGCATACCCGGCGTTTGGGATTTCACAAAGACTTTCGCAAAGATGCATCCGGCAACTACCACTACTACCTCCTCCCTATATCACCCCTTTTCTTCTTATTTCCCCTCGTTCCTCTGTTGCCGATGGATCGATACTTTGGCGGGCGTTTCATTTGTCAGAATTTGGACTATTTTGGGGCTTAGTGTGAGGTGTAGGAGAAAATCTATCTACCTTGTTTATAGCACCTTTCGTCTCGGCGCTCTTGACACATCCAACACTCTAATCGTTGTGTTGGCTGTAGGGAAGCCGTCTATAACCGAACCCCGTCCAGAATGACTGCGCGCCTCCTACCCCTACTATGCCTATTTTTTGTCTCTCTTTAATCTCGTGCATGCGGTCCTCCGTTTTTTTTTCCTAGATTTCTCCATATTGTCGCTCAAAATCTCTGGTTACATTTCGAGATCTGACGCAGAACGAAGCCATTCTCTCAACTAGGTTTTTTTTCATATTTATCGTGCCAGATACCGTGAATGCAGAAAAGGAGTTTCCGTGCTGCTCATGTTCTCTGGCGACCTCGCGATGGAAACGGCCATCTTTTCTTTTGTTTTGTTCGGCTTGCTTCGACGGACGCACGCGGACGGTTGCCACGGCTTGGGATATCTCGGTGGCATAGTGCTGAGATGCAGATGCGTTAAGCAAATAACAATGATCTTACGAGCACGTGCTGTTTCATTTCCATGCAGTTTGGTGAAAGGGATCTTCCTACTGCGTCTTCCAACTGTGTATATTTGGCTTCGAGCAATTCTATTAGCATTTTCGTAGACTAATCCAGCTGTCTGTTATCTACTGTCCTGTCTGGCTTGACTTGACTAGTGTTGCTTCTTGTGATTTTCCCTGTTCGGTCAGTTTCTCCCAGACAGGAAGTGTAGTAAGGCACCCCAGTGCCTGTTTCAGGGCGTGGCGAGATTGGGGGCCGTTTTTAAAGTACGGAGTACGGAGTAGGTAATAGCGATGTGACAGAACGGCCTCCTACCTAAAGCGGTAAGATAAAAGAAGAATACGAAGGCAATCCGAATGTGGAGGGCAGGCACGACCAAGGAATGGCGCCTGTTGTCAAGTGTTTGCTATACGAAGCATGGGACTCTCTTCTCGCTCATGCCCGATAAATACCCCCCTCTAGATCAAGCCCATCAAAATATCTCCACACACTGTCCACTTTCAATGCCGGCTGGCAAGTCAAATCAAGAAAATTGACACAGTCGACCCAGCCGAACACAGCCTGCTAAGCTCACCCAAAACGAGGCTAGAAATCGGCCGAACTATATCGGGATAGTTCACATATCAACGGTCGACGAGGTCTGCCGGGCCCTGCTCCAGGGCCACTCGCCTTCATCTACAATTTTCGTCTTCGTCCAGGCCAACAGTCGGGGCGGTGGTCGACATTTTCCCGCTTCGTCCGGTAGGAGGGGACTGAGCACACCGCAAACGAAGATCTTGTCATTTTTCCATTTCCTCCTTTACTTAGCCCCCTGCTTCCCCAATCCCCCACCAGGTCTGAATTGCCAGAGTCCTGGGTTGACAAGCGCATATTAGACACCGTCCTCGCTTGGCGCAGCTCACTTGTTTACTAAAGCCACCACCAACCACTCCGACAATCCTCCTGACGCGGTGGCGCTGTTCTGATACGCTCCTAATGCTCTGGCAACATGTGGCATGTCATTTGACAGGTCCTTATCCTGACCTGGAGAATCCCGCCGGCTTCCCCTCCTCCCATCCTCCACCACATGGAGTCGGTCAAGTTTGTGCCGCCAGGCGGCCATCGTGCCTGTCTCAGCTGCTCGGCCGCCAAGGCCAAGTGCGTGTTCCCTGACGATGGCAGCGTTGGCGGCAGCCGGGACAGTGTTCTTGGGAGCTTTGGTGTATCGGGGTTTGAGAACAGTCCGGATGGAACTGATATCTACACCACTTCATCGATCAGCGGCGTTCAGGCTTGCCCGCGATGCGAGCGCTGCGAACGCCTCGACCGAGACTGTCTTCTGCCAGTGAGGCCGCGCAAGAAGCGGCGAGTCGGGCCTCTCAAGTTTGTGAACCCACCCATCTTATACGTGTCGCAAATGGCCTATAGCCCTCTGTTCATTCCCCTCCTTGCTAACGCCCATCCTAGACCAGGTACCAGCCGAGCAGCCGCAGATTTTACTCCCAAGGAGACGGCTGAATCAGCTGGGGCTGTTGTGATTCCTCTGTCTTCTGATACCTCCATTCACGCAGCCTCATGTGCTATCACGGCGCCGCCCTATGCAGCGACCAGTGCTTCCGGCAGTAGTCGGCCAACTCCGACACCACCACCAAAGTTGACACCGACGCCACCGCCACCGGCGCCGTCACAGTCGCAATCGCAAAAACAGCCAGCCCCACCTCTTCGTCCATCTCCAGTGCCCAGCACACTGCTTAATGTGCCGAATCCGCTCGTACTCGCGTGCCTCCATATGGAGGGCCACGAGGCCGATAGGACTCTGCGCTTCTTCCAAAGCGCGTTTGTCGACTGTGACGCCATCTTTAGATTAACCAACTACGGCAGCAGGGCTGCTGACCTGCAGGCGAACAGGCCTGCCTTGTGGCTGGCCATTGTTTTTGCGACGTCATACCATGACTTCGAATACCAGAACCGGCTGGCCCGAAGCATCATCAACTTCTTCTGCGAGCAGTTGTTTCAGCACAGCGACCGAAGATTGGATCTTTTACAGGGCGTATTAGTCTTTCTGAGTTGGTAAGTCGGGACATGGCCCGAAACAAAGAGGAGGGAAGGCAGCAGCCCGCCGATTGCTGACGACTGCCTGTGGGGAATAGCTTCACCACCCAAAATTTTACCATTCCTCTGAGCACGACGCTGCTCCATATGGCCATGTCTCTCGTCTCGGACCTTGGGTTGGACAGGCTTGAATCCTTAAGAATGCACGACCGGTCGCCCCTAGAGGCCCCCGCATCCATCGCTTTCCACGGCTCTGAGCGTGCGCGGAAATATGGGCACACGCTTGACGAGCGCGCTGCTCTCGCCGTCTGCTATTGTATCACCAATTCTGTCTCCGCCTGCGTATCCTCGATGACGCCTCTGCAGTATACGCTGCAGATAGAGGACGCCTGTCGGTTCTTTGAGACGGGAAAAGGCAACGCGCCCGCCACCGACACTGCCTCGACGGGATCCGTCCTTGCAATCACCGTTCGCATGTACTACCTCATCCGGCGTGTCCTGCAGGTGCGACAAGAAGCAGACTTCCGTGATGGCCGCTTTCTCACCCCAGTTCACCAGCTCACCGGCCAATATGTGGCCGAGTTGGAAAATATTGTTACTGGCATACCCCCAGAGGTGCAATCTGATAGTAGGCGATATATGGATCTTCCTTCGCCTACTCCTTCCTGCTGACGTCCGCAGTTACTGTCAGACTTCTATATCATACGACAGAGATGCACATTTACAAACTCGGCATCACCAATACATCCGGCTCAACCACCAACGATGCATCCTCGAGCAACGGCGTTACAGAGAACGTCGATGGCCCCGGCGATAACAAAATACGCTGCTTCATTGCAGCAGACAACTTTTTCGAGGTATTCCTGTCAATTCCCGTGGCCGACTACTTTCACCTGCCCATCACGACGTTTTCTCAACTCGTTCACGCCGATGTCACGTTGGCCATGTTGACTGCCTACTATCGCGGCAACACGCGGCCGTCCGGCGTGCCAGCGGGAGTGACTCTTCCGGCCTTTGACGACGTCATGGATAAACTGGCCTCCCGTTTTCAAAGGGCCAGATTCATCGAGCATCGTCTTGGCTTCGAGATGCGCAACCACATATATGATAAATTCGCTGAACGCTTGCGATCGTTCAAGTGCCTCGGTCTGTCTGGACGCCGGAAACCGACAGTGGTAGCGGATGCCAAAGGAGGCGCGAAGAGCACGCAGAACGACGGGTCGGCTAGACATAAGGATCTAGGGGCGAACTCTGACATGCGAATCGAACCGTCATTGTCGAGCATACCATCGGACTCGCTGGATGTGCGAATGGAAGGGACTCTGGAGACACTCGAGAGCGCGTCGGTGTCGAAGGACACGTTGGAAGTAGATTATGGCATTGAGCGGATACAATGGTCGACCTGGTACGGAGGTATAGAGGCGGCGCTGTTCAGCAACGGCTCCAGCAGTACTGTTCCTAACAGCGTGGCTAGCAGCATGTGCGGTACCGCGAATCTGCACCGCCGTCCTGGCAGTGTTGGCAGCGTTGGCAGCATCGGCAGCCTACTCAACAGCAGCGACCAGGAACCGGACTACTATGCGTACATTCAGCAGCAACCGGTAGAACAGCAGCAACAGCAACAACAGCAACAACAGCAACAACAGCAGCAGCAGATGCCACATCGGCACCAATAATACTCTTGGCGACACACGGTCGTAACCATAGATACGATCGCTTACATGTCTCACCTGGACTTCTCATAGGACGTCGATATATTTTGGGTTTTCTTACGTGGGCGGTATTTTGTCGCGGGAAACGTGAAAATGTGATGGACCCTCCGTACGGGGTGGGCGTTGACTGTCTGTATTTGTGCTGCGTCTCTAAGCGTTTTCGCTATTGATAGCCCTTTTCTAGCTCTTAAAATTATGATATAGAAGCTGAGAATATAGACCGGGGAAAATTTTAGTTCGTTTATGTGTATGAGGCAACCGAACGTTGGTCGCTCCTTCTGTTGGTGGTGACGGTTTTAACTCGGCGTGCATGAGAAATCACTGTTTCGCCCAAAAACGAAGTCCCACCATCTCTGACAAAATCGGGCCTTTCTTTGCTCTCATAACCAAGCTTCTGATAGGGATCTCACAACACAGTCTACGATCCTTTCCCAAGCTCACACCGCTGCCATCCTATACACGGCATACGTGGAGCGCGAGTTTCGTACGTACCATATTGTTTCCCCTCAGTGGCGCCGACGTGCTCACCTTACACACAGCTTCGAGACAGCTGGACATTACATGTTGCGACGTTATTGCGGATAATCACGGTCAGTGACGTCTTCTTGCGAAATGTTCTCTGTTCTCGTTGGATTGTTCTGATAGCAAGGAACCCCTTGGGGCGTCGGTACATTCTGACAGTGCGAAATGTACCATTTTTCTCTTTCCTGATCGACGGCCTTGCTGACGACCGTCATCTCGACCTACTATGGGACGTGTATTACCACCTCCACATTGACGATGCGACCACGAAATTTCTGCGTGCACAGGTGCACAAGCTGGCAGCCGCAGCAGATACTCTGGAACACTGGCGTTCAGGTCCTTACGGACGGCATCTGCGCTTCAGCGACAGTGCTACGTTTCGGGACCTACAGGACGGCATCTTACGCTATGAGGCAGCCCTTGCATCGCTGCAGGATGGCTCACGCGAGAGCTACGAGGCCGGCTTTGCGGCAGCCATGCACCGCGTGGAGACGTTGCGAGAGCAGAAGCTGGGCAACATGGCCGTCCTTACAGGCTTCCGGTCGGTGGCACCGCTGTATACAATGAAGCTGCGCGAACTACCCTCAGCTCACGACCACTTCTGGAAGCACGGCACCACGTCAGAGGTTGCGGATCAGAAAGATAAACATGCTATTCCCGCCGATATAGTGCCCAACCCAACGTTCGCGGCGTCGGTCTCGAACTCGATCAGGCTGCACTACGGCTCGGACCCCGTATTGGGATACCACTTGGCCACAGCGTTCACGCCATTGAAAGACACGTCGCCGCTGCGGGCCGAGAGTGAGGCAGAAACGGTGCCGGGGGCCTTTGCTGCCGTGCGAGCTGCACGCACCGAATTTCGCGCGATGGCAGGGGCATTCCAGGCGATGGCGCACGGCGAAGACGGCCGATCCGTGACTGTCCGCTTCGTCACGGCGGATGCGTTGGTCCTGTGCCACACGCTGCAAAACTTGGCATCCTCGTCGGGAGAACAGACCAGTGCCAATTGGTTCCGGAGGGGGACGGATAGCCAGGTGCTGCGACTGGACGCGAAGGAATATGGCAAAGGGACTTCAGCAGTCAGGGCACCCGTGATCTTTGACGTTATCGACACGTCCAACCTGGCGGATCATGTGGGCGCGCTGAATCTTCTTGTAGCGGGAGTCCCACTGCTGGCGAACAGGCCGTCGTCGTCGTTACTGACAGAGCTGCTTGTGAAGAGAAAAGGGGAAGACGCCGATGGACAGGAGACGTTCGCGCGGCTTCTCTGCGGCCACACGTTGACGGTGGCGTTGCTGCTGGGCGTCGCGCCGGTCGAGTACTACACAAATGCGCGCACAAGCTTATCCTTCGAGGAGATGATGAATATGGCTGCCAAGCTTGGTGGAAGCGAAGGTGGTAAAGGCCAGCTGCGAAGCAGGCTCACATGGAAGCTGAGCCACCACGTCTCCGGCCTGGCGGCACATCCCCAACGGCTTCAGATCAGTGCAGATGACCTCGCCAGTGCTCTCATGGGCACATACCGTGCCATGTTCTCGTCTGAGAGAGCGGCGAGAGCGGCGAGCAGCGGCGGCTTGACCAGGAAGGGTGGCTATCCCTGTTTCCACTGCGGCAGCTTCGCGGCACTCGTGCGCATCGTGAAGGATTGTGTGACGACAGACTGGGCAGATGTGTGTCACCAACTCCTACGGTTGATTGAGAAGGAGGATGGCAGCACTTCCGTAGGATCGACCTATCTGCAGGACCTGCTGGCTCACCTAGACGTCTGGGACATCTACAGCGACAAGCGGCTTGGCAAGCCTGGGCTGACTGCTGTGACGTTTTCGGTACCGCGGAACGCTTTCAACAGACTTTCCAATGCTGCCATGATGGACACAGCTTCACCCGCGTTGGCAGTGGCTATCCGGAACGAGAAGGACAGCTCGATATGCAGGAGGTTTGCCGATATACAAGTCATGTTTGGGACCGTTGCAATCCGGAAGTCCCCTGACGACACACCCGCCGATGTTCGAGTGGATGTGCTGCCAGACCCAGAGCTCTGGAAAGGCACAGCACCATTGGTGGTGTGTCTCTATGTGCCGACGGCGCTGGCTCAGAATCCATCACCGACGGACACGATCTCGCTTGAGCTACACACGGACCCGCTCAGCCTGTATGCATTCGGACTAGAGGTTGGTGCCATGGGCATCATCTACAGCGCACCACTCGCAGACCGGACACGCGTCCATGTCTCCAGGTTTCTCCCGGGTCAAGACGACTACCCGGCCGTGTGCCCACCGGTGCCGGCATCTCAAGACGTGGCGCGCCAGCAGGAGGAGAGTATCGAAGGAGAGACTTCAGAGGTGAAGTTGGAGGTCGACCGGGCGACCGGGAAGGCGATCTCTGTCACCGGGCGTATCAACTTTGACTCCGCACGGGGGAGGGCGCTGCTCAGCGACAAGAACATCGATATCAAGACGGTTTCTCCAGAAAGGTCGCCGTTTGCTGTCGGTATTGTCATTAGCAGCAAGGGAGAGCCGGCACTTGTGATCCCGGTGCACTTTCCCGTACCCGTGGCCGCAGGGGAAGGAGTGCGACTGCGGGTGGCGCGGACGTCGGGATGGATCGAGGTGGTGGCTCCGGCAGTTGTGTCGCTGCCAGCCATGGCTGAGCGCTGCCGCACGTGGTCGCATGACCCGACTACGTGTGCCTATGCGGTGCAGCCAGATGCCAAGGTGCCAGTCAGCCTCGAGCCCGGCGGTCCGGTGCTGTGTGCTTGCGGCCAAGGTCAGCTGCCGCCCGACTTTGTGGCCATGCCGATGTGGACAGAGGTGGCAGCTCGCTTCGCCACACGCATTGCCATCAGCCCCGTCTTCTGCGACCCGTCAGTGGAACCGGCCGTGGCACTGGCAGTGGAGCCGGCAGCTGAGGCGCCGGGTCCACAGGAACCAGTCAAGAAGACGGTGCAGGTGAAGGCCTGTGGCAATTGCGGCGCGACTGAGGCGAAGGGCGGGCCGCTCAAAAAGTGCCTGCGCTGTCTGGCCATCAAGTACTGTTCAGCACCGTGTCAGAAGCAGGACTGGCTCAAGCATCGGCTGGTATGCGAGGAGTCGCCCGAGAATGTCGGCGAGGAATCACACGCATGAGCCGGCTCTCGAACAAAGGAACCAGATGTAGCAAAGATGCAACAGTAAAATACATACGCTCAACCATGTCCATGGTAATATGCCTGCAGCCCTGGAAGTGATCACAGAGACAGGCGCCAGCCGGGGAAAGAGGAATAAAAATACAGGACATCATGTCTGCAGCCAGACAGGAAGGGATATACGAAGAAGGAGGGAGACAGGGACGAAAAACTATACAAGAGGCCACTCGGCAGGTATGCAGCACAATCATATCTGGGACTTGCCGTCGCCGAGCTTCATGGCTACCATTTCGTATTCTCCAGCGCCATCACGGCCACGACCACGGCGGCCACCACGCGTGAAGCCCTGCTCTTCGTCACCGACGACGTTGGAGGGACCAGCTTGGGGCGGTGCTCCCGGGGCTCCTGGCGCTGACGATGCTGCTGCTGCTGTTGCTGTTGCAGATGTGGTGGACTTGCCGCCAAACGTGATGGGCTGGAGCTCGCGGTAGCGACAACCCCAAGTGCCGACGGCAATGGCGATGGTGCTGGAGATAGCCATGGTGATCCACCAGGCGACGTTGTGTGGGAGGGAGCCGGTATAGAGGACGACGGCGAGGAGGTGGATGAAGTGAAGAGAGAGGGCGAAGTCGAGAACGAGCTTTGAGCGCTGGACGACGAGGACGATGACGATGGACCTGAGCTGTTAGTGGGAAGAAGAGTGAGGAAGAACAGCGCGAGCGAAGCGAGAAAACAAAAAAGGAACCAAACGTACGAAAAGAGGCCGCCAGTGAGCAGCCAAACAAAAGCAACGAGCCAGCCCTGAGTGGTGTCGCCCCGAACAGATTCCCAGCCGAGGACGAGGTCGAAAGAGAAGGACCGGCCGGAGACGAGAGCCGTGAAGAGCATCAGCAACACAGCAACAGTGTAGAAGAGAGCCTGCAGAATGGCCATCTGGGTGAGGATGCGCAGCGGCGGCAATTCGGTGAGGGCACCCGAGCGCCGAGGACGCCGGCGGCGAGTCATGGCGGAGAGCAGAGGAAGAAGGCCGAGGAGGTGAAGCGGCGGGACGACGAATGTTGTGGCGATATGGTGAAAGTGGTGAAGAGAGCAAAGATGGCGAAGACGGCGGCCGTTTTTGTGGCCGGTTCACACGGTCGACAGAGACAGAGGCACTACCGTGGGACCATGACGGCCAGTATGAGAGTGACGGTGGTCCGGACGAGCTTCGAGCTGCAAGCCGAAAGCTGCTAGAGAGAAGATGTCGTCGTGAGAGGCGATGAGAAGAAAGGGGGGGTGGTGAAAGGGAGAAAGGACAGCTTGGACAATAAGAGTAAGATTGTAAGATGGAGCCGCAATGTGTTAGCAGGCGCTGCTGAGAAGCACAGCGGACAGCTGCGGGTGGGCGAAGAGGCCGGTTGCCCGAGTTGGAAGCAGGTGTCGAGCGAGAGAAGCGATGTCGCATCCGAAAGAATGAGCTGCAGTGTCGTTATTTTTTGGCCGTTGCCTTGCTGCTGCTACATAGTACGACGTACCGAGTACTATTGTGCTTTGTTAGTAATAGTAGCGAACAGTAGCCTTTGCCTTGCCGGGCTGGGGGGGTAGTTGGGTCCCAAACGCTAGTCCATATGTGGTCACCGCCTGATTCTGCCGTTGATGATGACGAGAAGCAATCGGCAGGAGAAAGAATTGGAATTTTGGCATTTCGGCAGCTTCCAAGCCAACAAGACTGTCCCTCTTGTCAGTTCTCCCGCCGCCGCACCCGACTAGGAACCGGTTCCTCTTGCTCGACATGGGAATCCTCTCGTACGTCTGGCCCTTTGGCTCGTCTAGTGCTGCCAGCACGACACCCGACGGCCGTCGCGCCGACGCCATTCGCACCGGAGCTGCCGTGCCCTCGCGCGCCGAACGCCAGCGCTGCTGGGACAGCCGAGATGGCCTGTTTGCCTGTCTCGACCGCAACAACATCATCGACGCGGTCGAGCCGGCCGGTGCTGCTGCTGCTGCTGCCGCCTGCGGCCCCGAAAACGCACAGCTTGAACGCGACTGCGCCGCGCAATGGGTACGCTCATTTTTTTTCTTTTCCTCGCTTCGCTCATTTTTGTTCCTTGCTTTTTTACTGACTTTACAAGGTCGCTCACTTTAAAAAGTACCGTGTCGCCAACTACCAGAAGGAGCAACGGCTCGCCGCCCTTCGTGCTCAGGGCGCAAACGAGATGCAGATTCAAAGCGGCCCAGGCGACCGGTAAACTGCTCAACGGTCGAACTGTATGACTACGAGAATCACGATGCAAGTCAATTGGAATTCCCGGCGTTTCGGATGCGGACGGGCTGCAGGAAGACGCTCTCCTCAACAATGTACGTAGCAAGGACATGCCGCTTTTTTCAGTCAAAGTGCATGGTATTCGCATAGCTATATAAGTAATGCATGCGTGCATGTCCGTGTGGTATCCTGAATATCTGTACATGAATTGCAACGGAAACCGTCCTCTGCTCGTATGTCTGTTTTTTTGATGTTTTTTATCCTCCTATTTTCGCTCTTCTTTTTCATGTCGTGCTTGCAAACGCTTTTAGTCGCTTTCTTCAAGCTTCCCCCTTTGCCTTTGCTAATGTCTAGCAGACGTCCTTCCGTCTAGATGCTTTGATCGTTTCAACCATTCCAGCACTGGCATTGCCATTGGAATCTAACAGGGAACTTGCAAAATAAAATAAAAAAGAAGAGCAGACAAAACAGGGACACCGAACGAGAAGACAAGCAAAATGAACCAATAACAGAAAAAAGGAAAAAGGGCCAAAAGCGGTGCCGAGTTCGGCCACACTATAGCACAGGACGCAGAACATAGCCTGCATAAAGCAAATAACGGCACAAGACATATGGAAATGTGGACAACAAGGAGATAAAAAAGGAGCAACGACCGGGATGGGCGGGAAAGGCTGACCCTGTAAAGTATATAAATGCAAAGCCGGTCAAAAACAGCCCCGATGCAAAAGAGACAAAAGAGGCGAAAGTGGTATCATGACGGGGTTGTTGCCGAACGCGTCATAGCAACGCCATTACAGCGTAGACACAAGGAGACGGAAAGACAAGTCGTATTTTGTCTAGCTTCTGTTGTTGTTGCTGCTGCTGCTGCTGCTGCTGCTGCTCTTGCTCTGCCCGGCCTCTTCTCGCTCAAACAAAGGAAAACGTAAACGATGGGAAGAAACAAAACGAGAAAAAAAAAGATATTATGAAGCCCTTTCCGTCTTCCTGGTTCGTAGTGTCTGTCCATCTCAAGCCCTTCCATTCGGTCCTGACAGCAACAGCGGCAGTGGTGGCAGGTCCTTGTCCAGGCTCTCACGGCTCAGCTGTATCGCTGCCTTGTGGTTCGAGCCCACCGTGCCGGACCGGGATCGCGTCCCGGACACGCCGTAGCCGCTGTCGGCGCTGTCGGGCTTGAGAGTGTTGTTGCCGTTGTTGTTGTTGTTGTTGTTGTTGTTGCTGCTGCTGCCGCCATTCTCGCCACCTGATCGTTCGCCCTTTGCGGGCGAAGTCGGCCGGTGGCCAGCAAACAGACTCCTCATCGACCTCTTGCTGCTGGGCCGGCTGTTGTGGCGACTCTGTCCTCCGATCGACGATGCCTCACCCGCTTCCTCGACAATCGGAAGCACCGGCTGCTGCTGCGACCCAGACGGTCCGACGGCGCCCGGCAGCAGCGTGCCACCGCTCGTCGTGACCGTGATCTTAGTCATCATACCTTCGCTGGCCACAGCCCCTCGTTGAAGCGCGTCGTATTCTGCTGCGCGGTGTGCTGCCGTCGTTGAGGCCGAGCCTTCTGCGTCTTCCGTGTTCCGGTGTCCCGGTCCGGCGTTCCTATGCCGCATCGAGCTGGCCCAGCTGCCCGAGTGTGCTGCTTCCTTGCCCTTGTCTCGGCCGGAAGAGATTGCAATCGCCGGCACGTTAGTGCCACTGCCATTCGCTGCGGCAGCTTCCATGGCAGCCGCCTCGGCCGCTCCTACTGCTGCTTCAACTGCGGCCAGGGCCTCGGCTTCGGCCGCCTGGGCACGCTCTTTTGCTGCATCCTCGGGCGACATCGTGACACCTGAGACAAACTTGAGAAAGCGGTCGCCGTAGTGTTGGGGAGGGAGGGCCGAGATCTTATTTCGGTCTTGCGATAGGCCCTTCCAGAAATGTTCAATCTTTTTGACCATGCCATACTGGTGGGGTTAGTAGGGAGAGGGAGGAAAGTATCAAGAAAGGAAGAAAGAAAAAAGAGTGAAAAAAAAAGACACTCACGTGTGTCAGACAGTCAATGACGCCTAGATAGTAGACCTCGTCGGACGGCGTGTTGTCCTCATGGGTGGCCTGGAAGCCGCCGCTGTCGTTGTAGAAGACGGACTGGCGGTTGTCGTCCAGCTCGTCGGGCATCTTGTTGGCGCTCTGGCCGATGGGAATGGGTCGCTCAGCCTTGAGCATCTGGCGCAGCTCACGGGTCTTGCGCTGATGCTCGAGCCGGCTAGGCGTGCGCAGCAGGACGGACTGGGGGTCGCCGTTGTTGCCGTCCGGGTTGTTGCTGTCGGTGCCGGGCTCAAAGACCTGTAGTGTCTTGCCGCGCAGATTCTCATCGTTGCCGCGGCGGATGTCGTGAATGCCGACGAGCAGGGAGTAATCCATGATATGCAGGCGCTGCAGCAGCTTGACATCCTTCTGCAGCTGCTCGAGGAAGAGGCGTTTCTTGATCATGCCCAGCTCGAGGTGCTCCTGGCGGCGCAGCCAGTTCAGGTCCTTGAGGGTGGCGCGGGCATTGCCGGCGACGCGCTCCTCGGGATAGTCGCGGCCGATGGTCGAGCCCTTGAGGTCAAAGGTCTGGTGGATGTCGCGGTGCGGCGGGAAGAGGTTGTTCATGACGACAAAGTGGATCTTGCGGCCGTAGGGCACCTTGACGCGGTGCAGACCGTAAAACTGCGACAGCAGGGTGTTGGGGTTGTCGCTAACGTGCTGGTAGTACTCCTTGAGGATCTTACGCAGAAACTTGTGCTCGGAGTGGTGGATGGTCTTGATGATGTACTTGTAGTCGCGCGAAAAGTAGAAAAAACTGCCGCTCTTGCCGGGCGAGCCCAGTTCGGAGAGGATGTACTTGCCGGCCAGTGACATGAGGTAGTCGGCCGGGTCGAGGTGGAACATGGCGCGCAGGCGGCGGAAGACAATGGGGGCGTAGTCCTTGAACTTGAAGTCGTACTTGGCCGAGGGCACGAGCTCGTTGCCGGCAATGTCAAAGGTCGACTTCTGCCGGGCCTCAAAGTCCTCGTCCGTGATCGGTCGATCCAACTTGGCGTTGGTGCGCGATACCGACACGCGGATACCGGTCAGCATGTTGTAGGCGGCCACCCAGTTGGCATGGGTCTCGTCGACCTTTGTGCCGACGAGGACCTGGTCGTCGTCCTGCTCGAGCCGCCGCTTCTTGGTTGCCCGCTTCTGCCGGTACGCCTCGGTCCACCTAAGGGCGTCTTCGTCCGGCACGACCTCGTCGCGCGGCATGTCCGAGTGCATCGATCGCGTGTTCTTGCGCCCGAGGCTGAGCGATGCCCGCCGTCCGCCGACGCTGCCGCTGATGCTGCCTGTGCCGGCCGTGGCCGTGGGCGAGAACCGGCCGGACACGAGCGTGGCCGCATCGACACCCTCACGCGAGTTGCGGGCGGTCGAGGCCGGCTTGGGTACCTCGAGCGTGTGGCGATGCTTCAGCGGCGGTGGAAGGGGGCCACCCGAAGACGACGGGGCCGAGCCTCCGGTGCCGGGAATGTAGGCCGGCGGAGAGGAGAAGCGATGCGGTGCAGCGGGCGAGTTCTGCTGTGGCTGTAATAATTGCGGTTGCTGTTGTTGTGACACCAGGCTTGCAGACAAGCCGGTCGGCGAGAGAATAGAACTGCCGACGGTAGAGGCCATAGAGTTGCGCGTCTGGGCGTCGTCGATGAGGTGTTGGTGCTGTCTGAGCCCCGGCAGACGGGGGGCGGCGCCTTCGGGCATAACGCGAGTGCGGTCGACCAGCGGGCTGGGAACGGAGATGGGGACACCGTTGGTGGCCAGCTTAGGAATGCGGGAAAGTGAGTCGGTCTTGGGCGGCGGCGGTGGTGGTAGTGACGGCGGCGATGGCGACGGCTGTCTCGCATAAGGTGTGTGAGACACATGAGGAGCAGAAGACGAGGAAGCAGGCGGCAGCGGAGGCGGACGGTTAGGCTGTGTCAGCGAGAGAGCCAGCGAGACGGCCGAGGACGAGGACGATGGCCGCATCGGATGCGAGCGGGAGCTGCTGCCAGGACGGCCATGGCCATTCATGTCTGGCGAAGAGGAGGCGGTGGAGAGTCCGGAGATGGAAGTAGAGTCGGACGAGTAGGGAGAGTGGCGGTCGTAGAGACCATCGGTGAGCGTCGGCGGCGGAGATGGCGGCTGGTACGACGGCGGAGGCGGAGGACCACGGTGGCCACGGTGGCCATGAGCGAAGCCGTTGGTGTCGACCGAAGCGAGAGGACCGACAACAGGCCGACTCGAAATCGTCGAGCTCACGCCCTTGCTAAAGCTGACGGGACCGGGCGACGGAAGAGGCTGTGCCAGCACGGACACGTCGTTCTCTGCGTCGCCGACGAAATACGGCATGGCCGAGACGGGGGGAGAGAGACGAAGAGGGGGGGGGGCCGAAAAGAACCGGAGAGAAAACGGTCGTCCTGTTGCAAAGCTGCAGGGATTCTCGTCGAAATCAGACAAAAAGCACTAGGGGCTGGAGGCAGTGGCCGGCATCATGGGTTGGGCGGTAGACGTCAACGTGTCAATGTGAATGCAGCCGGTCGCGAGGTCGACGTCGAGAGAAAAAGGAGGGCGTCGCGGCGATGGAGAAGAAGGCAAGGGGAAAGACGCAGAGCCAGGAGGAGGTGGAATGCAAAAAGCGGGAAGAGAGGAGCGAAAAGCGAAAAGCGAAAAGCGAAAAGCGAGAAAAGAAAGAAGCAGACAAATCGACAGGACGGCCAGAAGGAAGGACCGACCAGATGAAGGGCGACTGCGGCGGTGGTGGCAGTGGCAGCAGTGGTGTGTGTGGTGTGGTCGTGGCAGTGTTTTGTTTTCTTCGCTCGGTCTTGGCCTGGCAATCTCTCTCGCCCGAAGGAGAAGGGAGGAAAAGCTGGCCGAGAGCCAGGCAGAGCCCGTCGGCCACGTCTGATTGGCCGGCTTTCTACAGGGGCCTTGGGCGCCGAAGGCCCAGCAGCAGGACGCTATAATTACTCTCCGGATGCTGGGCTGTGCTCCATCCGCCTGCAGCAAAGAGTGCATGCACAGCACAGCTGCGCAGTCCATCCCAGCCCTCCTGCGCCGATCAGGCCGCTGCTGCTGTGCTGGCCGCCGCGGCTTTTCGGTACGTCCAACGAGCCCGTGCAGGCCTATCGCCGAAAACAAGATGATGAATCAACCAGGACCGAACCAAAAAAAAAAAAAAAAAAAAGATCAAATCCAAAAAGAGTCAAAACCGAAAAAAGACGGCCCCATCGACACCTCATCCTCGCTTCGCCAACCTGCCAGCCACCCTCTCCTTCTGCGCTGTTCCATGCCGTCTTCCGTCGTCCGTCTCTCATCATCCCCATCTGCCTGCCCCGTCGCCACTGCCCCATCGCACCAACGCTCTCCCAGACCCTCGTATCCCCCCACAGCTCATTTCGCTCTACCCGTTTCCCGGACAGCCTCCTGGGTCGGCTGCCAATCTCGCGCCCACGCTAACCCTCTCCCTTCTGCCTGTGTGCATGACGTCGGCACACTCCCGGGGATTGTCAGGGGATTTCCTTCTTTTTAAATCTTACTTTCCCCTCCCTTTTTTCCCTTTTCCTGTGCACCCGGTTTCACTGATTGTGCACCACTGCGACGTACTCGTATTGTGTCACTGTGGGAGCCCTCCCATCTGCTGAGTAATCGTTGCTTAGTAATCGGATTGGAAAATCATATCCTACATCCACTTCCTCATCCACATCCACCACCACCACACATCAACCGCCTGCCACCACCGCCAACCCCTCGTAGATCATGCGTTTGACTGCGTAGAACGTGCCGCCCTGTCGTGTTGCCGGCCCGCCGTCCGATGGCAGACCGATGCTCTCGAGTTCGACCCGGCCGGCCGCCGTCTTGCGCACGGCCACGGACCCGTCGATAACGAGCGTGCCCTCGCCGCGGAACTCGGCCGTGTGTCCGGCATTTTGCATTGCTCGCCGCAAATTGGTCAGCTGCAGCTCGCCCACGTGCAGCGGCTGTGTTCCCGCCCCCCGTGCCGCCGCCGCCACGCCTGTTGGCAACACGTCCAAAGTCGGCAGAGCATCGCCCAGAGAAGTCGAGCTTGTCGCAACAACCGCTCCCTTGGCCTCCATCTTCGGCCGCTTCACCAGACCACCGTCGCCGCTCGCCAGACTGTCCTCGGTGCTCGCCGTGTTCTCGCCACCTCCACCACCACCACCACCACCACCACCCTCCACCTGCAACTGTCCCGTCAACGTAACAATCCCCAAGCCTCCCAGATTCTGCCACCGCAGCTTTTTCACCAGAGCATCTGCCAGTCTCACCACCCAGGCGTGCGTGTCCACGCTTGCGTCCACGGCCGCACCCACGGCTGGGCTGAACACGTCCACGTCCTCGGCCGCCACGCCCCGTTGCTTGCTGACCACATTGCGGTACCGCGTCGCTGCTGCTTCCGTCTCGACCGCACTGCCTCCCACCAGGATCAGCTTTCGTGGTTCCACCAGCGGCAACAGCATCTCCAGGTTGCGGTCTGTGTGCAGCCCTGAAAAGTCCACGTATCCAATCGCCATTTGTGCCACCACTGTCTCCGTCGTAAATACCATCTTGGCCGGTCCTACCAACTGCTGCTGCTGTTCTTGTTGCAGTCGCTGCTCCTCGTCCTCTTCGTCCTCCTCTTCCTCCTCTGCCTCCTCTCGGCCGTCCCGGTTGGCCTCGTCGCCGTCGTCTCGCTCGTCTGCTCGGCCCTGTCGCAGCCCTGGTCCCCAGCCTCGTGTTCGCTCGTCCGTTCGACTCCGTCCGCGCGTTCCGACGCCGCTGACAATGTCGTCCCACTTCCTCTTCTTGCCCAGTCCGTCTTGCTGGTTCATCTGCTGCTGGCGCCCTAGGCCACCACCCTCCCCGCTCTCACCTCCCTTGCCGTCCTCCTCGCGCTCCTCCTCACGCAGGTACTCGTCCGCCCGGATCAGCTCGCCAAAGTCATCGTTGCGCTTCCGCCGCACCGCCACCGGAAACACCCGCTCGCGACCCTTCTTGCCGCGCACGTCAAAGTCGTAGTGCCCCTTGCGCTTGATCAGAATGGTCACTCCCAGGTCCTCGTCCCGCAGCACCACCTTCTTGCGGCTAGCCTGTCCAATCGTTGTCGAGATGTTGAGCACCTTGCCCTGCCGCTCGCTGTCCGACTGCTCGTCGTCGTCTGATGATGACGACGATGACGATGATGACACGTCATCGCCCGCGTCTGCAAATGCCTCCAGCGACGTCGGCCCGCCTGTCTGCAGTGTCGCCTGCAGCTGCCGCTGCGTCGCCAGCCACTGCTGGTACAGCAACAGCTCTGCCCCATCCAGCGCCACCTTGAGCCCGTCTTGGAACTGGAGATGCCGTCCGCCTGCCCGCACAGGATTGCCACCGCCCCCACTGCTGGCTGCCTCCTGTCCCTGCTCGCTCTTCCACCACTCCCACAACGTCCGCGCCAGCGAGCGCTTGTTGGCGGAGAGCACGCCCGGCACCTCGGTCAGCAGCACCAGGTTCCGTGGCTTGTCGGCGATGCGCCGCAGCACCTCCTTGGAAAATCCCCATTCCATCGACGCGTCGCTGGCCAGAATCACCTTTCCGCCGCCCGGTGGCGACTGGCTGTTCAGCACCCGCTCCACCTGTGCTCGCCGCTCGAGCAGCCGTAGATGCTTCATGTCGAACGGGCCCGACTCTCGGTTCTTGTTGTCATCTGCGCCGTTGCCACCGCCGCCACCACCACCACCTCCGCCTCCTCGGCCTCGATTGCCGCCGTTGTTTGTCTGCTGCTTGGAGCCGTCGGCGACGGCCTCGAACTCTTGCACAATCCCGTCGTTCATCCACTCCAGCAGTGTCCGCGCATGTCGCATCAGGCTGCCAGACGTGCGCCCCGCCAGGAAGAGCTTAGACCGGGCCAGGAGGCCAATGTCTTCTTTCCCGTTGCTTCCGGCCGCCGCCGCCGCCGCGTCCTTGCGCCAGGCGTGCTCCAGCAGGTAAGCCAGTTCGAGCACGCGGGCGCTCGAGTCGACCGGGATGAGCACGGTGCCGCCGCGAGCCACACACACGCGGATGGCCTGCAGCAGTTGCTCATCGCGCAGCCCAGGCCGCAGCACGGCCGGGGCCCGGCTACTGGACACGAGCGCTGTCGGCTTGCGCAGCTGCTCGTTGACCTCGGAGCCACCCGAGCCGCCGCCGCCGATCCAGGCTGCGCCCGAGAATACATTCTCCTTATACTGGCCCCAGTCGACGCCGTAAACGATCGACTCGAGCCCCAGCTGGATGTGCCAGATCGTTCCGCCGAGCGTGCGCCCAGAGTTGTAGGCCGTAATGGTCAGCCCGTTAAGCGGTGGCAGGCTTGGTGGCGCCTGTGGCTGGTGTGGCTGCGAGTACTTGAGCTCGCGGATCAGCGAGAAGTAGCGCGTGATCTCGTCGGCCGTCGGCGCCTGCAACAAAAACTGGCTGTGCTCGGCCGACAGTGACTGCGAGTACGAATACGAGGCCTCGGCCAGCGAGCCGCGCGGGATCGTCGACGCCGCCAGCGGTGTCGACGCGTAGAGATCCTGCAGCAGTGTGCGGCCCAAGTCGATCACCGGTTTCGTCGCAAAGATGGGGATCCGCACAAATTGCGGGAAGTTCTTGCAGCAGTGTGCAAAGGCCGCAATATGCGATACCGTCGCGTGTGTCAGCAGCACGAGCGAGATTGTCGGCACCTGTCTGCATGTTGTTAGCGATACATCCTCGACTTCTCCCCTTGCAAAACCTACTTTTCTAGCTCCCGGAGCTTCTCCGCATCAAACGACTCGTCCCAACCGACGTCAATCAGCACCTTGACGCCGCCATCGAGCTCCAGCAGCGATTGTGACGCCGTCGACTCTGACTTCGCCCCCAGCAGGGGACAGAACGTGAACATGACGTCCGGCTGAAGTCACTATGTGCGCCAGGGCATGCCTCACTCCTTTCCTCGGTGGCCGTCGCAGCTGTATGTGCCTTTGTGTCCGTGTGGTCTGGCTGCGACCAAAACGTCGGTTCAGATATGGAAAATGCTTGTCAGCTATCGCGTCTAGCTTACAGTGGACACCTGCTGTAAGTGCAGGCGCGACGGTGTCGGATCGGAATAACCTGTCGGAACGAAATCGTGTCCAGACCGCCACCGCCAGTGGGACCATGCATCGGATTGGGCCTACCGCTTCTGACCCAGATAAAGTCAATTCCAGCTCGCGGGCAACGTGTCAACGCTATCACTTGCATCTCCAGACCGAGAACGAGGGCTTCCGCTCCCCAGAATCTGCGGCCCTACCATGGACAGCTCGCATCGTCTGCGTGATTGAGCTGCCTTGTGTCTGTCTGCAGAGCGGAGCAGCTGCTCTGCCCCTTTTGTGTTTTTGGCCTCTCATATCCATCTGCTTGGTTTTTGCCCTCCCTCTCTCCTTTTGTCTCTATCTGGCGCACACGCGGTCGTCCTGCCGACATGGCTGACTACACCATGTTCCACGCCCTCGGCCAGGGCGAACAGCTCGACCCCAACGACCCTCGTCTCACCCAGCCGGCCGCTCCCATGTTCCAACCCCCCATCGCCCCTCAGTCCTACCTCCAGCCGCAGCAGCCAGGCGCTCAGCCATACGGAGTGGCGGCTGCTCCTCCGGGCCTGCTTGCTCCAGCACAGGCGCTGAGCCGGGCCACGAGCGCGTACGACCTGCGGGCACAGGACAACCCGGGCTTTGGCCCGCGTCCCGGCACAGCTGACGACAGCTTAGCAGCCCAGATGGGCGGCATGTCTCTCGGTGTCGACGGCCATCACGCGGCACGACGGAAGAAGAAGGATCGTCACGCCTACCACACGGTCGAGGCACCCGTCGGCTCATCCATGGGCTTCTTAGCAAATCCTGCCGGCTCTGAGCTGATCCCGGGCGCGTCTGGTTTCGTCCCTGCGGCGTCCATGATGCCCGGCTCCCCGTTTCCAGCAGCAGCAAACGCGCCTTACACGCCTGCCAACCCCGCTGATCCGGCCAGCTTTGCGGCGAGAAGCGGAGGCGGCGTCGGCTTTGGTGTGCCTGGGGCTGCTCCTGAGGTGGGCGCGTCGCCTGCCGTTGTCGCAGCCTCGGGCCAGCAGAAGGTATCTCCCGACGACATCCCCAGCATTCCACTGGCGCGAGACACAGCACAGCAGCACTTCCTCACCAACATATATCCGACGTTTGAGCGCCATGTTGCGCCGCCGGCTTCGATCTCGTTTGTCGCTCTCGACCAAGGCAATGCGTCGCCCAAGTTCGCGCGGCTCACGATGAATAACATCCCGGCCACGGCCGAGGGCCTCCACAGCACCGGACTGCCGCTGGGACTGCTCCTGCAGCCGCTCGCCCCGCTGCAGACGGGCGAGTCGCCCATCCCGGTGCTCGACTTTGGCGAGGCCGGCCCGCCTCGGTGTCGCCGGTGCCGCGCCTACATCAACCCGTTCATGGTCTTCCGCTCGGGCGGCAACAAGTTTGTGTGCAATCTGTGCACGTACCCCAACGAGACGTCGGCCGAGTATTTTTGCGCGACGTCGCCGCAGGGCGTGCGCATCGACCGCGACCAGCGCCCAGAGCTGTGTCGCGGCACGGTCGAGTTTGTGGTGCCTAAGGAGTACTACACCAAGGACCCGGTCGGGCTGCGCTGGCTGTTTGTCATCGACGCCACGCAGGACTCGTATAACAAGGGTTTCCTCGAGGCCTTTTGCGAGGGCATCCTCGGCGCGCTCTACGGCGGCGAAGCGGCCCAGGAGGCGGCCAGTGAGGACGACGAGCCCCGACGGAGCATACCGGCCAACGCCCGCGTCGGCTTTGTGACCTTTGACAAGGAGGTCCAGTTCTACAACGTCAGCGTACGTGTCCCCTCAACCTGTTGTCGCCGTGCTGTCGTCTGCTAACGCGTCCGTGCAGGCCAATCTAGAACAGGCGCAGATGATGGTAATGCCCGATATCGAAGATCCGTTTGTCCCTCTCAGCGACGGGCTGTTTGTGGATCCTTACGAGTCGCGGGCGGTGATCACGTCGCTCTTGACGAGGCTGCCACAGATGTTCTCGACCATCAAGAACCCGGAGCCGGCACTGCTCTCGACGCTCAACGCTGCCATATCGGCTCTGGAAGCCACCGGCGGCAAGGTAATCTGCTCGATCTCGGGACTGCCGACCTGGGGTCCCGGCCGGTTGTTTTTGCGCGACGACGGCAAACACATTGGCGGCGAGATTGACAAGAAGCTGTACACGACCGAGCATCCGGCATGGAAGAAGGTAGCCGAGCGGATGGTGGCTGCTGGCATCGGCACGGACTTTTTCATGGCTGCGCCGTCGGGAGGCTTTCTGGACGTGGCCACGATTGGTGAGTTTCTGGCTCTGCTTCTTGCGCCCTGTGTTTTATGTTAACAGTCCAGGACATGTGTCGTCGACCACGGGCGGCGAAGGGTTCTACTATCCCAACTTTGTGGCAGGCCGAGACAACGCCAAGCTGTCAGCCGAGGTGAAGCACGCAGTGACGCGCGAGACAGGCTACCAGGCGCTGGTCAAGGTGCGGTGCTCAAACGGACTGCAGGTGCTGGGCTACCACGGAAACTTCATCCAGCACACATTCGAGGCGGACCTGGAAATGGGGTCGATCGACGCAGACAAGGCACTGGCGATCACGTTCAGCTACGACGGCAAGCTGGACGCGAAGCTGGACGCACACTTCCAGTCGGCACTGCTGTACACAACGGCCAGCGGACAGCGACGGGTGCGCTGCAGCAACGTGATTGCGAGTGTGAGCGAGAGCGCGCGCGAGGCGATGAAGTTTGTGGACCAGGACGCGGTGTGTTCGGTGTTGGCCAAGGAGGCGGCGACGCGGCTGGGCCACACGTCCAGCTCGCTGCGTGAAGTGCGGCAGGGGCTGACGGAGAAGACGATCAGCATTCTAGCGGGCTATCGGAAGAACCACGCGTCGCAGTCACACCCGCCGAGCCAGCTGATCATGCCGGAGCGGCTCAAGGAGTTCAGCATGTACATGCTGGGCCTGCTAAAGTGCCGGGCCTTCAAGGGTGGCAGTGAGGCGACAGACCGGCGCGTGCACGAGATGCGCATGGTTCGATGCATGGGGGCACTGGAACTGAGCCTGTATCTGTACCCGCGCATCATCCCGTTGCACACCCTGCAGCCGGAGGAGGGCTTCCCGGACCCGGAGACGGGCCACCTGCGACTACCGCCGGCCATGCGCGCGACGTTTGCGCGTGTTGAGCCGGGTGGCGTGTACCTGGTCGACAACGGCCAGCAGTGTCTGATCTGGCTGGAGAAACAGACGTCGCCCAATCTGATCGCCGACCTCTTTGGCGAGGACCGCCAGACGCTGCAGAGCCTGGATCCCTATGCGTCGTCGCTGCCGGTGCTGCAGACGCTGCTCAACGCCCAGGTCCGCAACATTCTCGAGTTTCTCAAGACCCTGCGCGGGTCCAAGGGCCTGACCATTCAGCTGGCCCGCCAGGGCCTTGACGGCGCCGAGTTTGAATTTGCCCGCCTGCTGGTTGAGGACCGCAACAACGAGGCCCAGAGCTACGTCGATTGGTTGGTGCACATCCACAAGGGCGTGCAACTAGAGGTTCGTTGATCATTGGGGGCTTTTTTCATTTTTCCTCTTTTTCTCGTCTTTTTCTTCTTTTCTTTTTTCTTCTTTCCTGTTTCTTTCTCCTCTTCTCCACCCTCCTTCTAATATCTTACAGCTTGGCGGCCAGCGAAAACGCGAGGACTACGGGGATGGATCGATGACCTCGTTTGCCGGACTACGATCTTCGTACTGGTAAAGGGGGGGCCAATAGAGGATGTTGACGCTGTGGTATACGCTATTATGTCTTAAAAGAAAAGCCAATCATTTCGCCCTATTCCTCTACGTTGTAGGCCTTCACTAAGTCACGTGCATGTTATGTCGTCCGGGTCGTCAGACGAGCCGGAAATGAGGAAGCAGCGACCCGGACGGCGAGGCAGACAAGCAGGAGACGAGACCGAAAAGGAAAAGACAAGCGAAGAAAAAAAGACGTATCACATTTTGCCGTCGCTGCTCTTCAGCTCGGCAACTAGCCGGAGAGCCAGGCAGCATCTACTACATAGTACGGAGTATGTACAGTACGTATGCGCTTGATGGCCGATGGCCGATCCTGCGAGGGCAGCAGGGTACATAGTAGCTATCGCGTCGGCCCCATGACGCGGAGCCGGACCGATGTCCCTGTTCTCAGCTGGCGATTAGTGCCTCTTTTAGGCCGCTCGACTGCAGGATCACGCAGCGGATGAGCTGCCTGCATAAAGGTAGGGATAGCCAACCCAAAACGATCGATGGGACTCAATCTACAAGGCAGGCCTCCAAGACGTCAGATGGACTGACGTGCGGAGTATTATTGCCTGGAAGTAAAGATTGGAAGGGAAAAGGGAAAAGAAAGGAAAAGAAAAGAAAAAGGAAAGGAAAGGAAAAAAGCAAATGAAGAAAAAAACAGGGAAGAGACAAGCCCCATATTTGACAAATCATCTACTACTACGGAGTATGCACTGCATCATCTGCCAGTTCTTTGCGGCAGAGCCTCGCGGTTGCAGGAAGCTGTGAGAACCATGCAAGCCCAATGACTGCTTGCTTCTTCCTGTGTGTTTACTTGTACTATGTACGGCGTACCTAAGAGACACCTTCCGAGCCCGGTTCAAGCAATGAAACAATAGAACGATGGCCAGGCAAGAACCCGCAACTGGTTAGAGACAGAAGAGTGAAGTACTCACGCCAGCAGAAAACACCAAAAATACCCCAAACAGCCCCAGTAAATCAGAGGCATCTCCACCCTCTCAATGAGCAATTTCAAGGACTATCTCCTCAAAAGGAAACTGCTCGTTTACCGCATTTGTCTGTTTGACTTGTGCGTTTTGATGCTGTCGCCCGCATCTCGCAATCTGCCCAGCCATGGGGACATGGACGTGGGGGAAAACAAGATACGAGGTCCAGCACCCATCACGGAGTCCGCCCTTCCGGCTGCCCTTCCAAATATGTGGCCAAACAGCTTGTCTGGCTTGGCTCATCTGGCTGGGCTGCGCCTCCCTGTTCCCAAACGGTCGTGATCGTCTCTGATCGCCATCCGATCTCCGCAAACACTTTTTCTCATCACCATCGGCAGCCAGCATCCTGGGCCCAGGCTTTACCACAATCTGGGCTGCGCGCTTGTGAGACGTATTGCCGGTCCACCTTGCAGATTGGTTAAGTGGAATTGTGTCTGGCCCAAAACCATGGCCGTGGTTTTCCGCGACTGCGGCGGTTTGAGCAAACGGCGGTCCTCGCAGTCGCCGGCTCCTTTGCTGTGGCGGCTACGCCACGCGATCGCCCACAAGAAAGACGCACGGTGAGCCGCTGCTGGTAAGCTGACAGACGACCTATGTAGCAGGAGATGCAGGCTGCCTCGTCTGGGCAATGATCCGCATCTGTGATTTTCCCTAGGCTGCCTAGGCTACCTCGCTAGTGCTTTCTACTCCTTCGGCCCCACTACATCCCCGGCAGGCTTTCCTATTCGTCGCCTGGCAGTTGGCCGAGCTTCCTCCGTAGTGAGACTGTCTTCAGGCTCGTCGGTCTAGCGGCCCTGCTTGCTCTCTGGTAGGATCTTGCTACTACGGAGTACGCATATACGGCCCCGATTCAGCTGGCATGGTATAGCCCTGCTGACCAGCCCAGACAAGAGATCAGCAGCCCGCAACGGCCGTCATGCGCCTTGGACTGCTCCCTATACACAAGCACACATCCCGAAGCGCTAATGGCCGGAAGAAGCCGTTGAGAGCAGAAAATGAGATCACATAAGAATAAGCAACCAATCGTATGTAGCAGATCATAGGGGAAGCACATTCAGGATCCCGAGAGCACTGGCCTAAAGCTGTTTCAGCCTGCGATCCTGTCGACACCCTCTTCGTTAATCTCACACACGCTCTCTCCTATATTGCCCCCACTACTCTTTCGGGTTGCAGGCATTGATCTTAACATTTGCATTGGTGGTCTTGTTCTTACTGGCGTATCATTCTATCTCGCGCCCCCCAGTCCCCCATTTTCCCATGTATCCCCGTCCTGCCTTGCCTTCAAGCCCTTACATGGGGCTCATTAGAGTCCCCAGTCCGTACCGAGGATCCGGTTGTGTGAGAACCCGCTGAATCTCCTCGTCATGGAAGATGTAGCTGTAGATTTCCATGTCTGTCGGCTTGTTGCTGGACGGGGACGAGGATGGTGATGAGTTCGAGCTCGAGCTGCTGCTGCTACTGCTGCTGCTGCTGCTGCTGCTGCTGCTGCCCGATTTAGACTTGCTCTTGCTGCCATGTCTGCTCTTCTTGGCTAGATCGTCCTGGATCAGGCGGGCCGTGCTCTGGTTGGGATCCTCAAAGACAAAGGCGATCGACTGGATGCGGCCGCGCAGATCGGCATCCCATAACACCACCTCGCGCCACAGCTCAGCCAGCTCCTGCGGCGGATTGCGGTAGCCGTTGCCCAGGCCGAAGTCGCCGACCACAATATTGGCGTAGTTGTTATAGACGCATATGCGGAGTGCTGCCCGCAGCTTGTTCTTAACCATGTCCCGCTCCTCCGCAAACGAGTACTTGGTCCCGTTTTGTGTCAGCTTGGGCCACCGCACCGGTGGTACCGAACACACCGGCAGCACTCTCCATTCCTGTGGCGGCAGCTTCTCGTAGCGGTCGTGTGGTCCACGGAACACGACTGGGAGATCTGTCAGTCTGTCTGTCTCGATCGTTGGCAAACCTCGCCAGCATCGTCGACTTACCAACTTCTTCCGACAGAATGCCGCCCTCGATGGGGATTGGATAGTTGGTCTGGCAGTAGCTCTCGGGCGAAGGCGTGGACAGCGAGGCCGAGAGAGTGCTTCGTCGACACAGTCGCTCCTAAAATAGTCGTCAGCTCACTTGCATTCTCGCCACGGACGATTCGAGGAATGTCACGCACTTCGTAGCCAATCACGCCCGTCTCCCAGTCGCCACCAGGCCGCTTGTCGTTGGCTGCGCATATGAAGGGCACCGGCACCGGCTCGCCGCTCTGGGCCGCAAAATGTGCCTGCCACTCGAGCGCCACCTTGACGGGATCGCCATTCCTCACGTCTGTCAAGAGTGTAAGCAAATGGTAAAAAGTGGGGGCTTGTCCGGCCGAGCTTACAGATTGCTGGTGTCCGAGAGAAGGGCCGGGGGTACTGGCTGAAGTCCAGCTGGTCTACCGGCTGGGGATATAGCGTGGAGTCGAGACGGTAGATGTGCGAGTAATTTGCTCGGATCAATGGAATGCACGTCCGTCGAGTCTCGGCCGCGACCTCGGAGGCCTTGGGCTTGGACCGGGAGCTTGAGCTTGAGCTCGGCATGGTGAGAGCCAGAGATGAGAGGAACGAGGGGGTAGATGGCACGGGAGCTCAAGTGTTGCCTACAGAGCTGACGATGATGGGAAGACAGAGAGAAGGAAAGAAGGCAGAAGCGTGTAGAATGTGTCTCTGAAGGTCGGCTGCCCGGATGAAATGCAAAGACTCTTCGAATCTTAAAAGGATAACCCAAAGCACAAGAGAACTGGGTATACGCAATATCAAGAGGGGAGACAGAGGGGCAGAGATGAGCTATGAGACGGATGAGTCTTTATATACTCAGTACACCCAAGATACAGTCTGGCAGATGAGATCAGGTCCGTGTTGGATCAACACCCCCCATTCCCCATTCTACACTAGCACACACTCCCAATACCACCAACTTGTTTATACGGGAAAGCCAGACAAGATGTGTGAATGGGTGGGAAAAAGAAAACCGAGACCCCTACAAGGCTACCATGGCCGTGAGTGTAGAGGTGGTGTGTGCGTCTGTATGTGCGTAGGCATGCCTACAGGGCCTGCGCTAGTAACACAGGAAGGGAGAGAGCAAAAAAATCAAACCGAAGAAAGCTCCAGAAAGGTAGACGGACGGAAAAAAGAAAGAAAAAGGAAAGAAAAAGAAAAAAAAAAGAGGTGGACCGCGATGAAGGGCAGCGGCCTCCAAGCGAAAAGCCATCGTTGTATTACTTAATTTTATCCCCGTCAGGATCTAAAACACACAGCACAAGAGGAATTAGCAGGCTGAAGAGACAAACAGTAGCAGCAATTGCGAACGGAACTTTGCAACGCACGTTAACAGCAGTAAATTAGAGAAAAAAAGCGGGCATGCTTTGGCAGGCGGTTCGAGATTCGACGGAAGGGCTTGTTTCGTTTGCCTGGACCAAGCGTCTCTATCCAAATTGGCACTTGATTGAAATCCGGCTCGCCAGCCAGAGAGATCCTAGCCCACCCAGGCAGCCGGCACGCTGCGAGTTTTGCAGGGGTATTGCCCAAGCTGCCGAGAAGCCTCTAGTGTGCGGCAGCTGCATACTACGACGTATGTAAGATAGCTTCCAGCTCTACTTGTTCGGGCATCCATCCAGCTGGCCAGCTCCCCTTTTCCCCGAGCAGATCCCCCCACCATCTTGCAGCAAGGACGGTAAAAGTGATCGCCGCTAGCAAAAGGGCAGAGAGGGCAGAGAGGGCAGAGAGGGCAGAGGGCAAAAAGCCGAAGCTTGGCGGCCCAACGGGGGACTCTGTGGAGCGGACGTAATATGCGGTGTGTCGGCACATTGGTGCGCAGAGATGCAAGATCACATACCACTACATATCGCCAAATGTAGACAGCTATGAGTCAACGTTTCGGGGATCTCTGTTGGATCAGCCGACTGCAGTGGAAGCGGCAGCTGATGGCGTACCAACGGGCAAACAGGCGACAGGCAGCAAGACAGCAAGACGGCAGGCAGGCAAACAGGAACATGAAGCCAGCCGGTAGGCTACTCTATAGCTAGTCTCCTGGTCCCCTCTTCCCCGGGATATGGGAACATGTTTCGAACGGCAAGCGAGAAGGCCAATATTCAAATGCATACGGCGTAGTACGAAAAAAAGGGCCAAGCCAGAGCTCGGGTACCAGATTGTGCGCACGAGAGAGAGGGGGTGTGGGGGTGAGGGGAGTGGACATTGCTCATGGCAGATCAGTGGTACAAGCGAGCGTAACGGGTCTACGACGTACATAGTACAGCAGCGGAGGCAGCCGAGCGCAGTGTGGCTGCGGATATGAGGCTCACCAACAGGGCAAGCAGGGCGGAGAGAGCGGTGACGAAGTGCATTTGGGCGGCTGCCAGGGTTACGAATGCTTGTTCGCTGCAGTCTCGGCCCGCAGGGACAGAGCTCAGCTGGCCTTGTCGAGGCTAAGAGAGGGGGCGGCTAGAGAAGTTGGCCCAGCAGTTGTCCGTGCGAGCGGTGTGCGGTCTACGATGTGTACGGCACAGCAGCACAGCTGGGATGACCATCCGGAAAGCGGACAACTCGTGGTTCTCCCAATCCTGTCCAGATCGACAGTCGCTCCCTCTTTCCTGCCCCCTTTCTGTCTTTTGGTCTGTCCGCACAGACCGGAGGGTAAATGACCATTTTCGCCATTCTCTTTCCTCTCTCTTTCTCTCTTTCTCGCCCGCCTCTTCCGCGACTGTCCGCTCCGATCGGCCGCTCCGCCCCGTTGCCCTGTAGCCCGTGGCCCTCTGCCAGGATGCATCGCCGTCGTCGTCGTAGGAAACGGGTCGTCCCGGGCGGATCCCAACATATGGAAAAGTGGGTCTTCTCGACCGATGATTGGGTGCTGTTTGAAGGGCGGAAGAGACGAGTTGTTCCCCTCTGGACGCTGCTGTGGTCTTGCATGCGCAAGTGATACTACCCTGACCCTTGCTTGCGTTGGGGAATCGGTCGCATCTGCTCGTGGCTGCAACGCGCAGAAAGGCTGTCAGGTCATGACAGTCCAGCCAGCAGCTATGGCCGGCGCTGTTTAATTATCAGATCCTGGCCGGCTCGTCCTCTCCGGCTGAAGACAGGACGATGCACCGGTCATGACACAGAGAAAAGAAAGGCACGTCAGGCATGGCCAGTGTCTCTTCTGATGGCGGTTTTGTTTTTTTTTTTTTTTTTGGCAGGACGCCTGCTGGGGCTTACTTCTATAGCGGCGCATACTGCTGACCGAGCCAAGGCGGACAGACGCGGCAGAAAGATATAGGACGACATCTCGCGTAAATTGCAATGCATCCGAAAGCCCAGCGTTACGGCCGATCACCACCGGGAGCCCAACATGCGGGCCCCTCTTCTTCCCCTGCTGCGGACACGCTCGTCTCTGGGCTCTGCGGCCGTTGGCGCCGCCAACACCCGAGTGTCTGCTTATGCTCTCGCCGTCGGCCACCGACAAAGACGGTCATGCATCGCCAGCTTGCTCTCAGCTGTGCCAGACAGCAACCGCTCCTTCTCGCTGAGCCAGCCATGCCGAGTTGATGACGGCCTGCAAGCGCCTCTGCCTTCGTCTTCGTCGCTGCTTCCCACTTCGGTTGCCGGATTTCTCGTCTGGAAGCCCGCTGACCCCGTTGCCGACGTCGCCGTTAACGGCTTCGTTCGCTCGGTACGGTCCATGAAGTCAAACACCTTTGTCACCCTCGGCGACGGGTCTTCTCTGGCCCCTTTGCAGGCCGTAGTTCCTGCTGACTTGGCTGATGGGTGGGCGAGCCTTTCCCTCTTCTGAGCCTGAGCTGTTGCCCGTTCTTTGAATTTCTGCTTCGCTGCTGTTCTAACACAATGACTCTTTCTCAGTCTTGCCAATGGAGCTGCAGTTTGTCTCAAGGGCTCATGGGTGCCCTCACCCGGTGTCGGCCAGAGCCACGAGCTGCACGTCCGGTCTGTCGACATCTTGGGACCGTCCGACGCCAAGGTCTGTTGCTGTCTCCTCCTGTTCTCTCTTTTCTTTCCCTTTCGGCCACTGACCAGGACAGACTTTCCCTATCCAAAAGAAGTACCAGACGCCCGAGTTTCTCCGCACACTGCCACATCTACGTCCCCGCGTGCCGTTTAACTCGACCCTGCTGCGGCTGCGCTCCAACGTCATCTCATCTCTGGACCGGTTCTTCACCAGCCGCGATTTTGTGCAGACGCACCCGCCGCTGATCACCTCGTCGGACTGCGAGGGCGCCGGCGAAGTCTTCACCGTGTCAGCCGCGTCGTCTGCTAGTAGCAGCAGCAGCAGCAGCAGCAACAGCCCGTCCAAGAGCGGTGATGCGCACTTCTTCCGCAGCCCAAAGTACCTGACCGTGTCGACCCAGCTGCACCTAGAGGCGCTAGCACAGGCCGTCGGCAGCGTGTGGACGCTCTCGCCGACCTTCCGCGCCGAAGAGAGCGACACGCCGCGTCACCTGAGCGAGTTTTACATGCTGGAGGCCGAGGTCTGTTTTGTCGACCGGCTCGACGGCGTCATGGATCTGGTCGAGGACATGCTGCGTGCCGTCGCCGCTGACGTTCAGGGCAACCGTGTGGCGGACGAACTGCTGGCCCGTCCAGGTGGCAGCAGCACCGACGACCTGGCTCATCGCTGGCAGGGCCTCGTGCAGCAGGATCGCTGGCCGCGCATCACCTATGCCGAGGCCCTTCGCATCCTGGCCGCTGCGCCTGGGCGCTTTGACTTTGCACCCACATGGGCCACAGGCCTGCAGACTGAGCACGAAAAGTATCTCGCCTACGCTGTCGGCGGCGGCCAAACCCCCGTCTTCGTCACCCACTACCCGCGTGACATCAAGGCCTTCTACATGCTGCCGAGCAGGGACAATGCCGGCGAGCCGGGGGAACTCCCGGCTGTCTCGGACGGCCAGCAGCCCGTCTCTGCCGCCACCGTGGATTGTTTTGATCTGCTGGTGCCCGAGTTCTGTGAAATTGCCGGCGGCTCTATGCGCGAACACCGCCTGCCCGAGCTGGTCGCGGCCATGCGCTCGCGCGGGATGCAAGTCGCCGAGGACGGTGCACCTTCTGGCCAAGATGGAAGCAGCAGCAGCGACCTAGACTGGTACGTTGATCTGCGTCGCTGGGGCTGTCCTCCCCATGGCGGGTTCGGCGTCGGCTTTGACCGTCTGCTCTGCTACCTGTCGGGCGTACAGACAATCCGTGACACGGTCGCATTTCCCCGATGGTTTGGTCGGTGCGACTGCTAAGCCGAGTGACCCTGAGTGAAGGGGTGGGGGCAGACAGAGAAGGACACACACAATGCGAGAGAGACAGCCAGAGATAGTTGTCCCCAGGCTGACTGGAACGAGCAAAAGAAGAGTATTACCCGAACGACGATGACACAAACGAGAGGCCGTGCAACAGGAACACAGCAACACAAGACACCCCGGCTCCAAAGGCGACCTCATTACAATGTTGCCCTCCCGGGAGCCTGCTGGAGAAGTCAGCAAGCTGCAGTGCCGCATCCCACGGTACACTGCATCGTGCTCTTGCATGACCTTTGTGCTCCTGCAAAATATATGCTAGGACACCCAATCGGTTGTTCTACAGACTCGTCCGATCATCTACACTCGTGTGTTGCCCGAATTGGGCCTTATCTCATCGGCGTCGGCCTGCACGACGGAGAAACAGAAAATCAGAGACATGGGCAATATTGTCTTTAGCGACGTGCATCTCAGGCCGCAGGAAACAGGCTCTCGTATTCGGTACACAGGCACGCACACATGCACAATAAGAACGGGCTTGCAGATGACAGGTCGTCAGCCGAAGCGATGTTGGGATGCCAGTCTCGGCCATCTTTTCGCTTATCCCCTCGGGCTATCGCCAACCTGTGTAACGCAACAAGAACGGGTTTACGACGTATGGCCGGCCCTGTCTGGCCGGAGCAGCTAGCAGATGCGGCACAGGAAAGGGGTAGATGCAACCGAAACGCGATGTTCGCTCGCGTCTTGGCGAGGCAGCTGTGTTCCGGGCAATACGGGGACATCGGGCCGTGATCCGCTCTGCTGAGAACACAAGAATGTATGGCATCTGGCTCTCGGCCGGCTTCGTGGCGACTATGACTATGTGATCGGCCTCATCACATACGACGTGCGGAGTACATACGAGTACATTCCATATGAAGTGGGCAACGATCTGTCCTGTCAGATCAGAAATCGACACTGATACGAGTAATCCGTCCTCGTATTTTCCTACGGAGCATGTTAGCCAGAGCTCGGCTCTCGGGAGGATGAGTTGAATGGGGGGGGAGCATGGGGCGGTCGGATATACGGCCCTCGGTTGCGGATGCAGGGTCAAATTTCGTCTGCTGCTACGCGTGCACACGACGTCGTCGTCGTATGTCGTCGTATGTCGTGGCCACTTTCCAAAGGGGTCCCGTCTCCGAAAAGGGGGCCCGGGACTGCGACGGAATATCTGTCAAGTCCAGAGAGGCTGTTGTCTCGAGTATTCGTACTCGTACGGAGTAGACTTTCGTTATATGTGCCAATTCTCTCCTGTTTACTGTCGTCTCGTATTTTACACGTAAAAACATTCCATTCTTCCAGCCCATCTGTTCCTCTGCAATTACGCGTATTTTAGTCCGTAGGAGCTTAACTCTCCCGCCACCCTTTCATCACCGCTGGCCGGACACATGCACTATTGACCACTATCGCACGTATACGCACCCCTACTCGTACTTCTGCTCGGTACGTCGTACTGCCGGTAGGTTATATCCAAAAGTCTAAATAAAATAAAAAATAAGTGCCACGCGTCTTCAAGGCTGGGGCCCAGGGGGGTCCTCACCCCCCAGCCCTAGTCTTCTTGTCATGATGTTGATACATAATTCAATTACGCGTCGCCTTCACCCTTGGCGCCGAAAAGAAAAGAGAAGAACAAAAAAACGCACCAGAAAACTTTGTGCTTGTAGGAAGCGGCAGCTGCCACCTAATTGACTCTTTATGTTTGTGACTCTTATGGCCAGATCTGCGTCCCTACGACGTACGTCGTACTCCGTAGTTGCAGATATGCAGAGCCAAAGGAGGACCTATCTTGATAATTGCCTCAAGCTTCCTTCTACGGAGTACGGAGTACGGAGTACGGAGTACGAGTGCTCGTGTAATTAAAGTGGCGCCTCCGGGAACTACATGGAAACGGGAGACTTCACAGCCAAAGAGACTAAAAAAGCCCGTGCGAGCCAGGTAAGATACTACGTAAAACACTATTTACGGGCTACAGTACTCCGTACGTCGTAATTATCTTACATAGTACTCCGTATGCTCCGTAGCCCGGTGGTCTTGTCGTCAACAACACTGCATCGCCCGTGGTTCTACCCGTGGCATTCTTCATCAGAGTACGGAGCTTCTCCAAGGCGCCGCTATCAATACGTCGTATGCCTTTTCGAGCAGTTGCTCCACCTGGGATGCTTCATAGTAGTAAGACAGGGAGAAAGGCATCATCAGACATCAGTCCAGCTGTCATGTGTACGGGTGGCATGTACGGAGTAGCTCTGGCATTTGTCATCATGTTACTCTAGCTTATCCTTTTTCCAGCATCTCGATTCTCTCCCTGCAAATATATTTTTGTTGACGATAGAAGCAGCGCCAGCCGAGGCGGGCAATTATGCAGGCCACTTATCTGTCCAGACGGGACTGGCACCCAATAGTAACAATCCCATACGGCGTAAGATGTGAGCGTGTATGTATCTTACTATCTTACATGCTCCCGCAGTAGCAGGGAAAAAAAGGTTATCAGGAAAAAGAGAGTTATTTGTGGGCCACCCAGAAACTGTATTTGATGGTGGGCACAATTTGATTGGCCACTAGTAGGATTGCCAAGTTTCTGGCCGCTTCTACGCATGTAGCCTCTACAAAGCAGGCTCAGAGCATCTGGTCTGGCCTGCCAAGGGAAGAAGGATCAACACAACGGCAGTGTCGAGAACACTGGTCGGCTGCGCCTTTTTTGTTTTGCCCATATACAACGTGCGCCCTATATGGCGAGATACGGGCTGCTCTCCCAACAGCCGAAGCTACAGTCGGTTGCCACTATTCTGCCGATCTTGCAACGAAACGGACGGCACATACGGCAATAACGAGTAGTTAAGATACTTTAAGATACTCGTAAGATACCAGTGACAATATTCATGTCTTTCTACCTTTTTGCCTCTCCACCCGACTAGCGGGAGAGCCACGACCCTTTGCACCTTATCCACCGTCCGCTAAAATGAAGAGGCCGCGTCAGCTCGTAGAGGTCGCGTGGGTCCGAAGTTTAAGAAGGGGGGCTACTAGTGGAGACGGGGTGTAAATTTACGCTGCTAGGATGTAGAAGATGGTGAAGCCAAGAAAGAGCTTGCGTGGTTAGGAGTAAGAGGCAAAATGAAAGGATAATCCTCTAAAAGGAGTCGCAAGCCTCGCCTTTGCGACTGTCCGAATGCTGCGGTGGGAACGAGAGTTGCAGACGGAAATATGATGATCGGTTTTAGGCTGGGACGATCGGCTATTCGGTGTACGACGTACGAGTACTTCGGATAGGCGTGCAATGCCGCCCGTAACTGCCGAGCATACGAATTATTGCATAAGTGGGAACACTTTTTTTCGTACGAGTACACGAGTACGGAGTACAGATGCTATGTAGAAAAAGGAAGCATGTACTCTGTAAAAAGGGCGATATATACGTGGTGTATGCTTATACGCACATGGCTGTGGCTATATATGCATGTATACGACTACATATATCCGTACGGAGTACGTCGTATGCACTGTCGACATGTGATCCGTGTACGGAGTATCACTCTCCTCCCTCAAGTTCTTGTCTCAACCTGCACCCCTTTTCCCTCTTGCTGGGCACATATACTCCGTACGGAAGGAGCACTTATACTCGTCTTCTGGAAAATCATTCATGGCGAAGAAGCATGATGCAACAAGTCACCCACGCTTTAAACCATTATACGAAACCGAACTCGTGCAAGGTCTAGAAGACCACAGCCTCGCTTGCGCCGAGTGATACTAACCGTGGTAGTGCCCATACTGAGCGACCGCTATTTGTTGGGGGCCAATCGCTTCCTTGTTCATATGTACGTCGTAGGCCCTCCCTCTCTCCTCTCTCTCTTCTTGTTGTCTGTTCCCGCTAAACCCTAGCCCGCTAGAGCAGGCTTGTCTGCGTCCCAGCGAATTAAGCTTAAGCAGTGTTGGGCATGGCTCGGGACTGTGAAGGGGGTGTGCAAGGGTCAGGAGGGCGTCGGCCGATCAAGAAGGTTGCAACAATAATCAGAAAAGGGTGTGTGCATTACGTCGTAGATTACCTCGTACCTACTCCACCACACACACAACGGGCACCAGTACTCCGTACTCGTACGAGTATTGATTCGTGCTCGATTGCGCTCGGCCTTTTGTTCTTACGAATCACTTCTCCCGTATCACCTCTTCCCTGCTCGTAGAAGCACGCATCTTGCGTTCCCAAAAGAAGGGCTTACGAGTACTCGTAAGATACCATTGTCATTAACCCAGCCAGCCTCTAACATCAATGTTTCTTCTCAAAACAATCCCTCTTTATTTCTTGGGACTGATACAAAGAGACATCTTAGCATTGACCAAAAAGACGGCTCGGCCGCATATTGGTTTCGCTGGTATTAAGATATAGACTTGGTTCTTATTTTGCGTGCTATACTCCGTACTTCGTACTTGCTCGTACATAGCGGCACGCTACGATCTAGACTGGACGTTATGTGGTGGATCAACGGCTTATGGCCTCCCGTAAGAGGCGAAAACTCGTCCCGCCGTCTCTCTTCCATATCTCATTGTCGTCCTGTCTTCTCTGAATGTTTTAGATCACAGGCGCACAAGCAGGCGCACAAGAGACGAGAAGGTTTGGGCACCGAAGCGTGATGCAAAGCTTACGCACGAAGAAGCAGGTCGCTTGTGTCACGCTGCTGCCAACCGTTTCATTGTTCATGCATGTGTCCTCGTGTAAGTGTTTCAAGCTTCCACCCGCCTATCGCCGACCTTCTTCGTTTTTTGTCAGACAGGCAGAAGTACGTAGTAGTACGGAGTACTTTCCTCCGTATGCTGTACTCCGTACTTGCCACCCTCAGGAAGAGATGTATCTGGTGCCCCCCGCCCCCCCCCCCCCACAAGAAACAAAAACAGAAACAGGACGAAGGAGCTCGGACTCTGTAATACCCGACGGAAATTATCTTGCCCCATACGGCGTAGATATTTTTGGTGTGGCCCTC